GTATGAATCTATGTGGGAAGCACCCCGGGTAACAAGTCAACTTTCTACTTTGTTTCTACCATTGCCCTGGCCTTCTGTGAGCTTCCCTATTGGTACCATCCCCTACAGCCCCGCAGCTACTCACAGGTACGAATGGCGGAAATGCATGGATGAATTTGAATATGACTCACGTGTGTGTGCTTCTTCGAACCTCGCTATTGTCGGTTGTGTACATTGTTATACTAGGATTCGAGCTACGTTTCAACTGCTCCGCTGCCCACTTGTTTCCCCGCGTCCAGATCCCACACCCGAAGACTCTTGTCGAGCCAGTGACGAGGAGACGGGTACAACAAATGAAAGTTATCTCGTTCACCGATTTCTCATGACCCTTGAGCGTCAGTTCGAGATGATGCATTTCCTTTTGAGTGGGCGCTTGGGACGCTACTTTGTGAGTGGTAGCCGCCAATGAATCTTTTTCGGTGTCTCGGTTGGCAGGAGCGTTGACAAGGTCACTTACACGCGCTAAGGTGAGTAGGCGTTGAGTTTAGGGAAACGCACGGGTACGGGTAACACCGCGGTTCTATGCTGACGGGTTTGGAGGGTACGGGTACGGAGTAGGATAGTCGTACCCTTGAGCATACCGTGGCCATTCACCGCGGGTTGACGGTGTTTGGGGCGGGTATAATATACCAAATCGGGAACCAGGCGCGCGACAGCCATTGAACACCGTGTTTGATTCTCTGTTTTTCCTTCCTCTGAGAGCTTGAGGATCACAAGTGAATGCTATACTGATTTCTGTCATGTCTTTTGTACCCCCGTGAATCATTCTAGCAATTTATTGAGCTGACACTTCGTTGCAGAGAAGCTCGAGTCACTACCATAAAGCCAAGGCAAAAACTCGAGACCAGTAAGTCCACTGAGTCGTCTCCCCATGAAAACTAAGCTCACAAAGAAGGCATCTGATGCTTCGTCTACCCAGTCACACTCATCATCTAAGTCTATCTCGTCGTCCATCTCCGAGAAGGCCAGGTCACTCAAAAGGCTGTTGCAAAGGGTGCTAAGGCTCTGGCCCGCCCCTTGAAGAAGGTCAAGCAGTCATTTGTGTCTCGGTCTTCTCGATCGAGCCCCACAGACACCGTTGATCTTACGCGATCAAGTACTGATTCACTTGCCACTGACGATAACAAATCAACGGCAGGTGCATTCGAGCCTGATCCCGATCCTTCTGCAGATCTTGGTATGTTTCTTTCCATTGATTTTTGCAAATATCTGATTATACAATGATACAGAGGCTCTCAAGAAGACTTGGCGGTCACCTATCTATAGTTTCTTTTCATCCGAAGTTGTGGTCCAACACCACAATGGCCGCTTGTGTCATTTTTTCCCGTGTGGTGCGCGTAAGTGTAAGACAGCTTTAGGAGGACTCAAAAACGGAAGCGAAATGAAGTCGAAGCAGAGGAGAATGACAAGGAAAAGTAGTACTATTTTATTTCATTGTTGTTAATACTTAATACACTCTTCTTGGTAATGTACCCGCGGTGTTCAGAGACACCGCGGTGTTTTCCATAAACCGCGACATTGACGGGTCGGTGTGTACCCGTACCCGTGAAGGGTACGGTGTTGGCGGGTGCGGGTGCGGTGTCAACTTTCCGACCCTCGGTGTTACCCGTGCGGTACCCTAACAACAGACGTAGAGCCAGTGGGGATGCCTTGAAATAGTGACGGGGTAGAGGTAGCCTCAATAGCAATCTCTCCAGATGAATCAATGGTCGTGAGCGGAAGCTCAGATGGCAGGCTACGGCTGTGGAACATAAGGAAAGGCAGCGTGGTCGGTGACCCATGGGAAGGGCATAGCGTTCCAGTGACGTGCATTGATTGGTCTCACAATGCCCAGGAGATAGAGCAAGTGGATCGGAAGACGGCACCATACGACGATGGAACCCGGATACTGGCCGACAAATAACACCACCCATAGAGACTGGCCAAGGAGCGTTTAGGCTGTCAGATACTCTCCACAAGGGGACAAATTTGCGAGCGGCGGGGAGGACAAGGTGATCTGCGTGTGGTCAAAGGACTGCGAGCTACTTATGGCGATCAAGGGCCACGACGGCTGGGTGACGTCGTTGTGTTGGTCCAAGAATGGCACACACATTTTCCCCGCGTCAGTCGATTGCACCATCCGAAAGTGGCGGTCGATTGATGGGAAGGAGCTCGTTGCTTTTGAGGGTCATGCCAATTCCGTCACCTCCCTCTGTCTTTCCCCTGATGAAAGCCATCTTGTTAGCACATCAATGGACTACTCGGTTCGCATCTGGGACCTCAAGACCAATCAGGCAGTCGGAGACCCACTCTTGCATGACGATGAAGTCCGGGCTGTTGAAGTTAACTGCTGCAGATTTTTCTTTGGTCGTCGTCGTCCCGCCTCGCATCAGTCATGAGGTCATCTTGAAACTCTTCCTGTTGCTCGATAACTTTCCCTCTTCTGTAGTGATATTTTTTTTCAATATGCGAGGAAGCCGTCCTGTCTTCGATCAAGTTTCAAACTGACTCGTTGTTTCGTAGTTGTCAATATAGCTGCCAGGAGCGCTATTGTCGCAGAAAAGCGTGTCCCCTGGACCCTTCGTCACCCCAGGACATGTTGAAGCCTTGATGCACAGAATTACACCTTTTAAATTTTCGTGACAAGCGAGAACCAGAGTCATGTAGTCAAGCTCGACACGGATTCTCACTCGCGAGCATTACATTTCATAGTTCACATTGGACAGCCTTTGAGTGCATTTTTGCTAGCACGGTAGCACGGCAGTGAATTGAAGAGGATCGTGTCTGATCATGATATCATCCCACAAGTTAAAGACATGACTTCTGTTGGCAACATGATGGACATCAGAACACCAGAGGTACTGTAACTGTATGGAGTCTTCTAAAAATCTACGAGCGATTTCCGTTTGTACCTTGATGATCAAACTTGTATATTATCACATACTGACTTGAAAGCAGACTGTAATTGAGAGACCAACAGGGTGATTCTCCGCGTAGAAAATATAAGTGGTGAAGGATGGGACAAGGCAGGCGTACAGTGTCCTCACCAGATGGAACGACTTGTGCTGGCTCCAAACCTCCATTAAAAGCGTCAGTCGATGCACCATATGAAGACGCATTGGGATTGGTCGTATGTGCACGATAGCTCGAATTCGAAGTCGCTTGCGAAAGATTTCAACAGTTTGATGTCGCGTTTTTTTGGCGGTGACAGAACTACTACAGTTGAAAGTAAAACAGAAGTCTCAGTAACGTCACGCGTCACACGTATATGCATCAAAACTCTTACCTTTCCGTAAAGTCTGATGGTCTACAATGATACTCACCTGTTCTAGGAGAGCGCTTACCCACACATTCATCGTGCACCTTCCACGAGATTGGTAGCATGTGCAATACCAACAATTGTGACGAAGGCGCGATTTTTAATGAGTCCCGGCTCTGCGGTGCGAAGTGCCCCTCCGTAATCGAGGTTAACGACCATGTTGCGCTGATACTTGTGTCACATTATTCCGACGAAGATGGATTCGGTGGGGAATGGTGAATGGGAAAACCGAAACCAGTTGAGCCGGGAGTCCGCGAAGTTGAGGATGAGATGAGCGGGGCGCTCGAAGCAAGGCTATGAACACCTTTGGAGAAGATCATGAACGTTGAATGAAATGCGCCTTGGAAGTGGAAACGCCCCTACCGCAGAGTTAGTAGCGGTGTGAGATGCAAGTATCTAAATTTGGCTGCATGAGGAACACACAGAACTTGGGAGTCGACGGGATGAAGAGGTGATATTACAGTAAGCTATATGCATGTGTCCGAAGGAGTGACATGGTGATGTGCCGGAGTAGCTGCTCGATACGAAAAACGACGATATTCATGCACTCATGCAGGATAGATAGTCAGATTCGAGGGCCGGGAAGCATTGGATGCGGTGAGATACATTCTGGAAGCTGTAGAGACAAGAGTAGGACACATGTATCACTGCAGAAGGTATACTGTCGAGGACGATGAGTATGACAACAACGTAGATTCTCGCTGCAATGGTGATGGATGTGTGTAGAAGCGAACAGCCTCGTGTCCTGGGCATCTATGAAAATGAGTTGACGCAGCAAAGTAGCATAAACGACAGGGTACACGCACCTCTACAGCTTAGAGAAAGATACACACAATCCCTCCAACGTCCACCTCGGTCGTGCTCAACGCCATCAACCTCTAGTAAAATGTCAAAACTCGTCCCAAGTACCAGTGACCACGCCCTCACGAGAATACAAAGTCATGAAAAAGGCGTATGGTGCCATCACAGTTTTGCCCGACACACGACAGATGGTTGCAGCATCGAGGAACAATACACTGTCTGTGGGACTTGAAGATAGGTGTTGTGTTGAAGAAGATGAAGGAGCATAGCAACTGGGTATTCAGATCGGCGGCATCACAAGATAGGCAATTGATAACAAGCGCTGATCAGGTCATTGTCTAGCAGGGAGAAACTGGGGAATCACCCACCCAACCCGTCAAAGCTCACTCCAGACACATCGACTCGCTGAACTTTTCTCCCGATGGAAAAGTGCCGGCAAGGGTTCGACACGATGAAGCCGTGGAACACTAAAACCTGGGAGCTACAAGGAAATCCAATTGTGTGTGGTAGTTGTGTCAACTGTATTCAAATTTCATTGTCAATATCCAAATTTTGAGGCTCGAGTGGGAAGGACAGAATAATTTTGAAATGAAGGAGAAGGCCGCCCAGAGAAGAAAACATCATACTGTCTGAATCGACTGAGGGCGAATGGCCCACGGTTGGTACGACAGCGATTTAAATTGTTTAATGATTACCGAAACCTGAATGTTGAACAGACTCGAAGGTCGATTTCGAGTGCCAGCGAGCACCACGAAAGACATTCGATGCGTTGCAACCTCGGCGATAGGATCAATGTAATTATGTAATGGCGGAGCCAACTCATTCTCAGTCAAAGACCCAAAATGAGACTTGCCAGTTCAATTTCGGATTGGTCCGGTGGGAAGCTTCCTTATGCAGTACCTCCTATTGAACCACAGTACGTACCATCTCTCACTTGTGCTTTGACCATCATGTCGTCTGAAACTCCTTTCCAAATCAATGTCCCCGACGAGAAAACTGACCGCCCTACGCGCTAAACTTCAACTCGCTACTTTCCCGGATGAACTGGAGAATGCCCAGTGGAAGTTTGGCTCACCTCTGGCAGATATAAAGAGGCTCACAGAGAGGTGGAAGAAACGGGTACGACTGGCGCCAACATGAAAAGGCAATCAATGAAGAGTTGCCAATGTTTACCCGCGATATTGACGTTGATGGTTTCGGCGCGCTGAAACATTCATTATGTTCACAAGAAGAGCGAAACTGTTGACGCCATTCCGCTGTTGTTTTGTCACGGATGTAGGTCGATTCGTATGCATGCAGACCAACTTCTTTTGACCGTAACTAGGGCCTGGAAGCTTCTTTGAAGTCATCAAGATTTTGCCCCTTCTGACTGCATCGACCGCTGAACACCCTAGCTTTCATGTTGTGGCGCTTAGTTTGCCCGGTTTTAGCTTTTCGGAGGCTCCCCACAAGCAAGGCTTTGGTATCAATCAATATGCTGAGGAGATCAACATTCATCACACGTTCTAAGCTCTCTACATGTTGACTGGTGTACCTAGGTAGCTCACAAACTCATGGTCGCCCTTGGGTACAACGAGTATGGTACGTCGCTAAGTTACATATTTTAGCCTCCGATAGATCAACGAATTTGTTCATTTCTCTTACAGTTACCCAGGGAGGTGACTGGGGTGGCATCGTGAGCGATTTTTACAAGTTGACATGTCTTATCATTGATGTATCCCCAGATCACTAGGAAAATGGCTTCTACGTATGGTGGGAGGCACCTCAAGGCATGGCACACCAACATTCCAATGTATGTCATTTTCTCGCTCAGCACATACTCCGACTCATTCTCGTCTATGTAGTCCTGAACCACCGAGCTGGAAATCGCCATTGTCTTTCTTGTCTTTCTTGCTAACTCCGTGGTCTATAGAGGAAAAGGCAGGCATCGAGCGCACCAAGTGGTTCCGTACCCAAGGACAAGGCTACTACACTCAACAGAGCACCCAACCACAGACACTCGGTTACAGTCTCACTGATAGCCCTGTTGGCCTGCTTGCTTGGATCTATGAGAAACTGGTCCTTTGGACCGACAATTACTACTGGTCTGATGATGAAGGTAGCAGCAATATTGCTTTCCCGAATATTGCTCACCGGTTCTAAATAGTGCTGACGTGGATCTCATTGTACTGGTTCTCCCGTGCCGGCCCTGCTGCCTCCCTCCGCATTTACTTTGAATTGCGTGCCGATACCGAGGATATGGGCCGAAACCCCACTATTCCTATGGGAGCTTCGTTTTTCCCAAAGGAGCTCATAGTTTTACCCGCAGCGTGCGTCTCTACCAATCAACTTTATTGAAGCTAATATGAGTATGTAGGTGGCTGCGCAAGTCGAACAACGTTGTTTTCGAGTCCCATCACAAGACAGGGGGCCATTTTGCTGCCACTGAACGGCCGGAAGAGCTTGTTCGGGATGTGCGGAAGATGTTCGCGAAAGGGAGTCCTGCGTTTGGAATTGTCCCCGGAAGAACTGGATATGATTCTCACGTTCAACAATGAATCGGAATGAATATTGGGTGAAAGTGGACATGGGCAATGTAATTCAGACTTTCTGTATGAAATCATGTATGCTATTCAATCAGCATGATTTGCTCGCGACTGTCTTCATCAACAGCCGTGTCGTTGTCGGATTTGTCACCTTGCGAGGCTTTCCTTAGTTGGCACGAGCCTTCAGCATCATCTATCATTTTGTGTTTGCCTCTGATGCCTAGAACAAGAATTTAGGAAGTTTGCGAAGGACTCGAGTTCACGGATTTATGTACAGAACGACTTGGTGTTTCCTAGAACCGTTGTTGTTGTCTAACCTACCGTGCGGGATAGTCCATCTGGATCGAATCATAATAGAGGTTCTGGCGCATTGATGAAGCTCACTTCGTAAGGAACGCCGACCTGGAACACAGGTCCGTATCCCATGACGCTGTCGCCACTTCTATTGCCAATGCTGCGCTTCCCTGAGTAATGTTGTTGTACCATTGTTGTGCTTGGGATTAGCATGAAGCCAATTCGATCAGAGTAAAAATTTACCAAGAACACATTCGGCTGGTGTCATTGAGCGATATGTGTTGAACACTGACCCAGACAGTATTACTTGACCTACGCAATATATTAATGAGTACCCGACTGACCAAAAAAATACCTTGTATTGTCATTCCATCGGAGACCTGCAACAACATAATACCGTTTCAGCTGGAACGAAGAACTCGAAAAGGACTATCGATGCTGGAATGACCTAATAGATTGAAGGTGCGGTATCTTCTTGCCTTATGATTGCCTCGCGAGGGCTCTGGTTTTTACCCTCATCCAGATAGTATCCTATGTAGAGAAGGTGTGAATATTCATCAAGTTTCATCAGCTGCCAGTGAACTTGGTCTAGGATCTTTTTGTTAACGCCCATACAGCAAAAGTCTAGGCCGTGATGAGACTTGCTGTGAGATGGGAGGGCTGGTCGTAATCAGCCACAAAACTACAAAACCGCCGAATCAGCACGGTGCGTGTGGTGTCAATTATCGTAGAAACAATACGAGCCTGAGTATCATGTGAGAATTATTCTGCCTTTTGTTGGCCATAGGGGGCGGCGCTCTATGGTCATCCGGTATCTTTGCATCAGCCAGTATGATGCAAGTGCTTTGAGAGACGTTATAACGTCTGCTATGGTAGTGTGAACGTGTTTCAACGATGTCTGCGACTCTGCGCCGAGCACAGTTGAAAGACTGTGATGGTGAACCTCGCGTAGTTGATTTCAAGCTCTGCTACGTCTGTCGCTTGTTTGCATCTTATCTCGGAAGCTTTGGCAAGAACTTTGATGGTATAAAATGACGAAATAAAATCGTTATTGACTAGGGCTATTGTGAACTGGAGGAGCGTTTTCACTCGCTGATAACAACTGGGCCTGGTCCAGAAGCCATGAACTTGACAAAGATGTGAAAATCACGTACTCACCGCAGGGCCAAGTCTTTGACCCCGCATTAAGCTCCGCACGCGAACCTGTCGAAGGTGACAAGAACAAGGATCGACATCAAAGTGCCTGGATAATCGATGTCGAAGCCCAGCCACTCCGAACTCGTGATCGTTCGCGTCCGTAACAGGCAATAGGACTTCGTACACCGCTGCAACTTTGAATTCACAGATGCTTCGCTCACCATCAACAGGTCCTCAGTGAGGCAGCTATCCCCCTCGGTCCTTCGGTGTCGTCCATTTTCAGACTTCTATTCTCGGAGGATTGCCATTGGACAAAAGCTTCGGGGAGTCTGCCGCTTAGTACGCAACTGCCTGAATCTCCCTTTTGGAGGACTTCTTTTCAATGGCCTAGGACTCGGAGTACGCCAAGTAGCTCCAGCTGTGCGCAGATGAGATAGTAATGTTCGCCATATCTGTCAGGCATTTTGATCACTATAGAAGAATTTGCATATGCCACATAGTCTTTCTTGAGGCAACACCGGGATATAGCATCAGCTCGATTGGAGACTCTGCCTTCACTCATTCACACATTGATGGCATTCAAGTTGACGAGGATACTTCCAGTCAACATCGATCTCCATCTCCCTGGCTCGAACTTCGAAAACGCAATCCACTTCCTGTTCTCACTCAAAATCCTGTGCGATGCAAATGCCACGATCGTGACTCCGCCAAACATCATATACAAAAATTCCCGTCACAATCTTGCTCGCCTAATCTCATATGTGCCGACTGAATTATACCAATAAACCATGAAAGGTGCACGGTGTCTTATGGAAGTACCAAAGACATAACTATAACATCAATGACGAGACAAGAGATAAGTATTGATTAGACTTTTCCCACCGGACGGAACAGAAGGTTAGCTCTTCTTTGTGCAGCGCACCTTGTATAAAACCAAAGGATGCACCCGCACGTAACTCTCTCACTTGCACTTCGACCACCATGTCATCTGAAACTCCCTTTCTAATCGACATCCCCGACAAGAAACTTAGTATCCTTCGTGCTAAACTTGAGCTCGCCACTTTCCCGGATGAACTTCAGGACATCGGGTGGAAGCATGGCGTGCCCCTATCGGATATGAAGCGGCTCGCGGAGAGGTGGAGAAAACGGGTACGACTGGCGCAAATATGAAAAGGAATTAAACCAAGAACTGCCGATGTTTACCCGCGATATTAATGTGGATGGTTTCGGCGCGCTGAACATTCACTATGTTCACAAGAAGAGCAAAACTGTTGACGCCATTCCGCTGTTGTTTTGCCATGGATGTAGGTCTTATCCACGCTCATCGACATGTTTCTGACATTAGTCAGGGCCTGGAAGTTTCTTAGAAATCAGGCCAGTGTTGTCCCTCTTGACTGCGTCGTCCCCGGAGCATCCTAGCTTCCATGTCGTAGCGCTTAGCTTGCCCGGTTTTGGCTTTTTCTGAGGGTGCACACAAACCAGGCTTTGGTCTTGATCAATATGCTGAGGTGGTTCAGCGCACATCCTAAACTCTTAAAATGTTGACAAGTGAATTCAGGTAACTCACAAACTCATGATCGCTCTCGGGTACAACGAGTATGGTACATCGCTATTGTCATCATCTCATACAATAGATTTACTCATTTGTCTTGCAGTGACCCAAGGAGGCGACTGGGGTTTTCTCGTGGGTGAGGCTTCACAAGTAGACGGGATTTATGTTTAATATACTCTTAGATCACTCGGAGAATGGCCGCCAAGTATGGTGGAAAACATTGCAAGGCGTGGCCACACCAACTTTCCAATGTATGTCATTTTCTCGCTCACTGCTCAGCCATCAATCCATCTCATCTTTGATTAGGGCCGATCCACCGACCTGGAAATCTCCCCTGTCTTTCTTGTCGTACTTGCTAACCCCCCTTTTCTGCGGAAGAAAAGGCAGGACTTGAGCGCACCGCGTGGTATCGCAACAAATCATCCGGCTACTTTGTTGAGCAGAGCACCTTCCCGCAGACGCTCGCCTACGGTTTTACTGATAGCCCCGTTGCTCTGCTTGGTTGGTTTTACGAAAAACTGGTCATCTGGACCGATGACTACAAGTGGACTGATGACGAAGGTAGCAGCAGTGCCACTTCTTAATATACTACTCACTACCTTCGAAACAGCTCTGACGTGGATCTCCATATACTGGTTCTCCCGTGCTGGGCCCGGCGCTGCCCATCGCATTTACTCTGAGGTGTCTGGCGATTTCTACGATCTAGGTCGTACTAGTTACCCTACTATTCCTATGGGAGCGTCGTATTTCCCACAAGAGCTCCTTCTTTTACCCTCAGCGTGCGTTCTATCGTTCAGCTTTGCTGCCACGGAAGCTAACACAAGATCGTAGGTGGCTGCGCAGGTTGAACAACGTTGTGATCGAGTCCCATCACAAGTCAGGAGGCCATTTCGCTGCCTATGAACGGCCGAAAGAGCTTGTTGATGATGTGCGGAAGATGTTCGCGAAGGGGGGGCCCGCATTCGCAATCGTCCCTGGAAGAAGTGGATATGCTTGAACAGCCAACATTCGTATGCTATTTGAATGACTCGGAATGGATATTAGGTGAAACTGTACGAATAGGTAGTGCCATTCAGAAGATCAATATGAAATCGTGTACGCTGTCCCTTGCATCTTGCGTAATACACTTTGCTATCCATGTGATGTCCTGTTCCTTCAGCTTCACCATAACTGTAGAACACGCCAGTATTACTGGAATTTCTGCAGGAAAGCCAACTTGTTGAGGTGTACCTCCATGCGAATACATGTGCGATTCGACAGGGAGCCGCTGGACGGATAATACGAGCCAACGACACTAACGTCATTGTCAGTCGTCACGGCGGGTGAATGCGTTTGAGGGATGTGATGCTCAAGAATAATGAAGACGCTTATGGTCTAATTATAGTGCAGGGTATGTATGACATGAAGAACGATAAGTCGTGGATCGAAGCCACGTTTAATATGCATGCAATGTGGTCTAGAAATAAGTCTGGTCGACGTCTACCATGTGTAAGGACGAAACGGTTGGTGCCGCGGAAGTAATCTGTGTGACTCCTGGTACTTAGATATAAAGTATGCAATAAACGACAGCATGCCTCCATTGTGTACTCGACGGATGAGATAACATCTTGTGACGAGAGAGAGATCGTCGTAAAGATTAATGCTGACCGTCGGTATACTCAGGAGAGGTGCAACAGATAAAGAGCCAGAAACGAGCCCAACGACCAGCGTGTCTAATCGTTGCATCAGGGTAAGTGTTCGAAGTCGTATTAACAACGGCGGGAGGTGTGGTGGAGGTGGAGACGGCAGCATGGGGTTGCGAAGACGGCTGGGTGTGAGCTGCACCGCTGGATTGCTGCATGACGGTGCTATTATGAGGGCGTAAGCTGCCTGCAGTAGGAATTTTCAGGATTAGCCTCCTCTCTCTTGCTGAAGCGTTTCTCTACGTGATGCGAGATAGAGTTCGAGGGAGAAAACGATATCAGGAGTCTAGTATTCAAAAGAAAGATAGGAACATACACGTTTTCCCTTGGCATATGGGACATCGACTGCTGCTGAGGGATGCTCGTGCAGCTCGATATCTGTGCCGCTTCGTTTGGCAAAGAGACGATTTCGAACCCAGTGGAAAGGGTGGGGTCGAGATGGCGTATCATGGGCATCGTGATGAATGGTGCGGAATAAAGATAAAAAACGACTACGAAGGGTGCTTCCATGCGATGGTGATGATCGAGGGCGAAGCCGGTGTGGTGCAGAAGACTGAGAATATCGGGACGATGAAAACAGAACTGGAAGAGACATAAATAACGACGTACGTGAGCGTGATGTTGTGTATCGTCGAAAAAACCTCGGGGTACCCGATTTACGACCTTGATTGGCTGACGGACAGGACGTCGTGTAGCATCGGTCTAATAGAATGCATAAGCTTGTGTGCAATGAAAACTGTTCATGAATGTTTCACGTACAGCCAGTAGCGACTCGTTGGGCTTGTCCAAAAGAAGGTTGCCGAGGCCAGCTTCTTTTAATATCGCAGAAACATCCCAAGTGTACGCGTTCTTGTCATCGCAGCCAGTGGCTAGTAGCTTTCCATCTGCTGAAAACGAGACGATGGTCACGATATTTGCATGGTTGAGGGGCGAACTGATAGGCTGGCTGTTGTCAAGGCTCCATAATCGTGCTGTCTTGTCGAAGGATGTGCTTGCGAGGATGCGGCCATTCGGAGATATTGCAATGCCATAGACATAGGAAGTGTGCCCATCAAGCACAGCGATCTGCTTCCAAGTTGTAGTACTCCATTTCCTCATCAAGCGATCGGCTGACCCGGAGATAAGCGTTTTTCCATCTGGGGTCCAAGCCAGGCACATCACTGAATTTGTGTGTCCTTTGAGAGTGGCGACAAGTTCGCCTGCCTTCGCATCCCAGATTTTGATTGGGTGCTCGGTTTCAGGAGTTGGCCCGTCGTATCCAGCAGTCGCAAACATGGTCATGTCTGGCGAGTAGACGACTGCTAGCACACGCTCGTGCCCAGTCTCGATTGGACCTAGGATTGTCACTCCCTTCTCCACTTCACACTCCCTCACAGTCCCATCTTCAGATCCGCTCACCACTCGCTGACCATCTCGACTCCAGCAGACAGACCTCACATTTTCTGTGTGTCCCGACCATTTCGTGATGACTTTGCCTTTGTCGATGTCCCACAACCTGACTACACCATCCGAACTTCCGCTAACCACTTTCTTCCCGTCAGGAGATAACGCTATCGTCCACACTGAGCTGTCCCCGTCCCGTAAGTCCTCTCCTATCTGTTTCCCACTCTTCAAGTTCCATACCCGCAGCGAGCCGTCTCTTGAACAAGTCATCATTCGTTGTCTGCCCGGCAAATGTATGACGCCCTCGAGCAAATTGGTGTGTCCTCCAAATTTCTGGCAGGGCTTTATCATTGATGCCTCATGCGTCCCAACGATGGGTGAAGACATGATCCTCGGTTTCAACTACCGAGTGCATCGCTGTCTCAGCTTTCATTCAACAAAGTCCAAATTCGTCACTTACCACGATATGTTTTGATAAAATGGACGTTCAGGTCAAGTCGGAGTCGAGTAGACTGGAGTTCGAGTTGGTACGTTTTATATGTGACATCCTCGTGATTAATTCACAGCATTAATTATAGGCTGTGCAGCTGAATCGCCCAAGCCTAGGCCTCATGCCAGTGACTCGCATTCCATCAGTCACACCCGTGATCCCCATTATTACCGCCTGGCCAATGACATATCGCGCCTCAGATCGCACATATGTCTTTACCCAGCCAACTGAAGAAGCTTATGACCGTGTACAGAGTTCTTGAGAGAAGTCCACGAATTAGAGCGGTGACCGTTCGAGTCGAGTTGCTGACCGATGCGGTTGAACCATAAAATTCCGGACCACCTTCGTTGCGTGGGGACGTCTCACCCGTCAGTCATACAGATCAGGTTATCCATGGCAAAACCAGACCTCATTCCAGTGCTAGTGCGGTCATCCTCCAAGTCCATATAAAGAGCGAGTATACCCCTAGAGCACCATGCAAGGTGTCTTTAACCGCCTCAGCTCTGTAGCAAGATCATTATCATTCAACACTTTCACTCGTAATGTGTCCACTGCGCCCGCGCCTAAGCCCACGCCTTTTGTTCTGTATACCGCTGGAACTCCAAACGGACGCAAAGTTAGTGTTTTTCTGGAGGAGCTTAGAGCAGTTTATGGGGAGAAGGTTGATTATGAGTGAGTGCCTCATTTCCTCTCCTCTTGGGACCTGAACGAATGATATCTCGGATTCTTACTATGACAGCGTCGAGAAAATAGACATCGCACGAAACGCCCAAAAAGAGCTCTGGTTCATCAAGTTAAACCCAAACGGCCGAATCCCAGTGCTCGTCGACCGCGCGCGGGAAGACCTTGTCGTGTTCGAGACAGCTGCTAGTTTGCTTTATCTCGAACAGCATTATGATCCGGAGAGGAAGCTTGGGTTTGACCCTGTGTCGCAGCCTAATGATTATAGCGAGATGCTTCAGTGGATGTTGTGGGCGGTGATCCCATACCTAGCGTTTGGTGGGATTTAGTATCGATGACACGGTTGTTGTGGCATGGAGGCGTTGGTCCTATGCAAGGGCAAGGTCTGTAAATTCGAACTTGGTTGAAGTTTGAGTTGACGTACTGCAGCGAATCATTTTAATAGATTTGCACCTGTGGATATTCCCTATGCGAAGAATCGTGAGTTGTTTCTTTTGCTTGATGTCTTATATGCGCCTACGATGATGACTTCAGGTTATATCCTGGAAACGAAGCACCTCTATGGCGTGACGGAGATCTGCCTCACAGACCGTGATTACCTCGCTGGGCCCGGCCGAGGTGTGTATAGCGTTGCAGACATCGACGGTTTCCCATGATGGGTTCCAGCTTTGTTTCTTTTGATCTGCCAGGCCATTTGCTGAGGTTCTGGCTCTGGTTCTCTTGTGTTCAGGATTAACGTTCATCAATTTGCGGGTATTGAATCTCTCGACGAGTGGCTAAGTCTCCAGGTAAGCTTCCAAAAGCATTTTGTTTCGTGTGTGTTGTTCTAAAGCTTTGTTCGGTTTAGATGTGGTTCGGTCTGCGCGTAAAGCTGTTCAAGATGGCCTTGCTATTCCTTAGTGGACTTAGCACTAGGTCGCTAACATGGGTATTCAGTAAACGATCTCTTGTCACGTTTCTATTTTTACACTCAGTTGTTGCATGATCATAGTACTCATTGGTTTTGACGTGTCAGCAGGTGAAGTCGAGCGTCCGGATTTAGTTTTCTGCTCGTCTTGTTTGAAACGCCCGGTACTGCCGAGACGGTATGGCAACGAGAGCAGGGGAAAGGGGCACAAGAGGCCGTGCTGTGCAAAGCTTGAATGCTTGGACAAGTTCAATTGGCGGTAGCTTGATATCACCACACCTGCATGTCTTACTATACAGGTCATCGGATCGTCTTTCTTGGATCCCCAAGCACGGGATACGGCAGAAACAGTGTGAGCATGGGCGATCTTTGGAGGCTGATTAACTGATCGAACTCCTCAATGTGATCAACTTGAAGCAGAAAGCAGAATACCCCTGGGCCAATTGCACGGTTTCTCTCCATTTGAACATGCGGAGTGGCAAACAACCCTGACGCGATTACATCCAGTCCTCGTGACGATTCTCGTAAAAGATAGTCAGCGCGTTCCAGTATGGAAATCGCCCGCCGCTTGGCTTGTAAATCTCAATATCTCGCTTGCTCAAGTAGCAGTAGCCCTCGGTAGTCTTCAGTGCAACGCTTCCTTATGCATACTCTGTTTGTTTCTATTACTATTGCTTTTGTCAAACACGAGCTCTGAAGATGTTTCAATGCTTATCAAGAGCCGTTGATCGCGACCGGGAACTATGTTGCTCTTTTAGCTTTAACAGCTTTCTATTGGGAACCCGGATTGCTCGCACCGGTTTTCTCCCGCTGGCTCGCGCCAATCTTTCAGCCTGAGGTAAGTATGTCGCTTGACAACTTGACACGACATTATACATATCACATCGATAGCTGACTGTATCGATTATGTGCAGGCTATAAATACAGATGCGGTTCGTATCATCAAATCAAGCAGTTCGCTGGACTTCTACCTCTGCACTTAAGGCTCTAGCTAGCTTGTCCGTGACCCACCGGGATGGATACCTCCGATTCTCATAAAATCGTAGCAAGCGAGATAACGCCTCTGATACCTGCCAGGGGCTCGAAGAAACCTAAAACGCTCCTTCCAAAACTTCAGATAGGCATTCTTATAACGCTGCAAATTGTGGAACCCATGGCTTCGACATCTATATCTCCGTACATCAATCAGGTATGACTTCGCAATCACAACACTTTTCTTCGATGTACACCTTTGATACTGTTTTTCCCTCTTAGTTAATCAGAGAACTTGGAATCACTGGGGGTGACGATGCGGCTGTAGGTCATTATGCCGGACTGATTGTAGGTGCCAGGATTATGACTTGCAAATTACTTGCGAGAATGGCGGATGTGATTGGCAGGAATCTCTGTTTTTCGTCGGACAAACACTGACGGTGCTGAGGTGGGCTCGGAAGCCGGTGTAAGTTATCGGACTATCAGGAATTTGCATTTCGATGCTATGTTTCGGTCTCTCGACGACCTTCTGTGGCCTTATCATTAGGTATGTCTCCAGCCAAAGGAAATACGCATTGCTTAGATGGTCTCTCTAGCCGCTGCATGTGCGGTTTTCTGAATGGCAATGTTGTAGTAATGAAAACCATGAGGGAGAATTGACGGACTCCACAAATATGGCTCAGGGATTCGCCTTGCTCCCTCTCGTCTGGTGCATTGGAGGCTTTCTTGGGTAAGTGGGGCCGTTGCTGGTCACTGACGATGGAGATGGCAAATGCTGAGATCGACATGTTAGTCCTTCAATGGGAGGAACACTCTCACGACCGCAAGATCATTGGCGCGCATTATTCTCTGGTCCATTTTGGAGAAATTACCCATACTTTCTGCCTTGTGCAGTGGCAGCCTTTCTAGTCGTCCTGGCCCTTGTCATGATGTCATTGTTCTTAGAATAAGTATGTTCCACATACCCACCATATTGCACACATAAGTCACGATCAGTAGACATTATCGACGAAGCGTTCACTCCAACTACAGTTGGCGTTTCAAGTAGTCCCGACGGAGAATCACTCGCTCAAAAATCGATGGCAAATATGTCCTTGCGATCTCTCCTCACGCCTTCTGTTGTTATTCCGATTGCAAACTACGCCTTGCTCTCCTTTCTTGACGTTTCTTTCAGGGTTCTTTTGCCACTGTTCTTTTCGACACTTACTCATTTGGCGGTCTTGGATTTGATCTGGCTACTATTGGCAAATGGATGGCGTTGGAATCGCCGATGGTATCTTTCAGGCATTCTTCTTCGCCAGAATCGTCGACTGGATCGGTCCGAAGCGTTCATTCTGTATCTCAGTGTCGTGCTACGCACCACTCATTGTTATATTTCCGATAATGTCGTGGATTTTACGCGCAAGGGGAGAAGCCGGATGGATGATACGAGCCAACGACGCTAATGTCATTGTCAGTCGTCGAGTTACGGGAAATCTAGGAACCGTAGAGAGAAGAAAGATAAAAGACTACAACCTGTTCAGAATATCGGGATGAAATCGTGCATCCTGTCTCTTGCGTCTTGCGCAATACACTCCGCTATCCATGTGATGTTCCGAATCTCCTGTTCCTTCAGCTTCACATAGCTGTAGAACACACCATACTGGAATTGCTGCAGGAAAGCCAGCTTGTTGAGGTGTACCTCCATGCGGAAGAAACGATCCTCCAGCTGTGCAGCTACTCCAAAGTCCCCAAGATCTCCGTTGATCTGGGCTGCTGAGTTGTTGTCGAAGAACGAACGATATTCGCCGACGTTCTCGCACGCTTGACGAACTTGGTCTATGTCATCCGCTTTGGCGAGTGCATTGTTGCCTGCGGGGAACAATCGTCCGATAGCAGGGAAAAGTTTAGCGCGCTGCTCCTTTGTGAGTTCTGTGTCAAAGGAGTTGATGGTGATGTTTATCGTTCGTCTGTCGGCTTCGAACGCGAGAATGCTGTGCATGACCTCTGCTGTTGTTGAACCGATAGTCGAGACGTAGTTGTCGAAGTCCTCGAGATACGCTTTGTAGACGATGTTCCTGATGATCTCGATGTTCATATCATCGAGATCAGCAGCGGAGAGGCAATCACGGAAGTAGGGCGCTGATCGAGGTATTGAGTATTTGGGGTGGAGGTCATGGCAGGACAAATACCTAAAGGCGTTTCTATCAATACGCTCTGATAGAGCTCTTCCACGTTGGTTGCCACGCATAACGCAGGCATAGTGTCGAATATGCCTAGCGGATGGCATCGTTCGAGTAGTTCGTGCGTATCCCTCTCATGGAGCGTGCCCGTTATGAGTAGGATGATGTTATCGATCATGTAGCCATACCTACAAACTATGAGCGCAGGAACACATAATTGATGATTACATACGTGATGTAATCCAGGAACTTGCTCAGAGGCTCAACAGAATTTCTGCGGAGAAAATTGAACTGGTCCACGAGAGTTTGTGTTGCCTTGTCCGTAATAGTTGCGGTGGATAACGGGGATGGTTCGTTCGCGAGGAAGTTTCCGTAGTCAGTCGCAGACAGCTGCGTTTTGAAATCTATGTTGAGCGCGTAAGCAAGGACTAGCTTATATTTCTTCCCTTCCTGACCTTCCAATGTTTCACACTGGGTCAAGCTAGCATAGTGTGATTGTGTCAGTATACCAGACTTGTAGCCTCGGAGGATCCCTTCTAGGAAGCCGTTGTTCACCTAGAGGGGCGCTTCTATTAGCTTGAGAATACGTGACATTGAGAGCGTGTACCCACGTTGAAAAATATACCTTCCATTATGACCCACTCGCACAATCTCGGACATGTCATTCAAGTTATGCAGGACGCCCCGTCGCAGAAAGCTGACTAAGCCGGTTATTATGTGGCTGTGTCTCTCGGGCAAATTGGACTATCCGAGTAATTCTTTGACGCAAAACGATGGCAACAATTCTGCAAGCAGTTCGCCCTTTGCGTGCTGCTCGTTTTCTGCAGCCGGTGCGTTGGAACTCAAATGAAGTCCCACTCATCGATCCTTCGCGCATGATCCAAAAGCCTGGCTTCCAACCATCCACTCGCAAATCGAAAGGTGCTACCCTCAGGCCACATCTCGGCGTCGAGGTAGACCCGAACCATGGTCTTTGGGCTTTTTTCAGAAAGAAGGAGGTCGACGGGGAGATGGTGTATGTGAGTCTTGAAGGAAGAGATACATTCCAAGATGATCCCGGTGAGCATCAGATATTTTCTTCGTGTATTGTCACAGGTTTCTGAGTTATTGTCCGCAGCGAGGTCATGGAAAGCAGCAGAACTTCGGCGAAAGGGCTTCAAGGACTTGCATACGCTTTGGTATGTTCTCCTGCGAGAACGGAACCTCCTTGCTGCCCAGAGAGAGGAGGCGAGACGACTTGGTGTCAGCAATCATGAGAGTCTTGCTGGCGTTAAAAAGGATCTTCAAGTAAGCACGTCATTTTCATGCCAGACTGAGGCGTTGAATGTTTTTACAGTGTCGGAAATCGATGGCACGTATAAAATACGTGATTAACGAGCGAAGACTACTTTACGAGAAGTATACTGCTGAATTGGAAGCTAAACGCCAGCTCGTGGCATCCAAGTCGAAACCAACGACAGTCGGTGTTCAGCCATCTCAAGATAAAGAAAATGTTCCTCGTACGCGTGCTGAGAGGCTGAAGGCACGGTGGACTAAGAGGTCGAGTACACCTATTACTGTGTGACGCGACGAGGAAGTCGCGCCCAAGACCCTTGTACCATACTCGTAGCTACCCCCAATATTGCTTTGACCAAGTCTACCATCTCTTGCGAGGTTTGATATTTAAATATGGCTACTGTGAAGTTGTCCGTGATCCGCGTCGGTTTTGCTCCCAATCACTCATAACTTGTGATACCTGGCAGTCTCTGACAGAGGGCTGCTCGTACATCTCCAATTGCCTTCTACCACGACGGAGAAGATGCTCTATAGCTGTAACGTCACGAGGTGATACAGAAGATGCTTGTGAGTGAAAGTTGTAGCGCACGAAGAGGAGAAATTTTGGCTGGGTCGAAGCTGGTTTGGTACGGACCATGCGCAATGCACTAGAGAATTTGTCAAGAAGGTTTGCATTCTGTCCCGACTGTCACTTACCGTCTATAGAGTGCTAAGACCTCCTTCTGAAGTCCTGACTTTCTCGCCGACATCGCAGGCAGTTTGGATGTTAACCACGGTGGAAGTATGATTGATAACTCCGGTAACTCATGAAATGTTGAAGTTTAGTTGCCGGGTCATTCAACATTTTGTCATGAGCCATGATCGTGGTACCACTGTCACTTCGTTCTCACTGTCTGCAGAGATTAAGTTCTTGTCGCCGGCTTCATACAGGTTCTGCTTTGCGTTCTGAGGCTGGTATTTCCAATCCAGCCGAATACTGCAAAGACTTGGTACGGAAACATGACTATGAAGGTTATTTGACGTCCCAGCTATACCCTAAACGATTTCAAGGTGGGTATTTCGCACTCAGAGCATTCTATGTACGTGTGACGTTTTACCAGTGTTTAACTGTCTCTGACTTGCGGTTTAGATCGAGCTTGCCACGGTGCGAGAAGCGGTGTCCCAAACTACCTTGGGTCAGGCTCGCCTAGTGTTCTGGAGAGATGCCATGAAGGATATTTATAATGTAGGTGGCACTTGCTTGAATACCGCAATCATCTGATGTCTCTATTATAGGATAAGCCTCCGCGTCATCCCATTGCTCTCGCGATCCATGAAGCAACACGGGATAACCATTTGCCTCTATACCACTTTAACAGGATAATAGAAGCAAGGGTAAGCGAGCCGTTCACGCGTTCACATATGGCCCTTATAGTCGTCTAACTTGAAGGAACAAGAACTTCATAACCAGACACACCTTACTCTGGAGTCCATGACATCACATGCGGAATCTACTTCATCAACTTTCCTCTATCTTCTGTTGGCAATGTTGAATCTACCCTCCTCCACGCTTGCGCACGCAGCTTCGCATATTGGGGTAGCTCAATCATTGACGACCCTTCTGCGAGCTTTGCCTTTTCATGCTAGCAAGGGTGTTATGGTCATACCCGCGGAGATCACTGCCAAGCATAATGTCAATCAGCAAGAAATTTTCAGCAAGGGGGAATCGTCCCACGGGCTAGAGGACGCGGTGTTTGAACTCGCAACTGTTGCAAATGATCATTTACTCACCGCACGCGACATGTTCAAGGAGTCCGGGGGCAGGGTCCCACCAGACGCCATGCCTGTATTTTCCGCTGCTGTACGTCGGATTTTTCGGATCACTATGATTTTTCGACCAAAATTTCCAGATACCAGTGGTGTCCATTCTATCAACGTTGGAAGTCGTCCATTTCAACGTCTTTAACCCCTCCTTGCAGATCCGAGATTGGAGATTAGCGTGGCAAGTCTGGAGGAGTTACTATAAGAGGACTTTCTAAAAAGACCCAGACCACATGCCGGCATTGCATCTTAGCACAATGTAGCGCCTGTTAACGGTGTAGAACGTTGTCATTTCACGCATCTTTTCATTCTAAACAGCTTGAACTTCATAATATTATATTTTGTGGAACATTGTGATCGCTTTGGCCGAGGTTTTTTGACTTTCAAGATGCAGCGGTGGTTACGAATTTAGAAGTCCGATGAAGTGCGTTCTCCGGCTGCACACCTCTTGACACCCAACCACATCGTCGTAAACGGAGCCAACCTCGCCAAGTCTCTAACCCTAGTCGTTAGGTTCTTTGGACGGAGCCAACTTGTGACTAGTGCTCTACCTGAGTAGTTCAAGCTTCTTCCTACCGCAGTCAAGAACCCTTCTACCACACAGCCATGCAACGCCTGTGTGGTATGTTTTCTGATCATTCCTTTTCTCACTCATAACCTGAGATTTGCATAGATGAAGTTATCGAGTTGATCTTCTACGAGCTCGACGACCCGACCGCTTTGACGCTTACTTCCAAACACTTTCACAATGTGTCCCATGACCCCTACGTTCGAGCCCACTACTTTCTCAACCGTTATGGTCGCATGGACGCTATGTTTTGGGCTTTAGGAAGAGGGAAGATTATGACCGACAAAGTCATCGACGTTTGTCACTTATTTCTCTTGCTGTGTGTCAGCGCTTCGTGGAGCTTAACTGATTATATGCGCTCCCTTTGTCTAGATCTTAATCAGTAGTGGCGCATATGTATCCAGATATCTTGTCCAAGTCGCCATACACCATTATTTTAGGTCTGCAAATCATTTCATAAAGACCGCATGGGTTCGCAACATGTCGATTCCCGTTTTCGCTCATTTCATGAAGGTCGCATGCGGGTTATTTGATGAAGTACCGTTGGGAAAGAATGAGGATGACGGTTATTTCTTCGCTGTGTTTTTGAAGGAGAGCAGGCTTCCGCCAGATATGAAAAGCACAAAGTGGGAGACAGTGCGGGATATTTTTGGCAAGTATAAGGTGCGCGGCGTCAGTTTCCTCAATGGTACGGTTTCCTATGATTCGCTTTAGTTCATCCCGTTCAGCATGAAGGTTAGCTTCTGGAATGTCGTAACTTGTTTGGGTATACTCACGGCGTCCTCTGACAGGACCCCCTTATGGTGCAATTACCGATCGCTCTCGCTATCGAGCCAAGATTACTTCCCTATGCTGAAGCCAATGGATTCCACATGGACACGAAGGTAATCTTACATCCCAACGCATCCGCCACTAGTACTAAGAATTTGATAGTACCGTGATTTCGTCTTCCGTAAGATGTTTGAGAAGATGGCGCTCAACAACGGTGAACGGTCCGATGACATTCTCAGGAACGTGCGCGAGCTGCGGCGTCTTGATAGTAGGTGAGAGCAAGCAGTCTTATCACAACAGTCTTTGCATGCTCAGATACGTCTTCGCATTTCATGTTCCTGTTTGCCTGCTAGGATGTTCCTGAGTCGCACAGTAGCAGCTGAAATCTGTATGGAATCGAAGAGCAATGAATCGGCTTACCGTGCACTTAAGATCCTCGACCGCACCAAGGAACTCCTATTCGATCTCTCGTACGTATACCACCTTTTGAGATCGACGTTCATTCATTCCTCGTTCTTACTTCACTGACCCATAGCACCGTCGTCGCCGAGTTGATCAAGGTAAATTCAAAATGTACTTTGTGTTGCTTTGACTTGAGCTCTGTCTTTAGCTATTTGTCAAAACTCGTTCTATTACTTCCGCCTATACCATCAACGTTCTCAGACATCTATACGCCGATTTTCCTAGTACAGATCCAACAGTCCGCATCGTCATGCTCTTGACAGCATGTTTGTCGGATAATGTCCTGGTTCAGCCAAACACCTCGGGTACACTGAAGAGCAAACTAGAACCCCTGGGTCTACTCCCGTTGACGAGGAAGGATGTTGTAGACATCTTGACCAATCCGTTCGTTGAGAAACATTCAGCTCTTGTTGACTTCGCAAAGGACGAGATGAATCTCAGTTCGAGTGATATCAAAGACATCCTTCAAGAAGTTGCTGTGAAGTGTCTCAAGATTGGCAGTAAGGTGAGTGGTTGGACTAAAGATTGTGGCGGACCATTATTTTGACGACTTTGATAAATAGGGGAAGACGCTCAAGAAACTCGTTGACTGCCATCCATATCTTCATGCAGTATTGCAAGAAAATGCAATCCAGCGTTATGCGATAAATTTGGACGATCTTCCACCTTATGATGATGAAGAGGCGTGCGCTACATACGAAGCTCCACTATGTAGAGACTTCAATGCCAGCTCGAAAGGTACACGGAGTAACTCTGGTGCTGCTGGCCTGCATTTGGCAGTCCCGAACGCTTCGGGGAATCCTGCAGAAACGGGGGATGCAATTGCTACAGATGGTCGCGAGATGGACGAGGATGAAAGTGGGAATGAAGCGGCTGTTGAAGCCGAGATCGGGGACACCTCAGAATTGGTTAGTGTATCGTTGCTTTTAACGTCGAAACGTTTGCTCATTACGTTGCAGGGGATCATCGGTCAAGACACATTATCCTCTATGATCCGACAGGACGAAATGGCTCCCACACGTTCTCGCAGGCGGTCTCTTTATTTTAGCTACTTTGGACCTGACACCACCGGAAAGCTCGGGTACCCAACAGGTAATGATTGAACCTTATGCATATACAACGATAGATGGTCATAATGCTTCGCAGATTTTATCCCAGTTGGTCGATGGGTCAAAGAACGATATCCGGTCCGAAGTGCGATGGCTGCTACGTTCCTGACACACGCCGTGATCAATAATAACACTACGGTTGGCGCTGTATTCTCCCGAGGAATGATCCCTCTGACACAACAGCACAGCTTCTTCATGGATTTTTCACATGCAATACCCCCTCAACTAACTATGTTTCAACATCACAACATGTACCTGTAACACTCAAGCATTTCAGGCTACTTGCACGCCTTGGAAAAGCGCCGGTTAGCACGAATCGATGATAGGGTGTATTTTGCTGACTGTTTCTGAACCCCTGCTAGAACTGGTGTCTTTACCACGAGATTGAGAACGGCGCCGAATTTTACTTTTCTGAAGAAGACTATCTTTCGAAGCAACCACCAGCGACGGAACCGAAGCGATGTAGCAAGGTAAAGGTGAAGTCAAAGGAGACCAGCCCCACTATCCCTCGTTTCTCTACCCAGGCCGGTCCGTCGAAGGTTCAAGTTTCTCCGCGAGTCAGTAAACGGAGACCGCGCCGCTCTGCGGCCGCTGTCATGTCTTATGTCATCCCAGATTCTGATGATGAAGCTATCGTCGAGGACGATGACGAGAATGCTGTTGTCGTCCTCATGACAATGCAGGCAAAGAAGCGCAAGGTAGAGTCGAATCTACAACGGTGGATCAAGCATCTGTCAGTGTTACTGGCCGAGGAACAGAAAAAGGTACCGTTCCGATTTATTAAACTTCTTTTCAAATATTGACGTGTGTTCATAGTATAAAGAAAAACGCAAGCGTCTTGAGAAGAGTACGCCTTCCGATGGTAGACGTCGCGTTGCAAAGGTAGTTATTCATTCCTCTTGGCCTGGCCTTGCCTGATAGACGTCCAAATTTAGAGCGAGTTTCATAAATCACTGATGGTCAATCTTCGCTCTCTACGGAAACTCGACCTAGATAAGCGGAAGCAACTTTACGGCCCAGACGCAGCGGAAGATGATTACTTCACCGAAGATGATGGCGATGACGAATATCGGCAACGGACAACGCGCGTTAACAAGAGGCGTCGTGTGACCACGTAGCTTTTAGCCTCCGAACTCTGTCCATTATGTTTATATCACTATACACGTGCTAATCGCACGTTACGCACATACTAATATCGCATCACACTACCCGCTACGTTATATTCCTTCGGGAAAGTCGTTTAATGGATGTTTAGATGATATGGAGCAATCTGCTCAAATTCGGTATCTGTAGCGCACAGAGCGATCGCCCAACCTGATTCTCTCTTCCTCGGTTTCTTCCTTCGCTTCACCCTTGGACAATAAACGATCTCGCCTCCTGTTTTCCACACTCATCACGACCCACAAATATGTGGTCATCACAATTGCGAACAGGAGATAGCCGATGGCTATAAGATTGGGTGTGCGGTACAGGTGACTGCTCAGTGTGGGCCTGTAGATCAGACAGCCTGCAATCGCTCCGATATCGCCGATGCTGATTTGGAGGGCTACCGCAACTGCGCGTTTAGCCTGACCAGAAACGTTCTCCCCAGGCCAACTGTGATATGCTATTAGCTAGTGCCATGAGCACAACTGCAGTCACCTGAACAGACCTTAGAAGAAGCGAATTGCCTGTATATACACCGGCTGTATCAATTCAGGACATAAGAGCGACAGAACCTCGAATAATTTTCTGCGACTCACCCGCTGCGAGGTGTACTCCAAAGTACTGAAGGCCGGCTATTATATGTGTGAACACATGTTGCACCAACAATTGATCAAATTAGGCAACTTACGACTTGTGCAAGCAATGAGAAGAATATATCCTCGAGATTCATGAGATAATTGAAGTGCGTGGCACAAATGCTCTCACCAATAATGGATACAATTGCAGCTCCTATGATGAAGGGTGCTCTTACATTGAACTTGCTTGAAAAATATACTGTGGTCCATATTGAGAAGCTTGCGAGCACATTCGGGGGGACGGTCATCCTTATGGTGGGTATCCACATCAACATTGGGTCAGGCTTCGAGATCGAAGGGACTTACAGTTGAGCCTGCCATGTCTCGAATCCAAGTCCTGCGATGATTGTAGGCTAGAACGGGCAGTCAGGCACTATTAGCGACTCCCTTCGATGACAAACGTACCAGGAAAAGGCTGAGCGAGTACAGGACAAAAGAGAATCCATGGAAAAGGAATGCATATGCCCAGACTAAGTGATCGCTAAATGCATCTCGAACGGACGACCATTTGAAAACTTGGTCAGTTCCTGCATCGGAATCTGCTCGCAATCTATCTAGCAGTCGTGTTTTCTCTGTTTCAGATAACTGCAAAAGTTGACGTTTTGGAGTGCCGAAATAGGAGAACACTCACGAATTTGGCCTCGTGAGACCAAGTGGGCACAATGAAATATGCGACGAGGGAAACAACCGCTGTCAGTATTCCCTCGATAATGAATATCCTTTTCGATGTTGGGTTAACGAGGTGAAACATGGGAACGCGAACATACCATTGCCAACCACTTCTTCCGCCCACACCATTCATCAATCCAATGCAATATGCAAATATCCCTTCAGACATTTAACTGTACTGCAGTCACATCAAGAACGTCTTGCATACCTCCAAATGCTCCCGCCAACGCCGAACCACCGAAGAAAATCGCAACTCGCCAACTCCGCTCGCGTCTACACAAGTAGTCAAGCCCCGGTATGAATAAGACTCTAACATCGTGCTTCTCACCTCAGATAATATACTGAGAAGACGTATATCACACCGGGAAACAGGCCAGCTTCCGTGGCACCAAGTACTGACGACAAGTAGGCGATCATCAGCAAGACCTCCATACACAGAAGACGACATACAGAATCTGATTCCAAACAACCCGGCTTGGTTTTTGACAAGGCCTTGGCCAATAGAGACGATACCCCAGACAAGAGTCAATGACGGGAGCCAGACTTGCGGATTGCATTTCTTCAATCTGCACAGGGATAATAACAAGTCAGAATACCTTCTAGACCAGCATTGATGGGGATCGGTATCACATTATCTAGAGGAAATGATGTCAGCTGAAGGTATGAATCGGAATTTGCGGTACATACATTGGCGGGGACCTCGAAAATAACATAACCGACAAAATATATGGCTAAAGCAGTGTTGTAACTAGCAGGAGATACGCCGAGATCCTATGAAGATCACAAAGACATCAAATGTCAGGCCTAGGTCTCATATCACGAAAAGCGTAAACCATCGCACAGTTGTCATTCCATCGATTCTACGTGTGATCTGGATCGTTAGCAGCATAAGAGTTGAGTACACGTTAGTTTTGCTTACTTCGCATTCCCGATATTCGACCTTTGGACATTAGCTCAAAATGCAGCTACTAATCAGATAGAGAACAAACCTATCCAGGAAACTGAGGAGGTAAAGCAAAGTGAAAACAGGCAGAAGTCTAAGGTCAATCTTGCGTAAAAGTCTGTGATCCTCTACGGAAACCTGGTCCCCCTCGACCACGGAGTTCTTTTCGGACACAGACATGGTAAAGACCAAACACAAGATAGCAATTTGCCCACCCACATGAACTTATACGCTGCAGAAACACACCGTGACGCAACTAAGGAGCGTGATGGCGAATTGGGGATGGTGTGGTTAGGGGGATAAAAATATCATAGCTCATTTCCACGAGTCTCACCACGGTAGAGATGGTTGTAGTACCTGAGAGAGTCTCGACTCCCCTTTAGAGGGTTGTTTTCACGGACAGAAACGTCCAGGCACCAGCAAACGAATCTGTGTTTGTGGGAATTTGACTGCTGCGATGGGAAAGCTGCCAGTGATGACTGTACAGACTTCAAGCTTTAGTACTATATTGATGTGTTTTCTGGATCAAGGAAACTGTGTAGGTTCGAGCGAGTCATGGATGTATAGCACCGAGAAATAAAAGAATGAGAGAGGCTAGCTAATGTGTGGTGCTGGTTCCTTCCCGACGGTGTTCAGGAACCGGCACCTTTCACATTCTTCCTATGAGAGGGCGTCCTGCATACCATATCCGAGATTGTGCCATGCTTTCTTGTACCGAGTACTCTGCTTTTCTGCAACGGGCAGTTACCTCTTGCCCTTAACGAGTTACCAAGTACTGGCCTGAGCAACAGCTTGGGGAGCTCATAATACGTCTCCGAAAGCCCTTTGTTGCTCAATCCTGACACGAATGTTTTACGCATCGGCAACGCATTTTCAGTCTGCATGCAATCTGTCTGGTCAACCCTCTTTCCAGAAGCAGAAACAACACATGGACCATGTGCAACCGTGACTTCACGGGCATCGGGCGCGGCTGAAGGAACGCATACTCCCAAACCCGTGAAACAATTCCGTTTTCCCAGTCCCCGACCGCTGATATCGGACTGTCAAATGCAACGAGCTTGGGCTCCTGGACCTTTCTTCTCTCTAATACCCTTCCTTCCCTTGAGGGCTTAAAAACTGACGAGCATTTTCACAGAATCGAACAGCGCAACAGATTTCCATCCAACGAGCTTCCTGCAACACCCGATCATTGGGCCGTTCTGTTCCGTTCGGGCTGGGCGAAATATCGGTTTCTTGATGACGATTTGAGCCACAGTGACTATGCAGGGTTTCTGCAGCACAAGAGAACCAACCTATAAACTAGCCCACGGACATAAGCGCCGGGAGTCTAACGAGACGCGACAAGTGCGCCGTGTCGCAAGTAGACATTGCTTGGCACTCCAAGACATAACTTGGCAGTGAGAGGTATGGTCTTTTTCTGAAGTTCATTCGTAGATCCTTGACGGGATCTCTAACCTCAATTATTTCGAGGGCTATAAACACGCGGATACACTTTTGTGCTGCTAGCCACGTGATGAGCTCGCCATCAGAAACCTAACACCAACGCGGCCAAGTTGTGGACGATGGTTATATTGGCTTTTTGCTGTTTCAGCAGAACGCCGAATTAACCATCGCCTACAAGCAAGTTCGAGACGTTTGAGGAAATCCACATAGGAAATACAAGAACTCCAGAGAAATGGGTGTGCCACCTATTTAGTCGTCCTGACTGTCAGCATGTGCAGAAAGACCATATGACGATTTCCCAAGTGTGAATATGTACGACCGAAATAAATGTCAATATTCCGATGAGCCTTGAAGACACTCACGCGAGTGATTCCAAACTCAAATCATTTCCTGCCATTCGTACCGCCATCTGTTTAATTCACTGCATTGAGTCCAGGACAACTTGCGCGATAAGGAGCAGACGATCGACGGCAGGATCCACGGTAAATAACGAAAAATGCGAGGGTATCGGTGAAAATCCTGACAAGGAGCTTATTTCTGACTGGAGGCCTTCATTTTCGACTGATCAAATAAAATCTGTGACGCTGTTCTGCAAAGTTGCATATGGCCGGATGAGCTATGAACAATTTATGAATTGGTTCTGCGGAACAAACGTCAAGCGGACTCATAAACGCTATGGTCGTTCACGGAGTCAGATGCTGCCGAACTGTATATTCAGTCATTGAAATAACGACTTGTGCAAATTGGTGAAATCTAGTCCGTCGCTGGTAGAGCAGTGAAACGAATAGCTAGTGAGGTATACTATTTCTTGGGCTTTTTGGCTGGAGCGCAGATCAATAGCGAGCTCCGGAGTAAACATTGTTTCTCACCTCCATATCGACTCCGTGCAGTCATACGATTGACTACTCCTCCGAAATCTAAAGATCCACGGACGACCTTGTAGCTAGGATGAAAAAAGTTCAGGTGCACATCGAACATGTATATCCGGAAGAGACTCACCGAACACCGGGCAAGTCCTGAGCACGTCCACCGCGTATTGTCACCACACTGTGCTCCTGCAAGTTATGTCCCTCGCCCTGAATGTATGCCATGACAGTCTTCCCGGTAGTCAACTTGACACGCGCGACTTTCCGCTTCGCCGAGTTGGGTTTCTTGGGCTTCATAATAAAAATTTGGGAGCAGACACCCTTTCTCTGCGGGCAGACCTCCAGTAGTGGTGACTTTGGGTCTTTAGCTTTCTGCGGACGCTTCCGTCGCATCGTCTGATTGAGTGTCATGGCCAAGGAAGGCGACGAACTGAAAAAACGCGATTCGAGAAGAGACCTTGTGGCAAGAGGAATCACAGAGAGTTGAGTTAGCCTGCATGGCTGAGATATTCGACCCCAGGCTCGCAGTGCAGACAGCATTTTCGACTTGTTTTTCGGCACTAGTTGTAGAAGAAGCTAGAGGTAGCTGACATAATCAGGACAGTGCCGCGTATACGCCTGCCCTCAATTCCAAATTGGACTCGCGTCTCGCGACAAACACGCTCAGGCTAAGTATCATACTACTGGAGAACTCCAGAAATGCCGGTGGTCAGTTCTTCAAGGAGGAAGAGCGCGCGTTCTCGCAGGGAACCTTCTTCAGACAGAATAGAAGAGGACTATCCGTCTCAGCATGCTGGTAACAACGATGATGTCGAAGGTGGAGATGAAGAGGAAGAACAACCGAGGCGGAAGGTGAAGCAAGAAAAGAAGGCCCGAAAACGCGCTCGCGGAGACTCTGAGTCTGACAACGATCCCCCTGCTGTTGTGGATGATGACGAGGACGATCGCATTGACATCGAGAACTTTCATGACCAGCCCCTAGACAAGAAAGAAGGCGGGAAGCTCTCCGGCATTGCGCAGGACTGGGAAATGATCCGGAAGCAGATACATCAGGGTTCATTCTCCCTCGCGAAGGAGGTGGCTACTTCCCTTGCAGACGTCTTGGAAGGAGATAACGCAAACCAGGCGAGTTACTAGCCAGTCACCATTCACTATGGACTCTTTCTGACCACCTGGACTACTCAAAGGCTTTGTCAGAGGTTGATGATATTATGAAAACATTAATTGACATCGACTACGAGATGCAGTCACATGAGAAAACTCTCAGCGGGATGCACCAGCAGCTCATGCGTGGCGAGCCAGTGGTGAGTGGGTCCTGATGGAGAATCTGGGGATATTGACGCCTCGTACAGGAGAGTGCCGTAGACCTCTATGAGAAAGAGGTAAAGAAGAGGATTAATGAATTCAACGATAGAACCACTCGGAAGAAGTATGGCTCGAACGATCAATACGTTCAGTTCAAGCAAGGCATTTTTGTACGTTGTCCGTTAATTAACGGTTCACTGGCCTCATCAACATTATTTTAAATAGGAGGTCCAGAAGCCTGGCGAGAACATACCTCCCATCAATGACTTTATACCACGGGGTTGTTGCTTCTGCATCTTGCGTGTAACAGATTCTGACAAAGGTCTTCAGAGGAGGGAGATGAAAGTGATGACGAAGACGACCTAGAGATCGGAGGAGTCACACAAGACTTCAAATGTCCTATCACCTTGACGATGCTAGTGAATCCCATGAAATCGTAAGTAAATCCATATTGGACTTGTTCTCTGTAACCCAACTTTTGCAGCTCCACTTGTGGCCACGCCTTCTCTGGAGATGCTATCCGGGATTACCTGAAGAGAGGCCCTCCTTCTGGGAAGTCATGTCCTGCCGCAGGCTGCAGTCAAAAGCTCACTATGGCTATGCTGGTTGCTGACAGTAGTCTGGAAAAACGGGCCAAACTTGCGGCAAGGAGGGCTCAGCGGGATGAAGATGACAGTGACGTTGACGATGACGAGGTGATAGAGTAAATAAGCTTCCCTACGACTAATCTTGGCCCGGCTGTACTTAGCTTACCCTAATCAGAGATCCTAATGAAAGGGTTTTCCTGACAAGCATGGCCTACGACTTCATGGTATATAAGTGCAGTATACAGTCTGTAGTGCGACATTCAGTCTCCAAGAACAGACATTTCCACAAGTCCTCCGGCGTCTCTTAGTTTCGCTTCCCTCTCTTTGTTTGCCCTAACGAGCTTCTCGATTTCGCACCCTAGTGCCCAACACCACGCATCCCTTTCAACCCTGCTTCTTGTCCTGAAGACAATAACCCTGTGCTTTGCCGAGAGAGAAGGCACGTTGCCCGCAGCTCCAGCCCTACTTTTGCGGTACCAGATAGCGAAGAGCACATCCTCTTCTGGGTCATCGGCTTCGAATCCGTCAATGTAGCGACGGGCAACACTGGGAGTTTCAGGGTGATACTCGCCTGGCCGCAAAGTAAGAGCAGCCAGATACCCTGAACAAACATAGGAATCCATTAGATTGATCTCCCTGCTCTTATGACAGAGAAATGAATTTCGTGAGACTTGGTATTGGAGGAGACGTCCAGCAACTAGGAACAACTGCACGAGCCTGCCATTATAGGAAGGCGTGAGTTCATGACCTGTTATTAGATAGCAATGCTTACTGACTTGTACTGTCCCTGGAGCCCCTTTCGTGTAAATGCACGGCCACTCTTGAGTATGCTTCTACAATCGTCCAGCGTGCACCAATGGTACAATGAGCTCAGTTCAGGCATCAATTCTGCATCTACAATGGGTACCGTCGGGATTTTCTCCCCATCACAGGACGCATGCTTAGTAACACGCGGAGTGACAGGGGGACGATGGCGTGTAGAGTAAGATACGTCCATCTCATCTCGAGCATCAACGTGATGCCGCTGTGTCCAGTATTCGACAAGTGCGCGTAGTCGTTCGACCCATTCTTGACTCATCTGGCAAGAATATGTCTAAAAGGAGAATCAAACAAGGCGTTAGTGAGAACCAAATTGTTTGAAATATTCTTACCTCGAATCGGATCACGCGCCCAGATATCATGACGATCTCGAAGCAGCGTCTAACACGCAGCTGATTCTTGTTATGAGCCTGCGCAAGACCCTCGGCGCCACCGATATCAACCTCGTCCCGAGTCAAAATGTCTTGGTTTCCCACAGATCCACCAGCTACAGTAGCCGTGGCATGGGTCCTAGCATCACGATCGATGGTTTCGTGGGTCGCCCGGCGGATCTCCCTGATATTCCGCAGGTCAAAAGCCTCGAATGCGGCTGCAATTTGAGAGGCTCCTCGTGCGACCTCGGCCTCACGAAAAGCCCGTGTGTATTCTAGTGATTCATTATGGTGTGATGATAGGGCACGAGATAAATGAACGTTTGGAGGGACAGGAGCGTGAGAATTTGAGGGCAAAAGGGCAAAAAGATGGCCGTCATGCGAAGTAAGGTAAATATGTTGTTTACCTTGACCGCTGGGTTTGATCCGATCGAGATACCCCTCTATACATGGAGGTTCGTGTACCTTTGTCCCATCGGGTAGGTGAATTGTAGCCGGATAGTGTTGGCCAAGCCTAAGCTCAAGGTGTGCCGATTTGGTTCCCTGAGTAGGACTTCAGCTGAATCTCGTATCAGGAGTCTCCCATTATGTTCACCTGTTGCATTGCCAACCCACAGAGGACGGCCCACGGTCTAGGCTGGCCCATCACGTCTTCCTCCTTCCATACCCAGTCCAGCTTTGCTTCCAAGTTCCACGCTAACTCGAGGGTTGTGCCTGCTGCAATTTTACGTTCTACCACGTAGTTCCAGTCACGGGATGCAGCCTCATGGGAGCCGCAAGATGAAGCCAGAGACTTCCGGACAGTGTCGATGATATTTCTCCGGCTAAACATGTGATAGGCCTTGTCAATATTGACTTCATCGACGGCAGGAACATCCAAATCAACGCGTGTACCGATGGCCGGGCACCTAAGTTCAATAGAAGGGGGTAATTTGCCGCCAAGATGACGCCTGTAGTGACTGCTCGATCAAAAGTTGTGTCCTGAGTATTTCGTACTGACCATAACCGCCAGCACCAGTCCATAGCCCTTGTACGACATTTTGGCTTAAAAATGAAAACATTCGTCCCTTCTTGCACACGGTCAAATAAAGCTCGGGCTTTCGTTTGGTTGTTACGGACTGGCGCGCGTGGACACAAGATACAGAAAGTGAAGTCGGTGAAGGAATAAAGGGTTGAATGTGTTCGTTGAGATTTGAGAGGTATCATAAATGCGAGATGTTTATGTCCAGTGATGTGCTCTTTCCCTGGCAAGGTCTGATAGGATAGACATTATGGCTCAGCAGGTTGAAAGAATAGACCTACATAATCTTGGTAAATTTCAAGCCGCTCTCCTCGCCAGACCACCAGAAATTCAGCCCAGTCCTCGTATCTAAGACGAGGAGTTATACGATTCTGAACTTCATCAAAGTGGCAAGGTAGTGACTCTGATTTTGTGTAGCTGACTCTGACGAGCATTCGGTCTATGAACTCCATATCAATGAACGCCTTCTAGTGGCACAATTCAAGATACGGACCTCGGAGCACGATATTTCCCCGCTCTTTACACTGAGATTGTTCATGTAAGGGAGTCTCATCCAAGGTGACTCCCGCACTAGTTTCATCCACTTCGCTTCCAGTTCTTGCAAGGACAGCGGCAGGAGGTGCGGGGATATCATTGGCATCAATCGAGAGCTGCAAGTTCGAGGAGGTCCCCTCGTTTACATGGTCGAAACTTCTATCCTTCCCTTTCCCCTTGTCCAAGCCAACTGGTAAGAGCTGTGAGTCCGAGCTCGTTGGAGTGGTTATACGACCACCAATGAAGAAGGTCGTCTTTCGTTTATTTGTATTCATGTGTGCCGAAGACTTCTTTAAAATAGTAGGTCGTTGAGAGTCCTCAGGGGATGCAACATTAATGCCATTAGCAGAGGGTCGATACTCGGAAGCCGTTCCAGCAGCGAAAAGATCCGAGCTAGAAGAGGGCTCGGAACTCGGGGAAGGAAATATAGATGATTGAGAGTTAAGAACCGCACTAGGAGAAAACTCTGTCCCAGCTGTGACAAACGTTTGACCGCCGACCGTAGAAAGGGGATCAGTTGTGGAGGGGGCATCAGTTGCTTCAGGACAGGTTTGATTAGCTTGTGGAAGCGATGCCGGGGGGCTGTCGAGAATGTTTACACCTAAAACGTTTCCGATTTCGAAGCTTCCCCCTACCCAACGCTGCGTGGTACCAGTATCCTTTTTGCGATGTCTCATAGCTCCACCCCATTCGCTTTGTTGCCACCGGTTCCACATATTTTGTCGTTCGTCCGTCTCAGCTTGCTGTCCCCAATCTTCCTTTCTCCCGCCTTGGTGGAGGAAACCGAGGTATGCATGGTTTTGGAGGAACGAAGTGGACGATTCGTCGGCCCCATCACTTCCTTCATCGCTTGAATGCAGCCACCTTAAAATTTGATTTGTAACTTTTCTGTTGGACGAATCTAAGTCTATTTGGGAGGCATCCTTCGAGGCGTCTTTCTCTGGCATGGGTCCTATGAAAATCCGGCGTCTTGAATGACCGTAACAAGCGAGGGACTCGCCAGGAAGTGCCAATGCGACACCACGCGAAAGTGCTTCACTTTGATGCGGCTGCAAGGAAGCCATGAGTGAAAGGGGGGTGGATGCTGAACGTTGAGTGGCTGAGCGCTGGAGCGCTCGCGAATAGACCACCCGTAACAGAACAAAGAAAGTGGCTGACCTCACGTCATAAAACCCTAACCTGACTTTAGGGTTTGCCCACGAAAGCCATTTAGAGTATTATTAACATTAACTAGAACTAACTATGTAAGGTGTGTAAATCAAGTGGGGGTTTAACGTGTAACGGATGTGACGGTCCGTGGTCTAATCCTATATTGCTAAGTACCAGCCGGCTACTTCGAGTCGGCTTTACCGTGCTCGAGCATCTGGTGCGACTCCACCACGTACTTTTCGGCTTCCTCCCTCGTGAATCTATTCAAGCATCAGATGAAATAGTCATCAAAGTTGTACAATTTACGTACCCAAGCTTGCGCCCTTTGACAAGCATGTCTGGTTCTCGGAGGGCAAAAGGGTTTACGTCAGTCTCGGTGTTCAGGTTGGCGAGACTGTGGTTCACGAAACGGTGCGTGGATTCATCAGACCGCACAGCGTAAATGACGTCAAGTAGCTTGGCGCCAGGATCTAGACGCCAATAGTCTTTGGCAATCTCCGGAGCAGGCATATTACTCCATTCGGGTAGACGTCCAGACTCGATGTCCTGGATACATCGAGTACTGAGTTGGTTAGCATTGCTGCACAAAAACAAAATAAAGGCTGTCCTTACTAGGTTAAGACGGCTTCTTCCTCTAAGTACGCAACAAATCGGTGACATGTGCGTGGCGATATTATGTAGGACAGGACTGACAGTGCGAGTTAGCAATGTGTTTGAGATCCCGACCGATTCGATGCCACTCACAAAACAAGTTAAAAAACACGCCCTGCGCCCCTAAAACCAGGCCTCTGAAAAATAATGAAGGCCTTCTCAAGGTCATAAAGGTCCTATACGATAACGCCCAGTCAGTTATGTTCAACTTCACGAAACATAATCCAATCACATTAGATGCATTCTTTCATTCTCGGCTTCCTCCAGCAAAGTATGTATCCAACCAGAGTCTCGACGCTATCAAATAATTAGGAATGTGATCGTCAGAAAGAAGTTTGACTGACCATGAGACGCAAGCTGGTGAGATGGCGGAGCATCGCCGCAACCATTCCAGGTACTCCGGCGACTGTCTCCAAGAAAAGGATACGCTAAACAACGGTAATGAAACAACGGAAATAACACTTGATGACGAATATGCTCACACTTAACCACGCCTTCTCATCCAAGATATATCCGCCCTTCCTGAGTTCTTCGACCGACATCTTGCTATCAGCGGGAATCGGTTTGTGTTTGTAACCAGACACTAGGTCAAAACCCCATCTGACATGTACATGAATACTTGCATAATACTAGAAAGACTGTCTCACCTTGTCAATTTGACAAGATTGCATGCAATCTTGTCCGATATGGTTTTCGCTTCCCTTTGGAGAACCTGCCAGCTCGTATTTGATACAAATCGTGATCAGGGACGAAATACAGGAAGTACCCTCGACTGCTTTGATTTCCTCCTGGGAGTATACAGGATGAAATAGAACCCAATCGCCTCGGACGATAGTGGGCGGCAGTGTGCTAACTGCATCAGGAGTGGTTAGACCCTGCTTAGATGTAGCCGAATCCTCTGCGAAAGGATTACCGGTGCGTCAGTAATGAGGAACAACAATGGATAGATGACCCTCACTGGTATGGAAGCCCTCTGTTCCCGTGGCCGATTCCTCATTGATTCGTTTCCCTGTCAATGAGTTGTTGTTTGGCTGACCGCTATGAATGAGCGCTCGTGTTGCGAAAGTAGTTCCTAATTTAGGGGCTAGCTTCGATCCAGAGTGAAGAATGCCAACGCGGCAGACAGGAGTAGCACAAACAAGGGCAGTCCTCAGCATACTCGACATAGAGTGCAGGTCCAAGTGTCAAATCGTTCAAAAGAAAACTATACACACATGGTACGACCGCCCAAGTCGGCCTCTTATGTTAGTTGCGCCCCGTATGGCTCCGATTCGCATCCGAGACAGTCCGCGACCCGGCTTTAAGAAGATCCAACAAGGTCTAGTATCCTGTGCTCCTGTGCTCCGAGTTTCACTTGGTTTTGATACTTCGCATTTGAGAGACATAACTACTGAAGCTGAAGAATTATTATATTCTCTGAACGTTCGATCACCATCGCACTTACAAAAAAAGTCGCTGTTTTTACGTCATTATGCCAGATACGGCAGGTGCTCAAGAACAACTTCACGTGATCAGATAAGTATAGGCTGTACAAAATGGTATCAAGGTGGATCACTGCCTGCAGGCACTCTGACTCATCCATCATGCACGCCAGTGTACAGACCGGAATAACCGTCGGAGAGAATAAATAGAGGCACACAGCTTTTCAGTATATTTGATAGACCGAACTGAGTCAATGGATTGACACGTGACGCCCAAGGGAAGCTTCAAGTCCAGACTCTCCACTGAGCTGTAAGATTTGCTCCCACCGCAGCACCGCAAATGTCGTGGGCTAGAAACGTGTGGCAGAAACACGAGGGGGATACATTTACATTTGATCCACGCAGTCATTTCAAGACATAATTTTGTCATGAACATGCGCATCACAATGGAAGTTTCATTGATCAGGGGAAGCATACATACCCGTGTCAAATGGAGCTTAGAGGCACCAGAGCTATTCAGTGTGCCTGTTCAGTATTTGCGCTTGCCCTAGTTTTACTGTGGAAATGCAACTTGACAATGTGAGAAAGTGTCTGCATACATCGGTTTTAAGAAGGTACTGCAGACACTTCTTTGATATGTTGGTCTCGTTGTGATCATAAGATGGCAACAAAATGTCCCCAACACCAGGATCCGCTATACTGGCAATCAGGACTCCACTGTGGGACATTACCCACAACGCAAAGTGCTGTGGATAGTATCATAGATGCACCGAACATGAAGATACCCCATTCTGGAATTACTGGTAACGCGAATAGCATTAATGAAGAAGAAGGAAGATCCAACGTGACTTAGATCTGAAGCATTATCAGAGTAAAGGGTCCACAGAGATCCAATAACGCGACTGGTATCCACGTTTGGGCCTGGTCGACCGGGTGAAAGCCGCTGTGGGTTGCTTCCTTGCTATTGAACGTAGACGACAGGGGAGAAAATATCGAACAGATGTAGAATTCAGCGATAAAGTTCATTACCGAGACTTTAGCGGCTAGTGTCTAGGGCACTTCAAGGGAATCGCCCCTGTCTAGAACACCCCGCCACCAGACGATCGCATCAGAAGATGCTGATAGTTCGCTCCATCGATAAATGGCGGCCCCATAAGGTTCCAATTCCACGATCATCCATGGATAGAAAACATGAGGTGATTCATTTCCGAGGGCGGCGACGAGTCACTTTAAAAGGATCCAAAGCTTTTTTGTTTTGAGTTAGCGGCGCGGAACAAGAGGGATGTACACACTTTAATGGTTGTATCCATGACGAAACATGAACATACTAGCAATGCAGTGTGATCATGGGAGATCCGGACCTGTTTGTGTCAATCATATAATTAATTCTGGCCAAGAAGCGCTTGTGGACAACATAGTTTGAGAGCACGAAAGGGGACCAACGAGGCGTCGCTAACTCAGAATCCTGCAGGAAAACGCGTTCATGCATCGAAAGCACAGGTATAAAGACGTAGTGGGATCTGAGACTAAGCCCACAGGGTATATCAGGCGCAAAAAGGCATATTTCATCTCGAGGAGCTCGGAATTCACAGAAGTGACCGACGTCATGAGATCGTTTGAAGCAAAGAACAAGAAGTAGCTTGCTGCTTGAGTGAACTGAGTAAAGTAAAGCTGGTGCACAGCTAAAAAAACAAGAAGCGGAAGCGTGGTTGCCTCCCGGATCCGTAAAGTCGGGTTCGCATGGCAATGATGGATGATGTTTGAGGACCCAAGTTTGGACATTGTGGACGATTTCAACGTGTTTTTAAAAGATAGCTTGCATCTGACGGAGCGTAACAAACGAAGCAGCTGACAGAGACATAAGGAAACACAAGGCTACCAAGGGGTATCGAAAAAGGAATCAAGGGCTGACAGGCGTTGGACAGGCTCCATGCCAGTTCAAGGCTTGTGGCTTCGATCCAAGTCGAAGGCCTGATCTGCCGGTTCAATTTTCTACTTTCCTTCCGGCTACATAAAAAGGCTTAACCTTTCACCAACGACCCAATCTTTCTTCCTTTTCACTCGCAGCGGCTGGTTTTTTTTCTAGCAGATGTGTGCTTAAGCATCGATGGAAAACGTAGCGCAGTATAGTAATTCACTTGTCTACCCGTCATCCAGCACACCTGGCACACGCTCACACGAGGATGATAATCCTGTAAACGCGTCTTCCGCCTGGTTATCTGGGCAGAGGTCTACTTCAAACTCTTCTACGAGTTCCACTCAGCTATCATCCATTTACTCCGCGGTGGATCGTCCTCCAGATCACGGAGATTATGCTTCTACATCCACATCGTATGGGCAAGTGCAGCCCAACGACTCTTATTCCAATTATTCCCAACAATCCAACATTCGTCCCGAAGATGATGGAAATCACTCCGCGACAATCGCTCTTTCTCCCCAAATTTCGGGTAGCATCGGCCCTTCTAGGCTCACGCGCCGACAGACACGCGCACAATCCACCCTTCACCTTGGTCTCAGAAGAGACAGACCACCTGCACCATCAAACGCGCAGTCTGATTTACACGGGGCTGATGAGGTACGTCATAACTCTTGCTTCTCTCATCATCTCAGCTAGCTCATCACCTCCTTTACTAGTCTCCCTATTACATGTCACCGGGGAGTGCCGTTTCGCGCCCTCAGACACCTGCAAGCAGTAGCGACCCAAATCGCTACCAGTTGCCTGACAGAATGTCTTTCACAATGGGCTCGGGTGGTATACCCTTGCAATCACCTCGGTACCTGAGCACGCCTGTGTCAGCATCACCTTATTCCCCCTTTCCCATGTATCACCAGCATTCACGTTCGGCATCATCTTACTCTACCTCTAATCCACGCTCAGCTTCTCCTGCATTAAGCGTCGCATCTGCACTCACATCCATCTCATCCGCTACCTCCGCCCCCAACTCTCAGACTTTCCCAGCCTTCCCCCTTCCTTCACCCCCAGGCGCTGTCATTCCACGTGCCAAGCAACGAAAGCAACGTCTTTTTAACGTTGACCGCAAGGCCATCTGTATTTACCACCAAGACAACCCCAATGCACGGCAGGAAGATATCGCAGCGCGGTATGGTGTTGAGCGGAGCACCATCAGCAAAATTCTGAAAAATAAAACAAAATGGATGAATGTCCCAGAGGATGAAGACATGCGTGTGGCCAAGCATAGGTAATTATCCCCTTTGTCTATTCTTTCGTAAATCTGACTTGTATTCAGGCCTTCAAAATTCCCCGAGGTCGAAGAGGCGCTCGTCGAGTGGCTACTTCAAATGAAGCAGCAGCAACAAAACACACTACTTTCCGACAACCTCATTCGCACAAAGGCCAAGGAAACTGCTCGTAGTTTGCAGATCCCTGACGAGAGATTCAAAGCTAGTTCGGGATGGGTCGAGAACTTCAAGCATCGCCATAATATTCGCAAGGGCGTCTGGCAAGGTCACGAGAAGGTTCTGCGGGCTTCTCGTGGCCTTGCGGGTGCCCAAGAGCACAGGCGTGGCGCCACAGATACAGTGCTTTCGCCCCTCAATCCTGCATTCGAGGGCCGCTCTGAGGTCGCTCATGGACACGATTCCGAAGAGCATTCTACGATGGCTGATGGCGATGATGACATGGAATCAGAAGATGAGCCAGAAGTTCCGCACCCTCTACAATCACAAAGCGACGCTGGGCCTTCTTTGTCCCAAGCACCGCTGGGACCTACCCTCCCCTTACCACGCATGTGGGCCCTACAAACGGATCATCTAACCGCTCCCAACACGCCACTTTCTGCGGCGCCAGGCAATGCTCACGAACCCATATCTCATCAGTCCTTTGTACATCAACGCCACGAAGAACGGCAGCCAGACCCGGTCACAGCGGACATGAATTTATCCGCTCTTCCAAATCCTGTGCAGCAGCACCTTCAGGTGACAGATCCACAGCAAGGGGTGCAGCTCACGCATCCAGTTCCCGGTTCCCAATATACCGAGCCGGCTGTTGTATACCAACCCGCGCCGCCTATTACAGCGGGCGATACTATTGCTAATATCGGAGAAGCCGAGGATGCCATTAACAAAGTCATAGGCTTTGTCGACTCTCGTCCTAATCTCCTGTCTCAGACACAGCGAGATGTTCTCCACGAGATCAAATGCACACTCTTCCAACTCGGAAGTGGAGTGCCGTTCGACCGTAACTGGAGATAATGCCAAACGCCCATCGATGGTTTCTTTACTCCGCACGCTTGGATCAGCATCCCACATCCACGTGCAATTTTTTTTTTTCTTGCTTTACTCTCACCATTTTTCTACATGCATTTAATCATCTTCCCATGCCTTGCATTCACCCGACATTGCACGATCGCATCAACATTTTACGTGTCTCTCGTAGGGTTCCATTCGTGTCTGCATTCACACTCGGTACATACTCGTAGCTGCATGTCATACCTCGCATTTGATACATCTCTCCTGCATCCACCTAGCTCTTCTTGGACTCTCTGCTGTTTCACCTATCTCATTTGCAATGCAGAGACATTAAGTTGTCTGTGTACTATTGCTTGATCGTTATACTTTGCAATTGTTTATACCTTGCAATGTTCAAGCTAAGCATGCTATAGTCATTTATAATATACCGTCGTCTATCAACCTTCTCTGTGGCGTTGCTTGATATCAGATCACTCAAATGACATGCGAATTGTGTCTGTTGATCGGCCACGTGGAACACTATTTGAATCCGCAAAATCACAGCTGAATTATTTTGGGGTATGTAAGTACAGCTTGTAAAATATTCGTGGGCAACGCACTAGCAACAGCACACGCACTGTCAAGACTTAGAGACTTTGCCACCAGGAGTCACCTTGGGTGGTTCGCTGCGCAGAATATAGGTAAATTCAAATTGTGCGTATACGGGACGAACAGCCATACGTATCAACGGTATTTTTCATGATCGTGAGTTTGCCGGCTGATGCAGCAGATACCATTTGCTGTTCAATGGATTTGTTTATCTTGGCCGTCAGTGACTGCGTATCCAGTATAATGGTCAATGAAACTTGTAATTCATTAGAAGACGGTGACTCACCTGCCTCATGGAAGCCTGCTTGACCAGAGCGGTCTTTTTGGGTGGAATGTACCGTTTCCCCTTTTTCGGGTTGGCAGCGGCCTTAGCAGCTTGTCTTGACGATGACGCCTTGCTCTGAAGACCCTTGGTTTTGCCCTGGACCATTGATGATAAGACGCGTGCTTCCGCGTAGATTAATGTCAAAGTTATGTGTGGTGACTTACATATCGGGTCGACACATAAATTCCACCGCCGGAAAATTCCGGTTAGCTTTCCTCCGCGCTAGCTTGCGGGTCAGTCTGCTATTTCCATCGTCTGCGACAGCTATGCTCTCAGCATCGAATGTTCTACGCGTCCAGCGCATAGCTATATCACGCGGGAAGGTCAGCATACCTTCAAAGTGTTCTTATTGACCTGTGGCGACTGAGTTGACTTTGCAGCGTGCCTTGCATGACTTGGTGACACTTCCTGGCCGTAAACCAATCGTTTCGTCCGGAACACCTGGCTACAGTGCAGTGAGCGGCCACGTTGTCACTGTCTTTGGCTGCACTGGATTTCTCGGACGTTATCTTGTCTCGAAACTTGGTAAGCTTAATTTGGCTCAGTTGAAGGTTTTGGCGTCTACAACACTCCACTTTACAGCTCGAATGGGTACGCAGGTCATCGTGCCTTACCGCGAGGAGGACGAGAAGAGGCACCTCAAGCCAATGGGCGACCTTGGCCAGATAGTCTCCATGGTAGCGTTGCATCTGTTTCCATTTCCCAATCGCGACAATCTTAAATTCATTCAAGGAATGGGATGTCCGGAATGAAGAGCAGATTGCTGAGTGCTTAAGGCATTCCGACATTGTTTACAACCTTGTCGGCCGAGAATATGAAACAAAGTATATTTTGAATTTAATCTCCTTTTTTAACCCACGCACTCACTCCATTCGAATCATCTCAGGAACTTTAAATACTCTGACGTTCATGTTAGCGGAGCGGAGAGGATTGCAAAAATCGCGGCACAAGCAGGAGTACCACGCCTAGTACATGTTTCTCACCTGAATGCTTCGACATCTTCCACGTCGCATTTCTACCGGACCAAAGCTGAGGGTGAAGAACGGGTCAGGGATGCATTCCCCGCTGCCACTATTGTCCGCCCTGGCCAAATGTATGGCTGCGAAGACAAGTTCTTGAATAACATGGCTAGTGGGTCTTAGACTTCGGCTTCATCGTTTACCCGTTGATCAGACAAATATGTCAAGGTTGGCCTATCTGGTGGAAGCTCAACCACGGAGAAACCAAAATTCGACCCGTTCACGTAAATCTCGACCCTGTCATGGTCACAACCTTCTCAAACTGATCGTGGGTTGACAGGTTATGGACGTTGCTCAAGCTTTAACCAATCTGATGACGATCCCCCAATTCCCCGGCACTATTTCCCTTCCTGGACCAAGGACATTGACGACGGAGTACTTGTTGGACATGGTGTCTTCCTTGACTTATACCCCACCATCGAGTGCACCTGTGCTACCCAAGTCTCTTGCGTTGGCGCTTGCTAAGGTTGCTCAGGCACCATGGTGGCCGCTCATTAGTCCTGATGAGGTGGAGAGGCGCTACATAGATGACGTGGATGTTCCAGGCGATTGGGAAGCGGTGGGTGTGACTCCTGACGAGATCGAGAACCATGCGATCACGTATCTACGAAGGTATCGTTCAGCGTACGTATCTTGTCGACTACCCGTTACCCGAGGAACTAAATTACCCTTTTGCCTTGTAGAGAGAACTTCGTGCGACCGGCGGTTTTCCCTGCGCGGTCCAGCTAGGCGAAAGTCATTTCCGACGCTAACGATTTGTGGCGACCGTAGGATATATAGAGTTATATCGGATCTTCATGGGCGTTGCTAATTGTTCCATACTGGAGCGATAAATGATTTCATGAAAGCGTTGCTATGATGCATTAGCACAAGTGAACCTGTGAACCTATTCACATGACGTTGAGCACAGGCTAAGAAGTCGCTCAAATGCCACCCGAAACCAGGTGAAACGAAAGCATAAATGCGTGAACTGCTTAATGAACTGAGTAGAATTTTATTATAGCATGATCAAATGGCACGTGGGATATGATTAATATTCGCTGCAACACACGACGCGTGTTTCTGCCGGCGTGGACGCAAATACTGCGGAATGCGAGAGAAGTATGTGTAAGGTACACGTGTGCATAAAGTATCTGAGTCCTTGGCAAGCTGAAGGAACAGCCTTCCAAACGATGCTGGCTTTTGATCAGAAGCCGGGCGGAACGATACCCTTTTGAGGTGCCTGATTTGAGCCAGGTGGTGGTGGGTAAGCTGATCCTGGCGAAAGCATCTATAAGAAACGAAGCATCAAGAATCAGTAAACAAGCCATATCAAAGTGACGGAAGAAGATCAACTGTCCAAAAACTTACCTGCTGAGCACCTTGTTGCTGCGCCATCATTTCGCGTTCTTGCGCTACTATCTTTGCCTCATCTTCCAAACTCAGCGCAAGGGGGAGCCCAACGAGGAGGGCAGAAGTGGTGACTATCCAAACGATGTTACCAATGACTTTTCCACTGGTCTTGACGAATGACACAGCTTTTGAAACCTTTGTAGAGATATTATGCCTGGTAGTTGGAGGCACTATGTCTACCAGTGCGCTTATGCGGTCATACAAGTTTTCTTCTGCAGAAAGCTCAGAAGAGACTGAAGAGATTGATTCTTGAGAAGAATGACGGGACGATGAGGATGAAGCGTAAGGAGAGTTGCCCGAAGACTGTGGGTCTTTTTCTTCTACGATCTCGACCTTGACCATGGTTTGAACACAACGTGAGCAACGACTAAAAAATTGTAGCCGACGTGAGAGTCTGGACTTCGGTGCCGGCAATGCCTTGATCGGAGTTTGGATTTCATTTGTCATAATCTGTCTTGTCCAAAAACGAACTCTTTCTTACCAAATCAACAGAATTTGTAGCTAAACTCAGTTCTAAAAAGGGAACACAATCCGATTGGGAATTTCGCTGTCAATATCCCTATTGCGGGGGAATTATGACTTATGGTATTATAAGTACAAGGATGACCCAATATAAACGATTCCTCTTTGTCCCTCCTGTTATTTCTTCTTAATTATATCAGTCTACACCACCGCATCATAATATGCAGAACGGTGACCATGTTCGCAATGATAACAGTCACTCCTTCTCGCATCCTGGTAAGTACGTTTTGAATCGATTAACTCTCACTTCTCACGACGTCACACCTCCCCAAGGCCTCATTCTCCCAACTCAATCTGTTCAGAATCAGATCCATGAGTTAGCGAAGACCCTTCCGCCCTCCAAGGAAGCAAAACACCGCGTGTGATGCCTGCAGGTCTGTGCGGCATGCTGGTGATCGGCGTTTGCAAACTTATTCACTCCCATCACCGCAGGTCCCGAAAGGTCAAATGCAATAGACTTCCTGGCGAAGAAAAGGTAAGTAATATAAGCAATGCCGCCGTCAATAATCTAACTTATTCTCCATTTTTCCAGTGTCAGGTAATTACACTTTTCCTTATATGCTTACCTACGAGGTCCTGAAGATGAACGCCAGCACTGCTTGTCTAAGAACTATCCTTGCACGTCAGTAATTCTCTATATTTAATTGTTGAGCCGTGAGCCGACCCGTTCTTTAGCCATTTCGTCCAACAAGCGACCAGCGAAAAGAAGCGTAACGCTGCCGCTCGGAGGCCGAGAAATATATCAACAAGCTCAAGGTTAGCTTTGGGCACTCCTATCTCGTCTCGCTTATTCATTGTATCTCTGATATTCGATTGTCGATCTTTCTGTCATTTCGCTATCTCTACGCGATCTTCGTCGCTGCCGCCGCCTTGCCTGCCCGTCATTCAGCACCTCTCCTGTATCTGCTAGGTATGCACACTACATTTTTTTTCACTCATAATCTAACATCTGTCAGTAGCTCATCGCCCATCGCTGAACATAACACTCCCCCCTGGCTTAAAGCCACATTTGGTCCATGGAATTCAGGGCGCCTACAAACTTATGGTGGTGTCAACATGCAATCTACAACTCCAACGCTTCTTCATCACCTGTTTGCTGCGCCGGAAAGGTGGATACTGTATTCTATTCGCGTCGCCTGGCTGACTTATCCCCTCACGTCAGCGACTCCACATTCACGTTCAAATCACGATCACCAAGCTACGCCACATGGGGAGACATGGCATCCAAACTTGAAGATGAAGCCTTCCGAGCAGAGTACGTTGCATTTACCCCTTTCCTCATACATTACGTAAACGATCGAAATTATCGCGGTGTACGTCAAGTGTTATCTTGTTCCATGATGGTTACTGAAGAGCCTCTTCTAAGTGGCTTTACTGTTCTTTTCATTTGCCGTATCGATCCATTCCTAATAAGCTGTTACTGATACGTTTGGCTTTGCTTCTGATGACAGGTTCGCCCTTGACCTCGTTGAAGTTTATTTCCAGATAGTCCATACTCGTCTTCCTCTTCTCAACCCCTTGCAGTTTCGCGCGCGGTTAAATCTCCAGGCGACTCAACAAAGACCAGTAATTGCAAAGCAGGACGAGCCATTACACCCAGCTCTTATCGCAACTGTGCTTGCCTGGGGTGCAAAATTCTCCGAACATCCCCTTCTGGTGGCAGATCGCGAAAGAAATGGTGGACAAAGCCTGCTCGCTAAAGCGCTCATCAACCGCACCCGAGAGCTGGCCGAGTCATTAAAAGTGCACCGCATACCGAACCCACATCATGTCGTCATCTCGTTGCTCATCGAACCTCTGCAATGTCGTACGTATTTTACTTGACCGACTTTGCGTTTACTCATCATTATGCAACAGAGGACCCACGACATGACAACGGTAATATTGACCTAATTGTTTTCACTGCTGCGGCTGACAGGGAGCAGGCTTCCACGGGTTCTGGCTCACCAGCGGGATACGTAACTTACTCGGACTACAGGTAAGTAGAATGATTACCTTTAAAAGAACCATTCTGAGAAAATTATTTGAAGATCAATCACAAATCCGTGATGGGGCTTATCAAAGATCCCGAGGCGCGCGGTACTATGATTTTCGCTTGGTGGATGGCTTGTCTGTCGGATGCATTCTCCTCATTTTATTACCGCCGGAAGCCCATGCTGTAAGTTCAAGGTGATGTTTTTCTACCGAACACTAATATCCGCCCATGTAGTGATGACGACGACTATGACATCGACTTCTACACCGCTGATCAGAATACCCAGGAGACCACCGACCCCACGGCTCCATCCCCTAGAGAACAACTTGAGGTAAGATTCAGGTTCATGTTCTACGAAACTCATACTTACATCATGTTTAGTTTTTGGTTGGTAAACTCTAAACGGTGCCTGCATACGTGTACTTACACTTTTCAGGGGTACTACCGAGCTGCACACGCCCTCGCTCGGATATCCCGAACAATTGCTCGCCAACTCTGGAGGCCATCTACAGATCAAGATGGCATTCCCCTTGATTCCGTCCTGTCCTACATCTCGGATCTAAGCAAATGGAGAGATGCTCATTTATCTAAGGTCGGTGTGCCACCTAACTTGGAGGCTAATTGGGATTTCGTATCTGCGGTCTCTGCATGTAAGTAGTCGATATCTCATCATTGTGTTGAGTATACTGAACTAGTTATCAGGCGCAAGCGATGCTCAGTATCACGTCACCTGGGTAGCCCTTTTCTTTGCGATGGACGAGTTTGGTATCCGCGACGACGCCTTCACGCCAAGTAATATCAATCAGGTGGAGACTGCAAAACGTAAAGTCATGGAAGAAGCTCTGCAAGCTTCTTTGCGCATCGCGGCGCTCGTAAGCGACTGCAATTGGTGAATTACCACCGCTGATTTTTTTCCAAGGCTGGAGTACTTACTTCAAATGGCTACTTGGTACGCTTATCTTAAAAGTACCACTGTATCAACTAACTCCGTTCAGAAACTGGATCCTGCGGTCATGCATGTCAGTTGTATCAACGCAGGAAATTTACTTGCTCGGCTGGGTCGTCCCGAAGTATTTCAGTGCATCAAGGCGTTGGAACAATACAGCTATGCTTATGAAGAGACGAAGGAACATGCACAGGAGATCAGCCGCGAGTATGAAATTGCGGTACTAAAGGGTCCGAATAATTTCCAAGAAATGGCTAGCGCTATCAACCCATCTTCTCGTGCCTTCCATGCAGATACCATGAGCGTCGATGCACTGACCAACGGCAACGGCAAGCACCATGGAAATACGGTGAGCCATATTTTTAATTCCCGAGGCGATAGGTTTATGTATGTTGCGCCAGTACATGTCGATTTAAAGCGTTATTTTAGGCTTTACAAGTCCTTTATTATTCTTGTCCTCAGATCGGTTACTTGCTGTCCTTCAAGCCCTTATCCGTGACGGGTTGTTGTTTACTCTCTTCCCAGCCCTTCCTCAATACATATGGACTTACATTTTCGACTATGTAGTTATTCGAGCCTCCCGTGTGGTTTTATCATGTTGTCTAAATAGTACGATATACTGTAGCAGGATATACTCCAGATAGTGATACCCTTTAGCCCAGGCGGACGCTCTTGATAACTTTGGATATACCAGACTGCTCGCCTGTGTATTTTGAGGCATCGCCGATACCACCCTTGTAAACAGCACGCTGTGACGACACCCTCTTTTTGGCTTGCTCGTATTTTTGGCGTTTTTTGACACGGGGATTGCGCACACTCTTTGACCTGTGCGGCGTTAGTCCCTTATTTTTCATTATGGCCCGCGTTACCGAGCGCGGGCCAGATGCCGCATCATGTTCACCAAAGACAAGTCTATGGGGATCAGATGAGAAAGTCGCGTGATATATGAAAATTGGAGCTTACCGCTCGGCCGCCCGAGCCTCCTGATATTCTATCTTTTTCTTGCTCTTCTTGTCCGCGGCCTGTCGTTTCACGAGCTCGTAATAGCCATGTGCTGCAGCCGTGTCGCTATCATCATCATCCTCGACTTCAACATCTCTCCGTCTCTTTTTGCTGCGGCTGCTTGCGTCAGTGATTTCGGGATCTGCATCATCCAGGTCATCTCCGCCCATCCCTAGCGTTCCGGCTTTTCGCTGCTGCTCTTTCTCCATTCTCTGCTCCTTTTCTTTCCTTCGTTCGCGGTAAGGAATGTCGTCGTCACCGCCCACTGCATTGACACGAGCATTCTGGCGCCGCGCAGTAGCACTTTCAATGCGTGACACATGGAAACGCAAGCTCTTCCTGCGCGCCTGTTTGTCGGTGGCGTCAACGTGTTGTAGGAACGTAGCTTCACCGAATGCGTCTGTGCTACTGGTGTCAGCGGGGGCCGAACGCTTCTTCTTTGCGTAAGTCGATGCGGCCTCAAACTCTGGCTCGACAAGGTCGAAGATTGGTTGTCTATTTTTATCATCGGAAGTTTTGCGTTTTTTCTTGGGAGGCTTAACTTCGATCTTGTCTTTCTTTGATGCCTTTCTAGGTTCATCATCGGCGTCCATCAGCAGATCTGTCAGCTCATCAGATTCTAGACCCTTTGTCATCAAGATGCTCCACAAGTCAGGTGTCTCAGATCCTGGTTCGCCGGATTCGTCTTCGTACTTGTCATCTTCGTCATCTTCGTCCTGCGAGTCAGTGCCAACGCCTAAATTTTCTAGCGTGACAAGTGATTGCTTGAGAGTGAGCAAACGATTTAGGACAGGGTGCTGTCTCAGGAGTAGAGGACGACCTGCGTATTTCTCCAAAGAGCGAAGGTGAAGATAATACGCAAGGGTAGTAGCATAGGTCAGGAGAGCCTCTGTAATATATAAAAGGAACTGGTTGATCAGAAATCCTGACACAGCATGATTAAAATAAACCGGAGGTGAGAACTGACGATAGTATATGTGCAGAAGTCCAAGTTCAGTTCCGTCCGTTTCTTTCTCCGATATTCTAAACAAAGATTGAGCATGAATATTGGAAAGCAGTAATATGAAACTCACGCAGCAATTTTTGCTTGCATTTCGATGAGATTACGGGCCGTATCATCCCAGTCACGGGCCAAGGCAAGAGCTTCTGGATTTTCTCTTTCCAGGTGCTGCAAGACGGCCTTCTTGTCATTCAAGGAAACGTCAATTGTGGGCCGTGATTGTTCCTCTAATGAATCTCTGGAAACAATGTAAGCCACGGGTAACAGACGAATGATACCACGTACTCAACCTCAGCATCGGATTCTGGTTCGAGACCTTCACCCAATCCAAAATCGTCCTCATGAATAGCATCCCGAGCCTTCACCTGTAGTCTACGGGCTTCCTGTTCCTCCAGTTCATTTGCCTCCTCGTCTTCTGAGTCGATCTGGGCAGCATTGGATGAGTAATACGCTGACTTGCTTCGACCCCAGGATTCATCCTCAGATCCAGTATCTGAAGGAGACGATGCCTTCTTCAACTTGGTCTTGGATTTTGCTTTCTTGGTGACAACTGGGTCTTCGTCGTCGTCTTCATCTTCAGCATGCGCAAATCCGTCCTCGTCTTCTTCAGCCTCTTCTGAATCCTCTTCCGATACCCCTTCGAGAGCAAAAACTTCGTCTTCATCCTCATCTTCATCCTCGACATCTCCGTCTCCATTTAAAAGGATCTTATCCCTGGACGCATGGACTAGGAGAATGATAATTTTCAACATCATGAAATCATTGTCGGTGTATGAGAACGTACATTGGTCCTCTTCGTCTAACTCAATATCAGAAGCCTTATTCCACCTTTTTATTTTGCTGTCCTTGCGATCCACTGGCCGCGGCTTCGAGCGAGAATTGCTCTTACCGGATGGACGACGGCGAGGCATACTTGGTAGGACTTTGAGATTTGTCAGACGCCATGAAAAATAAATCTAAAATTAGCAAACCGCAATAAGTTCAACTGAGATAAGATAAGATTACAAGCTTCCGGGTACTAATCTTCAAATTTTCAAGCGTGGACATGACGGAAGTCATAAGTAAAATACCGTCACTCTCAGAAGCCTAAATGCCTGTGTGCTCACTGCTCAGCGCTCAGCGCTAACCTCCACCCTGCAAGCACCGTGCTGGAAAATTGGTACAAAGACTCCGTGCACTTTTGAATCAACGTATGTTTTCTATATCATTTTATTATCATTTTCGTCTCATCTTTAGTGTTGGCACTTGGCCAATAAATAGAAAACTCGTCGGGCTGCCCCCCGTCCTAAGAATGAAGTGGTGCTTACGCATTTCGATGCTGTGTTAATAACGCGGGCGGTTCCGCAGCCCATTGGGTCACAATAAGGCGGGGCCGAATCTTGAATGTTTCTACTATCGATATCATTGCGTATCATTTAGATTTTCTCCGACTAAACGAAAGGGAAATTATATTTTTCAGACTCTAACAATGAAAAACAGCAATTAATTGCCACAGACTTTGGTCTCCCAGCATGCAAGATGTGATCCGTCATCCAGCAGATGTTACAGTATGTGCTTCCTCTACTTACTATAACTAAAGCTCTCAATCCAGCTGAGAGCTGATGATCTTGCCGCACTACAGCCGCCCGCTCATTCGCATTTCAGACACCTACCGCCACCTGCACTCGTGCACTGCCTGCTTTCCCGCACCTTACCTTCCCTACCCCCTTGATAAGCTTTTCTTTCTATCTTTCTTTGTTATTATTTGCTAATGACATCTGTCCCGCACCATTTCCCTTTCCTTGCAACTTTGTTGCCACCTCTCGCAGCATCCTAAACCTTTTTTCGTCCGTTTTCACTAATATGATCTCAGCCAGTCCCCACGGTACCTTCATATCACCTTCTTTCCCCCTCCGACCGCATTAAAAACCCTCCTGTACCCCGTACTCGACTGATTTCCCAGTGAGCTTGGCTGCTTGACCCCCCGCTTTTCGTCCGAACACAGCCCCAGCAGTCAGTCCGCTACCTCCGGGGTAGTTGTTATAAAACAAACCACCAACCATCTCCCCCGTGCAGAAAAGACCTTTTATTGGCGTATCTGTCTCTTTCGACAGCACGCCAGCGGTATCCGGATCTATAGCGAGCCCACCGAAAGTAAAAGTGATACCACACGCAACTTTTACCGCCAGGAAGGGTCCCTGATCGATCGGCAGTGCCCAATTTGACTTTGGAAGTTGCAGCACTACCGTGGTAGACTGAGTCGAGAGTCCATCTTTGATCGTGGGGTCCCATCCAAGAGTTGGGTGTTCAGCACGATGATTTTGGACTGCCGCATTGTAATCGCGCACTGTCTTGAGAAAACACTCTTTGTCCTTGAGCCCTTTCTCAAGGAGCTTGTCTGCAAGTTCCTCCATGTTTCCAGCCAAGATCTTCTCGACAATCTCATCCCCATATTCCTCCTTCCGGAGAAATGGATCCATGTCCGCACCCCACACTTGGAATGCACATCCTTCCGGTTGAAGAAGGATTTGTCGCCCAAACTTGGCATATGTGAAATTTCTGAAATCCTGCCCTTCATCGACGAAGCGTTGGCCATAGATGTTAACCATGATACCCAGAGGATAACCTGACTTCGTGAACTGATTACTGAGCTCCCTGTCGCCTGCGTCTGCTGGTGCATTTGCATCCCAACACGTGCTGTGACATCCTGCCCAATCTCCAACAAGTTTTGCACCAACAGCTTGGGCCATGGCAAAGCCATCACCCGTATTGAAAGGAGTGCCCCTGACCTGCACGTTATTTCGGTTGTCATATGTATGGTTCTCGAGCAATTGTTACAACTTACGCGTGCCTTTTCCCATTCAGAACCAAGATGTTTAGCCCGGAGCTCTGAGCTAGATTCGTAACCTCCTGCTGCCAGCACTACCGAAGAGGCTGAAAGGTCTAATTCCATGCCGTCCGTCTGAACCACAAGACCCGTTATTGTTCCTTTCTCAACCCTGAGCCTGACGGCAGGAGACTCGAACCAAATCTCCACTCCGGCTTTTTCTAGTGCCTTCATATGGGCCTTAATCAACCCCTTTCCGCCATCCTCAGTACTGAGTGCCATACCGCCCCAGAACTTTTGCCTCCCATTCACCTCGTATGCTTGGCGGTGGAACGACAGAATGAACGGAATACCTATTATCCGCGCGAGCCATTCCACCGCTTCTCTCGAAGATTCCACCATGGACCTCACCAGCTTAGCGTCTGGCTTATCTTGGCCAAGGCGCTTAATGTCCCCGATGAAGTCCTCGACAGTGTAGGGATCCATGTCGATCTTGGATGCCTGCTCTGGCGTGACATTGCGCACGATTGGGAGAAGATCTTGTAATCCCCCGTGGACTGTTCTATGTGCACCTGCTGTGAAGTAGCCGTTGCCGCCGACCCAATCGTGTGGGGCTTTCTCGACGATAAGGACAGAGGTACAACCTGCCTCAACAGCGGCAAGGGCTGCCGAGCAACCTGCATGGCCGCTCCCAACCACGATGCAATCGTAATGTGTGGACATTCAGATGATATCAGACAATAAAGAAGGCCTTCGCCACCTTTGTGTTTAGTGCGAGCTTTTTCAAATACATTGAATATGGATGACTCTTCATTGGCGTAGTAGGTCACGCTGGACACACGGCCGCCTGGCACTGGACATGTGAGTAATCGCCGGATTGGGGGATGTATCGCTTCACGTAGCCACTGCAACATTAAATGCTACTAGTACATAGCTTCCTTGATATTACACTCTGGCAGGATTCACAGCCAAGCATCCACCATCAATAACGAGTTCCTGCCCATTCATATAAGCCCCAGCAGGCGATGCAAGGTAAACGGCAGTGCCTGCCATCTCGGCAGCGCTGTTACATTTTCCCGTCAGTGAACGCCCTAGTTCACAAATCAATCTTCACTCACGTTCCCGGCCTCTTCGCTGGTATGGACAACACCGGCATACCAACCTCATCAGTTGCCGCTTGTCCTGAAATCACGTCGTATGTCAACTCGCTTTCATACACACCTGGTGCAATAGCATTGACTCGAACATTGATTCCTTTGAGAGAAAATTCAGTCGAAAGCATCCTGGTGAGGTGAGACCCAGCAGCTTTCGAGCTGTTGTAGCAGAACTTGCGCACCAAAGTCAGTGATGTTACATGAAATTGAAGCTGAGTTCGCTCACATGTCTCTGTGCAATTTTGAGGAGTCCGCTCATGCTCGTGATATTAATGACGCTTGAAGAGAAACCCTCTTTATCATTATTCTTGGATCCATTGTCGAGCAAATCCAAAAACGCAACAGTCACAAAGTAGATTGAAAAGGTATTGATTGAGTAAAGGGAGCTCCATTCCTCGAACGATTCATTGTTGAAGAGGTATTCACTGAGTGGTCCGGCTTCCTTTTGAGCAGTAGTTGATGGTTAATTCAATTCATCAGAAAAAGGACCTGATTGACCAGCACTTCGTTCGATCATAGTGAGTTACAAAACAATAGGGAGAGTAATGTCATACTTGTTGACGAGAATGTGCAGCCTTCCATCTGCTTGAGCTATTCTCGTCACACCAGCTTTAATACTGTCTTTTTTCGTTACATCCATCTCATGCCTATGGGTGGTGCTTGATCAGCGCGCACGAAACGCAGAAGAAACGATGGATCTTACGCTATCATAGGTCCCATGTCGTCTCCCTTAGTTGCATTCCATTCCGAAACCACTCTGTCAAGAACCTCCTTTTCGTCGACCAGTGATATACACCTTGGCCCCATTGGCAGCGAGACCACGAGCAATCATAACGCCGATGCCTGTACCGCCACCGGTCACCAGTGCGATCAGACCATTGAGATCGTATAGCTTCTTCAGCGTAAATTTTTCAGGCATTGACATGGTGGGAAAGACAGACTAGTAGTACTTGACACAGCGGGGGTTTCGACATTTTGCCACTAGTGATATCACATTCGAAAGGCAATCTAGAGCGCTCCAGCGTGTTCCAAGCTAGGTCTAGATCTGCTTTTGATTGAAATTTTGCAAGAGGTAAAATGTCATCGATGACATGCGCAGTTCTCAAAAGACTGACGAAATGACGAGGTCCGTGGTGTCACAAGACCAAAGCTGATTGCATGAATAGAATTTCACCCCCAATCAGGCGGGAATCATATGTATCACGGTGTGGCAGTTGTGTTTGGATGTTACATAGCACAGACTCTGGATATGAAGTCAGACAGATATTCATTCAATAAACTTTGACTCACAGATGGATCCCTTCGTATGTGGGTCACGTTGCAGAATTCAAACTGTCTCAGAGTCTTTCACTGGGTCTCACAGAAGTAAGGCATGTGGGGCCCCGGCTACTGTTGTCGGCGAAAGGCTGGCCTGCAAAGAAGAGCAGATTGCTTATACTTTCAACGTTTCATCAGGCAGTGACAAATCTCTAAATGACCTGTCTAGCGACCATCGTCGTTAGAACCTCCATGGTGGATGTCATTGCGACTTGAAAATAAGAACAACTCCAAGTCCAGGAAATGGCGTTGACCACCGTGGACGTCCGAAGGTCAACCGTAGCTCACGAGCGTTGGGGATGGGGGGCGGGGCGCAAGTGATGTAAACTTGGGAGATGTGTCAAATATCTGATTGGTCGATAGTAAGAACGAGTTGCTTGAACTGCAGCTGGTGACTGAATCTATCCTGCGGGAACGTTATCGTGGGGAAGCTCGCGTAGTGCGTATCATTCCTTCAAGGAGTCCATTCATTGGCTCACGATGCCAAATGCCTATTAAGCTTATTCATCAAGTCATTAGTGCTTTCATTTTACATAAGCGCGTCAGTCTCACAACGCGATGAATTGAAAGACAAAGCTAGAGCTAGTACATCATGCTTAGCCGTCTTCCCTCACACCCACACGAGCTGGTTCTCATAAACGGCACCGTGTGCTCCTTTGCAAGTTCTAGGGCAAGCCAATTAAGATCTCTTTCGCTCGGTCTTCTAACACTGAACCCACGCCGGCTCCTGTTAGGCTTCAGATTCTTCACCGCTTACTACCCCTGCTTCCAAAGCAAATATTTACGACCCAGCTTATCAGTTGTGAATGCCGATGCCTGGGCCACCAGAGGTACTTCACGCATATCCCTATTAAGTTACACCTGCTTCAAGAAGCGACAATGCAGAATCCATCCACGCCTCCACTATTCTTGAACCCACTCTGTTCCAGACTGGATTGGCAGATGTAGGTATGTGCGTTTCCATCTAGGTTTGCACGCGACTGACCTTCATGCGAAGGTCACGTCAAGTATCTTGACTTGCGCGTTCAAGGTTCGCTCGTTTCTCATTTTGGTGACAGATGTTCTCGATCAGGCAGACTCCATGTCGATGTAACCCGTCTACTCTTGAAGGTCAGGGATGTTGATTCTTTGATCAAGGAAGAGAAGACATGAGCCAATATTCCATCCATGCTATTGATTATTGATATACGGAGAGGCGGCGCGACAGATAGGCTTGAGTGCTGCAGACTTTCTCACACTCTAACGACAATGTAGTGCCCTGGCAGGTGATTTCGTGCAGCTGGATTTAAGTCGTTTCGCGCATCGTTCCCCATGGCATGAGTGTCAAAACAGTAAGCTGCACTGTCCTCGTGATAATGTTTCTCGGTTGCGCTTTAGGTATTGGAGGGTGCATACTATGCATGGTACAACGCTTGAAGTGGTAGCATGTGTGTGCAGTCAGTAGCTAGAAATTGGCTCAACGAATCTCACGAGATCTGACGGTATCAAGTGCACTTGAATGGTGGCTTTGTTAGACATAATCTGCTGTATGTCTTTTGCAACTCTATTAAAGCATCTAGGTACACATACACGCTGATTGAAACTCGCGAAAGATTCAGAGGTGCTAACCTTTCACTCATCCCTATCTCTGATTTCATCTGGCAGCTGCGACCCCAACCATCTCAATACACCAGCCAGCATAAATAAGATGACGAATACTGCATTTCCTCCGAGAAGATTATATTCCTTTGATGCAGCAAAAAGTGAGCTCGCAAAGGCAGGCCCAACGGCACGGGCAATCGATGAGGATGTTTGAGCAAGACCATTGATGGCGCCAAGCGCATCCTTTGTAGGGGCAGAAACTGTGATAAACATCAAGAGAGTCCCTGTACTGAAGTGAATATCTTGTAACAAGTCGATGTCACTGCAACACGCACCGAGTCCCATACTACATATGATCGACAGAACTAGTTGGCAAAGTAAAGCAAACGTGACTGCATAATCAACTCCCCCCCTTGCACGTACAAGCCACGACATTATCGACAACACAACCATGAGCAATGCGTATGATGACACTGACGCACTAAATAGACGCTTTGGACCAAGCCAGTCGACAAGTTTGGCGAACAGCAATGCCTGAAAGACACCATCCATGATCCCGAACAACGCTAGCCACGAGCCAATAGATGAAGGATCGAATCCAAGACCACCAAGATAGGTAGGCGTCGAAAAGAACAGCGGCACGAGAACCCTGCGAGAAATTTCAAGGAAAGCAAACATGGCATAGTTGGCAATCGGAATAACAACGGTAGGCGTGAGCAGAGATCGCAAAGAGATGTCTGCTATGGGACGTTGAGGTAGTGATTCACCGCTTGAAACGCCAAGCGTGGCTGATGTCAACTTTGGTCGACGTTTTGTTGGCGATGTCTGCTGATCATGAGCAACGTGTGCGATGCGGCAAGTAATATGCAGAACCTACTTCTTCTAAGAATAATACCATCGTGCAAAAGGCCAGAAAGAGCAGACAGGCTGCTACCTGCGCAAGGCAGAAAGTATGGGTAATTTCCCCAAAATGGGTCTGTGAATATTACGGGCCAATGATCCTGCGGTCGCGCAAGCGTTCCGCCCATTAAAGGACTGATATGCGGATTTAATCATTTACCACCCTCATATTTAACGAGTTGACTTACCCAAGAAACCCTCCAAGACTCCAGACAGTCGGAATCAAGGCAAAAGCCTGAGCCATATTTGTGGAGTCCGTTAATTCCCCCATCACAGTCTTCATAACTCCAACGTTGCCATTTAGAACACCGCACATGCAGCGGCTGGAGAAACTATGTCAGCATGACGTATACTCCTTTCAGCTGAAGACACACCTAATGACAAGACTCCAGAAGGTTGTTGAGAGGCCGAAGCACAGTATCGAAATGCAAGCACCTGAGAGACCAATTACCAACACAGGCCTGCGCCCAATGCGGTCAGACAGCCTACTCCACCTCAGCACCGTCAGCGCCTGCGCGACAAAAAACAGAGATTCCTGTTGAACATATCCAATAGTAGACTATGAGGAAACCATTCTCGCAAGTCAAAATCCCAGCACCTACAATGATTCCGGCATAATACCCCACAGCCGCATCGTCACCCCCCGTAATTCCAAGTTCGCTGATAAGCTGAAAGGGCGAAACAGTATAAAAATGTGCATCAAGGACAAATATCAACATTGTAAAGTCATACCTGATTGATGTACGGGAATATAGACGTGGAAGTGATGCCTTCCGCGAGTTGTATCGTCAAGAGTATGCCCAACTGGAGTTTTGGAAGTGGAGTTTTAGGCTTTGAGGCCTTTGCAAGGACCAGAGGCGTGGTCTCGCTTGCTATCATACGAGGAGAATCGGAGTGAAAATCCAGTGACTAGTGAGCTTTAGTAACTATATAGAGTCCGGAGGCAGAAGACACTGACAGCGAAATGTTTGAAACCGCCTTGACGTCGAACAAACACTGAATCCGAGTCCTCGGATCTAGAAAACTCCGATATGAGCCTGTCCAGGTTATAGAAGTTCGCTTGAAGGTGGCGCTTGTACAGTTCTACAGCCAGCGAGTTCTGGTGATCAGCATGGCATAGGCTACTATGCCCATTACAGCCATTCGCGCTAGGCCGAAACGCAAAAACTACATACACAGCGGTGTTCGATTTTTTGTCTCCGATCAGATACACTTTATTTTCCGGGTTAAATTTCATATCTGCAGTCTAATGTGCCGCAGTGCGAACTATAGGGGGTGGGCATGGGCACCCACTTTGAACGGCCGATGCACGAACAATTGGGAGGTTATTCCTTGCGTTGCAAGGCTATATAAACCCACCGCTACTTGGGTGAGTGGCTGATGTTGAGATATGGGTAATGAATTCAGATGACTTGCCGTGGGCTCGAAAAATGTAGGATAGAATATCATATTTCACATTAGGAAGGCAGCCGCGATGCCGGGCTTCATATACGCTCGATTTGCAATTCAACATTATTTTCTACCCTCTAATAAACCTTAATCTGAAAAGGGGGCCCTCTTGCAGATTATAATAAACGTGTTCTTACCATTTCAGGCCACTAACGCCTGCGATAAGACGAGTAACGGCACTCGTTGGCCTCGTTTCTTGAATCCTCATTGTTTCCACATCATTTTCGGACCTCCATATGACTGCAATGACCTAGATTGGCAGTCCCTTACAACAGTGTCACCCTCGGGCCATTCAGAGCCCATTCCTGAAGCTCGTTCGAGAAATTTTTCAGTTCAATGTGTCATTCTGCATTCACAGCATGCGGCTGCTATTGGTCTAGGGTAGCCTAGTAGGTGTAATTTCACTCGAAATTGTTGGTGTCGACTTGGCCGTCGACTTTCGATGTGGTTTTGCCTCGATATCTCCGCACCAGTGTTCTGCCGGTCAGTGTACGTTTATCAGAGTTAACGTACGTTCAGCTGCGAACTTTCCCATGGATGCAAGTGAACTGAACGCGTGCAGTGCCAGATGTCCTGCCTGAATATTAGATAATCGTGTCTGATTGGACGACGAAGCAGGAGTGAATGTTCAAAGTGCAGTATGCAGTGCGTCAACGATCGCGGAATGGATAGTACTAGACTACTACTACTACTAAGGAGCGGGTTCTTTTAACATATTCCCTTCTACATATCATCTGGTAGTACTACTTATTTCTGAATCTACTCGTCAAGAACATCGTCAGCTTGAGGAAAGTCTGGATCATCAACTCCCTCTGCATCCAAGTCAAGAAGCTCGTACAACTCAAGCTCAGCATCTAAACCTCGAATGGCGACTTTATAAAAAGATCCCAGCCATTCCTCTGCATGAGAATAGTCGAGTAAGTCTTTGATAGCAATGTGAGAGAATGAACCACCAGCAGCGCTGACGGGGACTGAGTGCATTGTTTCTGTGGCAGAAATCTCCTCCTCCTCCTGAACAGCTCGGATAAGGTCTGCTGCAACATCACTTATCCCTCGCCTCTCGAAAGCAAGGCTGCATGGCTCTCGTTCACTGCTTTCTCCCAATAGATCACCACCAACTGCATGGACTATTTGAGTAGGCTTGGCCTTGTCAGTGTCCTCGGTGTCACAGTGCTGGCGTCGAAGCCACTTCTTGACCACGTCATTGCGTACATGCTCTTCATGAACATACATCTTGAGTTCTGCCAGAAGGGTGAGTGTCTCAGTTGAGAGCCGATTTCGCCATTTCGTGAGAATTGCACCAAACATGCTAAAAAGGCGTTCACAAGAGGCAGAATTTGGGCAGATTGAGAGAAGACGCTGGGCAATAGTATGAAGTGGTCGACGTGCCGAACCGGGATGCGATAGTCCTGTCCAGATATCAATTGGATCAACTGAAACACCCTGAGGACTATGTTAGCGATGTCTTCTGAACTTGAAAGAATTGGTTTGATGAAGCATACCTCCTTTTCTGCGTGATATAACAGTGAAAGCTTGTAGTTGTCCATGTATGCGAAGTCATGATAACTATTCAAATAGTCGTCCAAGTCCGTGTAAAGATTGAGTGGTATATTGTTAGTGTTGTAAAAACGGCGCCAAAGATGTGCAAAAAGTGTCACAAGCCCTGCACGTGTTGTGAGAGGTACATTCTGGAATGGAGAAACTTTGTAGAAAGGATTCACAATGATGGCAGCGATGAAGACTTCTTGGTCGCACTGTTCCCAGCGGCGCTCGATGCTCGCAAGAACAGCTGTACGAGCTGCAAGATCAGTGTCATTGTCGATCTTGGAGTAGCGAAAGTGCAGGAAACCAAATGAAATTGCAACATTTTTGGGTCTTGCTTGGGCTGCTTGATGAACGTTCGTCATGAGGGAAATTGGCTCCAGCAATGTTTTCCATCTACAGAGAGCATTAGTTCTGATTTTTACATTTAGATTTGAACCATACCTTGCCAATGCATGCCAAAATGTCGCATTTTTGATTGTCACAATGGCTATTTGAGTCTTTCTGCATGACTGTACATCTCCACCTGATATCAAATGTGCTTCATGCTTTGTTACAAGCAATTCGAGTGCAGGACGAAGCTCAAGGAGACGGCGATAGGCAAGATAATGTGACATCCAGCGCGTCAGCACTGCTCTGAGAACTGCAAGTGTTTTTCCAATTGTCGCCATCTGTATTTCACGGAGAATAGCAAGCACACGTGTCTTGCTGCGTAGCCACATAATTAGCTCTTGTGCCATGTCTCCATAGACCCCGTAGTCATCTTTGACCTTGAAAAGGTCTCCTACAATGAGATTCCACTATCGTTGTGTTGTTTGTAATCAGCAAGTTGTGACGAATTATGAAAATCACCATACCTGATGAGCCAAGCAATTAGGAACAACAATGTGGGGTAGCTGCTCTCGAAGCAGACGCCGAGCCTTTCATGATTCACCAGATGCGTCTGTGGTGCAAGCGATAACACTTGCCCCCCACTCGGTCTCGATTCTGCTGATTGCGTCTAACATCTGCTTGAGAAGTTCTTCGGCAGTGTGAGGGTCCATCGAAGCATCGTGAACTTTAATCGTGTGCAACTAAATAGATAATTAGTAAAATGATTGACAGTCTCCAGTTAGATTTACCTTTCGGTGAGCAGTCATCATAAACCCCAGGAGATGATGGTGATTTTCACCAGTCCAACCATTGCATTGCAATGTTGCATCAGCGCCTTGACATTCCTCTTTAGCGGCACCTTTGAGTATATTAAGGGCGTGGGGCAGGACACGTTGCGTTAAGACTTTTGCAGAGGGAATTTTCGCTCTTGGGAGAAAATGGTCACACAAAACTTTCCACTCATGATTTTCAACCCATCGGAGCGGCAAGCCAGCACTCGCAGTGAGTCTTGCAAGTCCGATTTCCCAATCGGCTTGATCTGCAGCAGTCCAAGCTTGATCACCGAAGCCGTTAAGTTGGTTGCCCAGTACTATGGGAGAGAGAGGTGGAAGTGAGCTAGAAACAGCCCGAGAGTAGTATTGACCAGATTGGATTAGACATTGGCGCTTCGGATGGGATGGTAATGAGACTTCCAAGAGGGCAGGACTCGGACTGACGGACAGCAAGTCGTGGTAAAGGATACTAGAAGAACTCGAGGCCGTGTCAGTCTCAGGAATTGACAGTGTAGGCAAACTCGGACGTGCAGACTGCACAGTCAATGACCAATTGAGATCTGATGTGCATGGTGGGCTGGCAGCGAGAATGATTGGAGGTATAGCACTGAGATATGCTGGAGTTGCGTTTGGCTGATGGGCCTGAGCACCTTTTTGTGGTGAATATGATTGGTGGTATTCCGTCTGTGCTTGTGAACGGACATTCTCAGAGTGCAATGTGCAATCACGCAAGTGACATAATAGTGTCGTCGGCCAACTGATTAACCAGGTGCGTTGGGGATCATTCTGGCCACTGGCCCAAACTAGTACTCCGAGTTAGTAAAATAAAGCTATTACAAAACAGGCTTGCGTACGAGTGCCTGCTATTGCCATTTCATCCCTCGGTGCATCTCGCTGGCCTGCGTGAACCTGCTGCTCATCTATTGCCTGCTCATGTGCAATGCGTTGCTCATAGAGCCTAGCACACACTACCTTTGCCTTTCCGCTGACCATTGAAGCTGGGTCTTTGACAGCATAACCTGGGTGCTCCACAAAATGATCCCACCACCATCCTCAGTTTGATCTCTTGCTGGTCTTCGCCATCAAGTTGGCGTGTCGAAAGTCGTGAGTCCATCTTCGAGTTATAAGCCTTGAAGCGTGCCCTTGAACCGAACACACGAAAACCACACGTTTATGTGAGTAATGATATGTGAAACGACACATGGATAACATCTAATCAAAGATTCTAGCATTGACCAGATATAGTATAGTTTGTTATAGTAGGCCCAGGAAACTGCTGAAAGTCGTGTTCAGATGAACATCAATAAACTTCGCCAGCTTTCCCACGAAATCCGGTCAATGACTGTGACTTTGGTTCACTGACCGGCAGAACACTGCTCCACACCGACAACAACCATTGCAGGCATTTGCAAGTCTTCATCCTCCTCTCGCTCTACCATTTCCTCGTTGTTCATCATCACAAACTGTAGAGTTTCAGCATCCATAATAGCAAGTAAAGTGAATTTATGATATGTTGATCAATGTGAAGTGACTACGGTCTAGAAAGCTGCATAGATTATCGGAATATCAGTGATTTCCAATCATTTTCAAACTCCGGTATAATCTATTCTGCATTATTTTGCCCATGGCAAGTCATCCAATATTTCGAATCTACATAAAACTATTGCTTTCTTCACACGGTAGCCATTTGACGTGTTCACGCTACAAAAAAGCACCTGATTCTTGCTCCTCTGACTTGCCGCGAGACGGAGATACAAATGCGGGAAAGGTAGAGTCAAACTGCATCATTGCATGCTTTTGACGTAAGAGAACACCACATGCGTCGATCCACATCAAGACCAAAGCAACTCCAACACTGTGTCGTGAAAGCCAGATGTTGAACAACTACACTGGAACGCACAGACTCCTACCCATCGACGGGTGTGTAAGAGTCTTCATACTGTTACCTTAGCCACAAACCAAATATGTACAACATTATTTCAAACACCGCAACTTTGGACTCTACACACCCAGCCGACTGGCAAAACTTGTAGTGGCGCGAGGTTTGGAAGTATTTGTCCCACCGAAAAAGCCTTCCGAGCGCGCTGACATATCCCGAAAGAAATGGGAGCAATTGAATATTAACTGATTGTCACATTGTTTATAAAAAGACAATTGATATTGTTTAATTATGTGACTGAAATAATAATAATTAAATATTAACAATGCAGAGAACAATGGCAGAGAATGCATAAAACAAAAGACAGAGTCCTAGCTTTCGTGCTGTTGCTGCTCAGTCATGGATACAAGTCTCACAGACCTGGCTGGACAACAGTGCTTGCATGTATGGAAGAAAATTCTTTCACTCCAGCAGACTTCGTCGACCACGTTCTTGGAAGCACTAGAACTTTGTTACGAGAGCGCAAGAAACTCACTAACAACGAAGGCCAGTTAGAATATGTGCTGCCCTGTACGAAGATGAACATGCACACTCACATGTAACACAATGGGCAATAACAATCGTGCGCGACATGCTGCGCACCGAGGTGACAAATTTGTCACTTGAAAAGCATGGACTTCATTTCAAAGCCACGTCTGCAACTGCTGAACAACTGGAGAGTGCATTCATGCATCAGCTCGCAGAAAAAATGCAGGAAGTGGCACCTAACCTGTGGCATCTATTCTTCGCGCTGCTCGACAGCACACTTCAGCAGCGGCGGGCTATGGGTGGGAATGTAAAGGTGGGCAATGAGGACATGGATATTTATGTTGAAGAGAGGGACCTTGGAGAATTTGGAGGTGACTGACATTGGAGGAATGATGGGCAAAGAAGACGACTTGAATGAAGAAGCTGACTGACGGAAGACTGCCAACGTCGTGCAGCTGAAAGAAACGCTGCACTGTTGGTCATTGTGAGTTGATATTTGCGCATCAAATGCTGCGTCGCTAACTGAAAACCTGCAGAGAACTGTTGTAATGATTAGCATATGCCTTCAGACGTTTAATTCACTGGTGCAACCTACTACAAGGATGGCTGGGGTTCTTCATGAGGTCAGTGTGTGTCCCCGAGAAAGTGGTTGAAGTGTTCGCCCTGCGCGGGTTTGTCAATTAGCTTGACTGTCAATACACAATGCTGTCTTGTCAATATCTAGAGAGATCAGCAGAAAAATCAAGCATGAAGGTTAGGACATTACAAGCTGGATTCGCATACGACAATTTCGACATACAATTCAAAGCTGCCCAGCCTACGCTGGAACATCGAGGGTCCTTCGTGAGCGCGACAGTCAGCAACCGTCATTCCTCTATATGGCATCAACAACGATAACGTTGATGCTCTACGATCCTCGGCGCAGCTCTGGGATCGGGATTCACACAATCCATCGCCTGTCGGTACTACCTGTGATGACAGAGTGGAGAAGCTTCCTTCAATTGCACAAAAACGATGCTTACAGTCGTCAAACACATCCCGATAGACTGAGCCCTCGCCAGGAAGCGTTTTCAGTGGCACAGTTCGTGCCATTCTGGTCAACCAGGTCGAAGGATTCAAGCATTTCAAAAAAGAGCTAGATGAGCCTGATACAGTCAAAAGAATCCCTGTGCACAAAACAACTCAAATACCTTGTCGAGCAATGGATATCAAGCAGTCCATGACAGACGGGAATGTTGAAGTTCTCGATAACCTGTTTCAGACAAGGAGGTATCGGCGATCCTCGTGATAGCGGGTTTGATGCAGAGCATGACAGTGGACATGTCGGAGCACATCATACTGATCCATGGTGACCTTTTGACGAAGGAGCGACTGGATACTGTCCATAACAGCCGGTGCATTGAGCATACACCAAAGAACCGCTTCCAATACGTGATTTTCTTACCTGGGTTGTTCCACTATAAGATGGCTTGCGCAGATGCCATCTGGAGAACATATATTCAGCCAAAGGAGGGCCGGGATGATGAGAACAGCCTGTACCAACACACTGCAGTCCTTCGGCCAGAGGAAACTGGTAAAATGGTCAGTAAACCTGGCTTTCGGCGAGTGCATGATGTCATTCACCATGACATCTGGGCATCAATGATGGACTGTTGGCGGATCGAAGCAGAGAACAAGAATCAGGAATGGAACACGCTGGAGACTTTTGTGGCCTCTGAGCCAACATGGGATGACGTGGTGGCAATGTCACGTACCATTGTGCGGAAGTACAGTTGCTGACAACTGCCAGGCCTTGACGAAGCACGAGCACGACCATCGACAATCCGCGACAAGCGATTTCGAAAATCAAACATGCTGCGAAACAGGGACAAGCTGATGTACATTGACGTCTGTCAAGCTATGAATACTGGTGACATCGGGAGAGTGGAAGCGTCGTTCTTACCGTGGATTTACATGTTCAAAGCCACAGGAAAGCACAAGTATGCTTCCCAGATGACGAGGTTTCTTGCAAACCTTCAGTTTAACTGGCCTGAAAAACTGAGGTGAGTAGGAGTTGCTCGTATTGACTGCGCATCATCTGAAAATATGTCAGTGATATCATTCGAATGAACTTGCTTTGCAACCCCTCTGGGCATGCAGCTAGCTGTTTCGTGCTGTAGATTGGGTTGTCGAGAGGAATAATCTGTACACCAAGGTTAGTTCCTACTAACTAGCTGATTTGGGTTGGAATGTTAATATATAATCAGGTCATATACAGAGGCTGGAGGCCTGAACGGTACAATTGAACACATTATTAAAGAATCCCCTCTGATCGAGGTCTACCAGTAACTGTCATGTCGTCATCGAAAACAGGTTTCCACCTTCAGCATCGAACAATTGGTCATGCACATCCTGATATGATGAATACAATCTGTAAGTTGTCAACGAGAATAAAGGAGAACTACGCACATATAAAGAAGGATGGTCGGAAGGCCCTGTGGTCGATTCCCAATCAGATCAACGAAGGGATGGTGCTGATGCAAGAGCAGAAAATAGTTAGCGAGGAAGAGACGGCCATTTTCAACGTCGACGGAGATGACTTGATTGACTAACCTTGGCCGACTTGATTGTTCTGTGGACCAACAAACTGTTGTTGTCCTTGCACTGGATGGAAACCTTGCTCAGAAGCACCTGGAGCAGGTGCCACCATGGCCGGTGCATTTTCTATATTAGATCTTGACTTGCGGGGCTTGGCAATATATCTTGGACAAAGTTTGTTGGACGCTGTGAAGAAAAATGAATATGATAAGACAGTGGACATAGCGAGCAGTGCATACCTATATGATCAGCGCTACCACAAGCACGACACTTTCGTGAACGTTTCAATGCAAACATGATGACATTTGTGGTGGAGGTGCTGGCGCTCGGTTGTTGGTTTGTCGAGGACGATAAGCCAAGTGGAAGTGAAATGATCACAGCAGGTGGTGCGGGAGGTTGGACAATGGGCAAAGGGATGCAAGTAAGAATGATATCGAGGATGCTTTGCCCATATTCAGAGGAGTAGCACCATGATGTCTGCTCGAAGAGAGAAGCCGTTCGATAAGATTTTGTGGTAGTGCGCGAGGTCAACAATACATGGTTCAGGATCTTGTTTGACATGATCATTTGAGGATCAAAAAAGTCATCAGCAGTCGAGATCCTCCTCGATTATCTTCGAGTCCCTCCATTTTATGAGCTCCTGCTGAAGCCAGGCGTTCGGCGTCGGTCATTTCGTATGGCTTGATCTTGTACTTTGGTTTGGTGTGCTGTTGACGTGATTTGTTGCAGAGGGAAGAGCCATGAATGTAATTCCATCTTGTTACACACGTCACAGCAAATGTGTGACACCCGTGCAGCGCATCTCTCACAGCATGTATTCCCTTGTTCTCGATAACCTCAATGTCAGCTAAATCAGCTCCATCTGGCCTTAAAATTCTTACCTATTAGGTTTGGATTATTGAAATATTCACTTGTAACTCGGCGACGGCAGAATCCTCGAAGGTGAGCAGTTGATATATGCATACATAGCAGCTCGTTCGATAACATCACTATCAGCGTTTACCGGAAGGATCCTCATAGGAGTAGAAGTGCCAGCAACCTCTGGAATGGTGTGTCTGTTGCGCTGATCCACCACCATGCTGACTGCTGTCCGTTCGTCCGTCATTGTCCCCCCCATTGAGGGTACCACCATCAGTCCTACATTGACTGGTCTCCTCATCGCGCACCGCTGTGCTCTCAGCATCCACGTTCGTGACCTTCTTCTTCTTTGCAGTGATGCTGTCCCTCATCAAGTTCAGGCCGTTTGCGCTTGCCACTGTACATATCAAAGTACAGCGGCTCCACGAAGTACACCGCAAGTGCCGTTAAGGCGTGGTCTCGCGCAGCACGTCCTAGGCATTGCATCAATATGCAAAGTGAGTTTATATATCCCCATTGAATGACCAATCTGATGTCTCAAAGATCAAGGCCCTGCATCAACAACATCAATATGTGAGGGACCCTCAATATGACTGTGAGTAACTTACCATTCCCGCTGCATCAGTACAGCAGATTCCCCAAATCTCACCCTTTGACAGCTTTTCCATTGTGTCCAGCCGGAACTGCATTGACATGCCCGAATGGAACCATACGATGTTATGGCGAAGATGCGCAGGTAATTCTTTGCATAAGCTATTGAAACTGCTTCTGCTTGATCTCAAGAATTTACGAACAGCATGAACTTCTCGGGCGGTGTGCCCCCCCTGAGTGACAAAATTCGGGCAAGGTCGTAGTAAGTGTTTTGTGGGTACTTCATCTCCTGGACCATGAGATGAATATTTGGACGGTTGTTTGACCGGACAACTTTAGCAAGGTTATATGACCGAATGCGAAGTTTCGATTGGACGTCTAGGAGGATGTGCGGTGGCATGGTTGCAGACACGGTGTGAAATCGAACGTGAGCTGGAAGGTACCATCGAAGATTCCCCAGCTCACTATACAGCGGTCGAAAATCTTTGCCCCATTCACTAATACAATGACCCTTGTCAAACGTGATATTGAAGAGATTATCTGTAAATGTTCCAGACTTCCAAAGTTTTTTGAATCAAGCGTCTTGAAGTACACGTTCCGGGCTAACAGCGAGAACTTGATACTTCAATTTCTCTATGTCCTGATGAATATATGCTCAGACTCGTGTAGTATTAAAGTCATTAAATAACAACTCACTTTAAAAGCCTCGTCTGTTGCTGTCTCTGCACATATATCAAGGGCGGGAAACCCATAAGCATTTGCTTCATCTCGGTTCTTCTCGCTGAGGATATTAAGTGGGGTAATGATAATGGTTATTCCACCATTGTTGAACAACAGGGGAATCGAGAAGGTAAGAGTCTTTCCTGAGCCGGTGGGTGAGATGGTGAAGACATCTTTGTTTTCAAGCTGGTTGTGAGCTGACTGGAGTTGCCAAGTACAAGGAGTAAGACCCAGTTTCATTTCTGCAATGCTTTTCATTTCTGCAAAGCTCGGTACTTCGACTCGGCCACCTGGCGATGACATCAAGATACGTGACTTAGAAGATTAAGTTAAGTCTCAGAAAGGATTATCCATCATGTCACTAAAGGCACGTCACGCTAAAGATTTTTGACATTAATATTCAATTGCTCCCATTTCTTTTGGGATATGTCAGCGCGCTCGGAAGGCTTTTTCGGTGGGACAAATACTTCCAAACCTCGCGCCACTACAAGTTTTGCCAGTCAGCTGGGTGTGTAGAGTCCAAAGTTGCAGTGTTTGAAATAATGTTGTACATATTTGGTTTGTGGCTAAGGTAACAGTATGAAGACTCTTACACACCCATCGATGGGTAGGAGTCTGTGGAACGCAATGCTTCTCAGAATCTCCACTGCGCCAGCCTGAACAGCTTACATAAGTAAACTTTGAAGTCAATACGATATCATCCAACCAACTCTAAATCAAATGCTTAAAACAAGATCCAAACATCTGATAAATACACTCGGATGCCTACCCTGTTTTCCGGCAACTCATTAATAAATGCCTGCAAAGTAATAAACACGAAACCTACGACAATGAATGCAATCCGATATCGATTCCTGTGAGTCACCTTTCACTCATCCCTGTCTTGTACTTCATCTGGCAACTGGGACGCTAGCCATCTCAACCCACTGGCCAACACAATTAAGATAACAAAAACTGCATTCCTCCTAGAAGGTTGTGTTCCTTCGATGCAGCGAAGAGCTGAAGTCGCCATGGCGGGACCAACGGCACGAGCCATCGCTGCAGAAGTTTGACCAAGGCCATTGATAGTGCCAAGGACATTATTTGTAGGAGCAGAAGCTGTGATAAACATGATTATAGTCCCTGCAATGAAGTGGGTTACTTGTAATGACAAGAATGTTTCATTACAACATGCACCATATGTCGTATGCCATATGACTAACATAACTAGATGGCAAAGTAAGGCAAACATGATTGCATGATCGACTTCTCCCCTTGCGCGTAAAATCCACGACATTATCAGGAAACATAGCCATGAGTGGTGCGTAGCACGACACTGAGATGCAGAATAAACGCTTCGGACCAATCCAATCAACGATTATGGGGAAGAATAATGCCTGAAAGACACCATCGATGATCTCAAACAGTGCCATCCATTTGCCAATAGCAGTGGGATCAAATCCAAGGCTGCCAAGATAAGTAGGTGTCGAAAAGAACAGTGGCAAAAGAACCCTGAAAGAAACGTCAAGGAAGGCGAGCATGGAAAAGTTTGCAATCGGAATAACAACGGAAGGTGTGAGGAGTGATCACAAGGAAATATCTGCCATCAATTGTTGGGCGAGTGATTCTCTGTCGGGACTACTTGGAACACCGACCTTGGTTGAAGTGAACTTCAGTCGACGCTTCGTTGACAATGTCTACTGATCGTGAGTGATGTGTGTGATATGATGGGTATGTAGAACTTACTTCTTCTAAGAACAATGTCATCATAACAAGGGCCAGGGCGAGCAGAAATGCTGCCACTGCGCAAGGCAGAAAGTATGGGTAATTTCTCCAAAATGGATCAGAGAATAATGCGGGCCAATGATCTTGCGGTCGCTGCAAGCGTTCCGCCCATTAAAGGACTGTCATGCGGATTGTATCATTCACCACCCCCATATTTAACGAGTCCACTTACCCAAGAAAGCCTCCAAAGCTCCAGACAATCGGGATCAAGGCAAACACCTGAGCCATATTTGTAGAGTCCGTCAATTCCCCCATCATAGTCTTCATAACTCCCACATTGCCATTCAGAAAACCGCACATGCAACGGCTAGGTAAACCTAGCATGTCAGCATTGCATATCTCTTTGAGCTGAAGACACACCTAATGACAAGACTCCAGAAGGTTGTTGAGAGGCCGAAACACAGTATCGAAATACAAGCACCTGAGAGACCCATTATCAACATGGGCTTGCGCCCAATGCGGTCAGACAGTCTACTCCACCTCAGCACCATTAGTGCCTGCACGGCGAAAAACAGAGATTCCTGCAAATCATATCCGACGGGCGAACCATTCTTGTAAGCACTTCGCAAGTCGTAATCCTGGCACTTACGATGATTCCAGCATAATATCCTACAGCCGCATCGTTGCCCTCGGTGATTCCAAGTTCTCTGATCAGCTAAGAGAGCAAAATAGTATCAAAAGTGTACATTGAAGAGAAGTACTGTGATTGCAAAACCATACCTGATTGATGTATGGGAATATAGATGTCGAAGCGATGGGTTCCGAAAGTTGCAGCGTTATAAGAATGCCTATCTGAAGTTTTGGAAGGGGCGTTTTAGGTTTCTTCGAGCCCTTTGCGGGTAGCAGAGGCGCTGTCTCATTTGCTATGATTTCATGAGATTTGGAAGTATCCATCCTGGTAGGTCAGGGTTTGAAGGGCTAGCAAGAGCCTTGCAAGTGCAAAGGCGGATGTCCAGCAAACTCCAACTGCATCTGTATTTATAGCCTGCCCATCATTGATATAGTCAGCTATCAAGGTAATGTATGTAATAGCGAGCGGCATACCTCAGGCTGAAACGGCTTCTGGTACCCTGTTATTATTTGAACCTCACCGTTCGATCCCTTCGAGTTTGTCGCACCACGTCCGATGCACTCCGAGCTAGCTCGGAGTCGGTTCCAAATCAACTACCTCTAGTCCCGTTCCATGCTAGGCGGACCCGGACAAGCCTGCCAAGAAAACAGTCAGAACAAAATAGATGTAGTTAGACTCTAAGTTTTTTGCGATCCGAGAAACAGAATTTACCACCTAAAAGCACCGCAATCATAGTTGCTAGCAAGAACTCACCAGTTCATTGATCAGCGACAAAGACACACCGAACGCAGATGACTCCACATTGCACATATCTTGGACTCGTGCAAAGTGACTGTTACCGAGTCCATCCATTGATACTCCATGCAGTCTACCATGCACGAAATGACAGGGCATATCACCACAATGGGCTTTAACGTAGAAAATTTTTACTGGTGACCCATCATTGAGGAACAGTGGTGCACATGCCGTGTCTCCGGTGCATTCCATTGGTTCGGGACCGGCGGGTCATGTCAAAGGATGTCGCCGAGTACGAAATTTACGTCAAGTTGAAAGTTACTTAGAAGAGGGCAGAAAAGTTCATACATCTAAAAATCCAACCTGGTGGAAATGTACTTCAAAACTCTTGCAAGAGTCGCTGTTTTGGTTAGCTCGAAATTTAGTTTGTAAATACCTGGTTTTGGATATGTTTGGACCCTGAGTCAAGTCTCACACATTTGGATGTGAGATTTAAAGATTATCGATGCGACATGAGATTATCAGTGTGGTAAATGCGTTATCATACTAGTATTTAGTAGTAGTAGTACAATCAAAACTATCAAACCGTGTCTAATGGTCCAAGTTGTGGTACAATATCAAGGGTAGTAGTATTTATGAGGGTGCCTGTGTTGGTCCAACTACTAACACATACCATAGAAAATCATGAAATTCTGCTAGCTCGTCCTCGGTGAGGTTTCTGATCGCGGCTAGAATGGCGTCGAATTTGCGACTGTACGCCGATCCACCGAAACGATCAACTTTCACGTGAGCGTCCGACTGTTCGTCTAGACTGCAGAATGTCGCAGTGCCAGTGAGCGCCCAGATCACTTTCAAACGTTCAATTTGCTGCTCTTCCGTGTCGCCAAGAAATTCCTGGTGGGACCCAAACCAAGCAAAACGGATGGCGTTGGACATGACGAAAGGGTTTTGGAACTTCGCCTTGATTTCGACTTGCCCGTTCTGAAATACAATGAGTCACCTCCAGCAACACACGAAAACGAAACTCACTTGGTCGAAAGTGTAGATGTGCATGAAAACAAGTCCATCGGCATCAGTTGTAATCTTTTGGATTACGCGTTGGCGATAGGTGACGGGAGGCGTGACACTGTGCTGTGGAGGGAAAAATCGGTACCCGTTGAAGACGCCCTCGCGCGCGAATTCAGAGAACTTCCCACGCGTTATCGACAACGCATTTGCTACGTCTCTACGATGTTTGTTACAGATAAAATCTTCAAACATAGCTAATAAAACGAGTGTCAGACTGATGCCTAACAATTGGGGTATAGACTCACCGTTAGGCCCAAAACAACATGGTACCGAATCCCAGATCACCCAGGTCAACATATCCTTCTTTGCGGCTTTGTAATTCGACATCGCTTGCTCCCCGAATAACTCACGCGTGACCAATTTCATGGCCGTTTTCACGGTCTGGACGATAATGTCCTCCGTTAGCTTGATAGGCGAGGGTTTAGCTATCGATGACTCAGACATCACAGTCTGTGAGGTCGAGGCTTCGGCTGTAGATAGAATGGATCCGGAAGCGCCCTGTGGGCGCGTTGTTGGGTAGGGAATCATGCGTGGCGTAGGTGGCATTGCTCGTCGACTGCCTCGCCTCTTTGTCTCCCTTGCCGGGCCTGCCGTCTAAATGAGCGGATCAGCGTGAATTTGATCGAAGAACAAACAAAATGTACGTGCATCACATTTGTGTGTGGAATTTCCCCTCGTTGTATGAGCGTCGCCTCCGATGCGCTCGTGTCATGGTGATCATCGAAGCTGGCGTCATCCTCTAAAGACGAAGTGCCGTGAGAGAAACGGCCATCGAAGTTGGTGTCCTGCATGCTCCAGCTATGCATTGCTGCGGAATGGTAAGCGATCAGTGAATGTAAGTACGATACACTTACAGGCGCTCATCTGAGTGGGAAGTCCACTATCGGTATCACCTTGCCAACCTGCACTGGGCGCATGCGCGTCGAAGGTGAAAGAGCTCATCTGTGGTTGTTCAGTAGGGATACGAAGCTGGTCAGTCGCCGGTTCACCCGATGGATTGAGGCCAGAACCTCGCGGTGGTTTTGGAACCTTGGCCTTAGTTTTTCGCTGAGGGCCACGGTCTCTAGGCATTCAAAGTGGGGGAGGATGTGAGAATGCATGCATGCATTTAAGTTGCCAATCGATGTAATAGTACATAGGGGGAAAAGAACTTTACATGATCTTTACAAACTGGGAACGTGTGGCGGGCTGATAAGGTGATTTACAAATAAAGCAAGGTCATTTACTAACGAAGCGTAAAAAGAGGGGGGGGGCGTGGTCCGATAAGGCGATTTATGAACGGCAGAAAAAGATCTATGAATGGCCGGAGCAGGCGAAGCAACTTATTGAACGGTCGAAGCAGGGCGGTACCAGTTGATAACAATCTATGAACAGTGACACGACTGAATTGAATGTCACTGATATGGATCAGTGTGAGTACCATGAATCACTTGACAGTCACATACCATTGATATGTCACAACTGCATGCCGCACGAGCGCTGCTGGCCCAGCCGCCCGTTGTAATCATCATCTTCGCCGAAATCGCTATCGGTGTCAGTATTGGTGTCGGTACCGGCATCCGCGAAACCACTACGCAGCGCACGTGTGATGCTGTCCCTATTATGCAAAGCATCCACAAAACGAGGGAGGTAGGGAGCTTCGCCAGTAGACACTAATAATTCACGCCCGGCGCGTGAGCCCAGGCGTCTTGAGATTATCTCTGCTTGGGCAGTGATGGCGCGAAGCATTTCGCATTCATCGTTGTAGATGGCTTGATTGTAATCTGTGTTGTTGTCGATTTCTGTGGGCTCACGCTCGGAAAAGTAGTTCCTAATCTTCTTCAGCTGTTCGTCCTTCAAATTAAGTCAGGTTTTGTTCTCCTGGTGAAGCGCCTGATTGAATGCTGTCATGCGCTCTGAGGCTTCAACCTCCCATAACGATGTCGCTACTTCATGGCGAACAGCCTTGTGACTAGCAAGTAGTGCCTTGAACGCTTTGTACAAAGTGTCAAAGCTCATCCGTGATAGACCACTGGTTATTGCGTCCTCGTGCTTTTGAACATAGACCATGTGAGAACTTGAGAACCTCTTGAACAAAGAAATAAAAAGACAAATACCTCTTGCAGTTGTTCAGGCGTAAAGTCTGGCTGGCGTACTCGCCCTGTCACGCGGTTTGCAAACCGAAGCTCCAGTGCAGATGGCCTGTGAGGGTATGGGACATGTCTCTTGGATGACTTCTCACGCAAGTAAGCTGCCCGAGAAGGCGACTTTGGTGACTGTGAACCACCAGGCTGATACAACAGGCTCTCCTTTACATCAGGAAGGTACGGGATCTCTTCTACTGGGGAGAAGTGAACCTTTGGAGAACCTGAAGGGCAGGGGGACAGTTTGGGGGAAAGTGAACAGTCGGAGCCAGATAAGAGCTCAGTGGCCATATGGGGAGAGACAGGGTGGTCAGCCTTCTTAAAAAACTCCAAGGGAGTGAATTCTACATGGGTTGCACTGCTTGACGTAGTGCTGGTGAAAGTAGGACTGCTTGGTCGAGCAGGAGATGAGACCGGTGATGAAGACGCAAGTTCCATTGGCCTGGCACGATGACTGTGCGCTGTGAAATGTAAGGTCTTCGGACTTTGAAAGACTTGTTGGTTTTTGCAGCTTCCTGTGCACTCACTGGCTTAAGTCTAAGCAAAATCTGCGCTACAATGTGAGTACATCTGTTGCTCACTTCATGATACCGTACATACCTTTGGCAGGCTATGTCCCAACTGCAAATTGGGGGAATATCCATCCATCGAGGCGCTTATCTCACATCTCAATTCTCCGTCTACTTGTTGGCCATTCGAAGTACGACCACAAACGTTACCTGTCCCTTCTGTATTCAATCAAGGTGGTCGGATACCCGTCACTGGTACATGTCACCCGCAATCTGGATACATCTATGGTGTCGGTAGAAATATGCTGGATAAGTTAGAAGATGATCAATATGCATATCGACGGAAGATAAATCCTTACTACCCTTTCCCTGATGAAGGCGAGTGGGAATTAGGGAGGTTTTTGGTGGAAAACCTTACTCAAACCCAAATAATGAAGTTCTTGAAGTTAAGATGGGTAAATGACGAATATCGATCTAAGCTGTCCTCCTAACTCTGATCTTACCTTCACAGTTCGACACTATGGATCGCACAAAACCATCTTTCACCACAAAAGATAACCTCCTGGACTGGATGGACTCACTGCCTTCTTTTACCCCGTGGAAAGTCTCCAAATTAGAATTTAAAGGCTATAAGACTGTCTGTCCTGTGGAGCTCGTTTGGCGCGATGCGCTGGAGGTTGTCAAGCAACTATTTAGTGACCCAACTTTCGCGAACAACATGACCTTTCACCCTCACGTCGCTAACGTCAACAATCAGCGTGAATACGGAGACTACATGAGTGCCGATATGGCATGGAAGATTCAGGTTTGTTCGCCCTGTTATTAATATACTCTTCACAGAGTGACAGACTGATTTCTAGGACCATCTCCCATTGGGTGCGACTCAAGTCCCGATAATCTTGGGATCCGATAAAACTCCCGTAACACAACTTGCCGGAGGAATTGAGATGCACCCGGTTTTTGTTACCATTGGTAACATTGATTCTGAGGTTCGTTCCAAAGCAACTTTACAAGCTTGGCGCTGCATAGCCTACATTCCCGTCGTCAAGTTCCGCGTTCATCCAGACTACCAGTCTATTCTCCAAGCCAGACTATGGCATAAATGTATGGACCTTGTTTGTGCTAACCTCAAGGCCGCAGCGAAGGATGGTTGCTTTATGCCCGATCCTTCCCGCAACATTCGTCATGTGTTTACACCGCTCGTCGGTCATGTGTGTGACCTACCGGAGGCTACTATGATTGCAGCAGTCAGCAAAAACGCATCCCCGCTAACTATGGCAATACAAGCGGATTTTGGCGATGGAATTCTCCACCCCCCTCGTACCGGGAAGCACACATTGCAACTTATTGTGGAGATATCCCAAAAGGTCGATCCCTGGGATCTCGACAAGTTCCAGAAAGCAGCCAAAGCCGTTAATCTGTCTGGTGTTCATATGCCATACTGGTGCGATTGGATGTTTGCATGTCCATCCGTTTTTCTTGCCGGCGAAGTGCTGCACACCTGCCATAAGTTTTTTGCCGATCATCCACTGAAATGGATCAAGGAAGCTATGGGAGATTACGAGCTCGACACTCGCTTCATGGTCCAGCACAAGCGAGTCGGAACACGCCACTTTACAAAAGGTATCACACACGTCAATCAAATGACAGGCCGCGAGCATAGAGACATCCAACACACTATCGTTGTGTCGATCGCAGGGGCTGTTCCACCCAGATTCATTCGTGCAATCTGTGCCCTCGTGGACTTTTTTTACCTTGCACAGAATCCAGTTCACTCGCCTCAATCACTTGAGCTAATGGTTCAGGCGCTTTCAGATTTCCACTCTTTCAAGGACGCTATCATCCAGGCCGAGGCAAGGAGGGGGAAGAATGGTAGCAAAGAAGATTTTTTCATCCCCAAACTCGAGCTTCTGCAGAGCTTCGATGGTACGATTAAGAAATTGGGCACTTTGATGCAGTTCTCCGCTGATGTGACAGAGTGGTTGCTCATCACACACTGTAAGGACATTTTCCCGTGGACATCCCGGCAAATCAAAGATTTTACGGAGCAGTGCGTGCGGATTCTTAACCGCCAAGAGTCTATGGAAATGTTCGGCCTATACACGCTGTTGACTTCTCACGGGGCGTCACTGGCTAATGCAATACACGATGAAGATGAGGATGTTACAACTACCAATCCTGCACTCTCCTGGGTTTCCTGAGTTCTCCCTGACAAAGTCAAGTCAATCCATGGTCCCCGACCAGTCCGTAATCACTTTCTCAAAGGTATTCTCTCTGGAGATGCACTCACCGCTTTTCAACTCAATGTCACGCCTGATTACAAATTGCTGTCACCATCTGACATACGCACAAAATATGCACTCTTCGACTTCAATCTTGCGCTCACCGACTTTATCTGTTGTTCCTCCCTTTCCGGCGGTGAACATTCCCGTTGGGACCCCAGATACGGGCGCTTCCAGGCATGGCACAAGTTTCAATTGCAGCTTCACTCAGCCTTCCAGCCCCGAGTGATCATGCCAAGTCGAGTGGTGCAAGCATACCCACCAAGCGATGATTTTCCCTTGGGAAATTGCGATACTGTTCTCATTGACGCCATGGGCATTGATGGCAAAATGAGTGTGTCTGTTTCATGCGCTTATATTGTAGCCCTACTGATGTCATACAGCGAGTTACATCGGACAGGTTCGACTCATTTTTCAACCAATAGTTCGACGAGGTTCCAACTTGGAACTGCCATCCTATCTCTCCGACCCACTCCTCTACGTCCAATTTTTTCCGCTTCACTTCCAGCCCTGATGATCATCCTGAACTCGCTATGTGGAGTGTGGAGCGCATGTACACACAGGATGAAAATGGTAACTGCCATAGGGAGGGGGCTGTCGTACGAGTGACAGACATGACACATGTAGTTGAATTGATCCCAGTTTATGGCGAGGCAGTGGCCAAAGGCGTGTCCTCTGCGACTTGCTTGGAAAGCTATGAGCGTTTCTTTCTGAATAACTTCGCAGACAAGGAGAGTTACCATACATTCAGTACTGAGTTTGTATAGACAGTAATCAGTATGTAGCAATTCTATCTATTGCTATCGCATCTATCATACCGCATCTCTGAGCATATCACATCTTATCGACAAAAGACAACTGCACTTGAGTTTTATCAACCGGATATGGTGTGTAATATTGGTATTCAAGATCTCCACCAATCGGATGAGTTTGCTAGTGAAGTCGTAAGCATTTGTAAGTGTCCGTAACGCGCGTAATTTAAGCGTTCATTTCAGTGGTTTTGCAGATGTACTACCCTGTTATCATTCTGACCTTTCTCGGTTCCTTCGAATGACTTCAAATCTGGACACCCTCACGTCATTCACAATGAAAAGACCCCAGACTCTGTTCAACATCTTCGCTTCAAGTTATTGTTTGGCTCAGACTTGACACACCTTGACGAGACAACTTAAGAATTGTCAAAGCACGCCTCAGAGCTGAGCAGCATATAATCCTCAACTCTCCACTGCCCGCACACCGGCTCCCGCCCTCCCCAACCACCCGCTACCGTCTTTCTTCATTAGCGTATCTCCTTCCGAGTCGTTACTCTTGTCGATGACGTGGCACTTACACTTCATTAGGATGTTTGTATTATTTGTATCCTATCATGTAGCACATCAATGAATACGATTATATGATGGATAGTCTTATACAAGGGCGTGTGTCCAGCTACCGTTAAATAAAGCGTGCCTCGAGTTCTGGAGCAGGACAAGAATGGCGGGAAGTTACGGAATAATGGAATTTGGTACGATGAAGTGCATATGCGATAAAATGGGGGAGTTTTTCTTGTGAGTTAGAAGAGGGGTACTTCGGACAAGCAAAAAATGGGTAATGAAGAGCACACAGCCGCAAAGCCTGCTCATGGCCATAAAATGAGTCAGAGTGTCTTGTTGTAGGTTGAGTAGACTGAGGTTTAGGTGGCGCCTAGGCTATCAGCATCCGCACAGTGTGCCATCGACAGTACTGAACCGTGAGACGGGAATATCGGCGAAGTGCAGTGGAACGAGCGAGTCGTCAAATTCGCTAGTCACGAGTGCAGTGATATGATTGTGTATAGTATGCCGCGGCCGCAGACACGGCTCCGGTACTCCTCTAATATCTGGTCGAAGGGCATTAACAAGCGTGCAGGATGGCGTTGGCGTGAATGGTATGGTTATTCGAGGCGCTGGTTGCTGCAGTGCATCACGATGTGTGGTGTATGCACGGTAGGTATGAGTGGAATCACAATGTTGTTGTTGTCGAATAACAGGTAATAGTATTCCCTGTCCATGTCAGTATTTGGGCTCTGTTAATACAGACGCTACCATAGCTGCGCATGTGCCGGCGCCGCTGGTGCGACAACAACTCCACTGCGTATCTGCTGATGTGCGAGTCGCCAGTGGTTCTACTAGCATCCTCGTTGACGAACTGGCGAATCTGTCTGTGACAGAGCAGGAGATACTGCACTTACTCGCAGAGGGCAGAGGTATGACCCAGTATGGCGGGTATTGGGGTGCTGGAGTCCTTGCGGAAGCTGTCGACGGGTGTTTATAGCGAGTGCGTTGCGGGCCCACATCCCAGTCTGCTCGGAGAGTTGAATGTTGTGTGTGTGTATTACTAAACAAGTTACGTTGAAGTGTTAATAAAGGAGAGCTAATACACTAAGAATCCAAGACGTTAACATGTCGAAGAGGCAGTGACGAGGAGAAGATCGAACCGACGAAACTGGAGTTAAAAATGGGGGGAGTAAGCATGCGGGGAATGAGGATATGTTGAGATTGTTAGATACAGCTGCTTGGTGACGGCCACAACATTAAGCTGAAACAAAGATGTTGAACAGAGTCTGGGGTCTTTTCATTGTGAATGACATGAGGGTGTCCGATTTTTTGCTCAGGGTTTGAAGTCGTTGGAAGGAACTGAGAAAGGTCCGAATGATAACAGGGTGCCAGACACCGAGAACGTTCCGGCCGGCGTGAAGACATTTAAATCCTAAGGAAAGTCATCCACTAGTGGAATGTTCCTCATGGGCTGTACTAGTACTACCCAGGCTAGAAGGGGTACAGGTCTGGCAATTTTTATCATCCCAGTTATACCCTGTGACGCCGCATTTTGGAAGATCATGTTTGTCAGCATGAGTCGAGCTTATCCTCTTTTTCATGTTCTCTTTGTCCACTCCGGCCATCATTATCACCTAGTATGGTCCCTACGTACCTGTTGTATTAGATCTGCCATCAGCCTGGCCCAACTGTCACGTCTAATTAGGGTGGTTACGTGGGAACCACAGGTGGTTTTCCTGATGATCGCTGTTGTGTAACTGTTCGCCGTTGTGAAAGAGTAATAGCGACTAGGCTGGTTAGAAACTAGTGCTACTTATCCAAATAGGCGCGAGTGTAATATTCGACCCAAGAGGACTGCTATTGAAGCAACTCCCTTCAAATATGCAAGGGCAGCGATGTTGCGAAGGGCTAATAACCTATAGTGACCTAAGACCTAAAACCAATGAGTAGCGCTGTAGTGATCAGCGACTAGCGACAAGTGAGTTCCGACAAAGAAACGTGCGTATAAGTAAGTAGCGCTATGCAAGTTGTCCTATGCGATAGTGCTATGCGACGTCCGATTAGCGACAGCGAGAAGAAATCAAAAGAAGGGAAAGCAAGGGATAAGGTATGATAGTGCAAGTGGAATTGCCTGATAGCGACTAGATTATAGCTCGACTACCGACAGCGATCCCGATGTTGCGAAGATCAAACTTATGAAGGAACTTTAGCGACGCGCACTCGAAGCAAGTCAAGCGACACGCGATCAGAGAGATTTGGCAAGAGCGGAATCAATTGCACCAAAACTAGGATATAGCGACTAAAGTGACTCCGACACCAGCAAAGGTCCGGGGAAGGGAAGTACTGTACTGTATGTGCAATGGGTCATTTTATCATACTGCGTAAAAGTTCAGGAATGCGTAGGTGAGAATAGTAGCGACACTGATGGAGGCATGATGTAGCGACAGGTAATAAGACATGCAGCGCAGCGGAACATGAGGATGCATGTAATAAGACCTGCAACTGATGAGTAGCGACATTTAATGAAAAATAACGCACCAGCGGAGGTAGGTGGACATAGGCAGGACATGGGAGGACAGAATACCTAGGCGTCGGGCCGGGCAGCGCGCTATGGGAGAAAAGTGGTTCCAAAGCGGATAGCTTGGGAGCTGAATAGCGCTGGTGACTAGCGCTTTACTCCTTTCCTCAAGGTAAGGCAAATTGTGCCTATGACACTCATACATGCCTAGCGCTGGTATGATTGTCACACCATGTTTGGCAAGAGGGTTAGAAATAAACAAACTCAAACTCGAAGTCAGTCAACACTATGTAGAACCTATCTATAAGTGCCCAAGTACTGTCGGCGGCCCACTTTTAATACTCATGAACAGACACACTGGCAATCAGATAATCCATATTATAAGAATAAGTAATGTTGAACATGCAGTTTAGTTGTTGTTTTCCTGGTTGAATTTCATATCAGAGTCTGATGTACAGTGCTTTAGGGTGCGCATGGGCACCTGCTTTAAACGGCCGGGCCCATGCACGGACAATTGGGAAGTCATTCCTTGCATTGCAAGGTCATACCAGTATAAACCCACCACTCTTGGGTAAGTGACTGATGTTGAAATATGGGTGATATTTTGAATCTACATCGGAGTGTGCCAGAGAGGTAGCCCCTGTCTTTGACTGCAAAAAGCACCTGATTCTCGCTCCTCTGGCTTATCAAGCATTTGCCACGAAACGGAGACACAAACTGCACAATTGGCTGGGCGAATCCCATTCAACATGCTCAGTGGGAGGATTAACTAGATTGAATGGTGGCATTCGCTCAGTCAGACATAATGTCTCGTGTAAAAATTGACATTTCCATTAAGAAGTTCCTGGGTACTCATACATGGTGAAGTGAGAAATCACGAAAGAGGTGCCAACCTTTCACTCATTCCTATCTGGTATTTCATCTGGTAACTGCGACCCCAACCATCTCAACACGCCAGCCAGCATAATTAGAACGACATATATGGCATTTCCTGCAAGAAGATTGCATTCCTTCAATACAGCAAAGAGCGAAGTCGCCAATGCGGGGCCGACTGCACGAGCCGTTGATGCAGAGGTCTGGCCAAGACCATTAATAGTGCCAAGTACAGTATTTGTAGGGGCAGAGGCCATGACAAACATCAAGACAGTCCCTGTAATGAAGTGGGTTACAACTTATAATGACAAAATGATTTTATTGCAACACATACCAAAGGCCATATCCCATGCAACCATCAGAACTAGCTGGCAAAGCAAGGTGAACATGACTGCATGATCAACTCCTCCCCTTGCGTTTACAAGCCATGTCATTATCAGAAACATGACCATGATTGGTGCGAAGCATGACACTGATATACAGAATAGACACTTTGGACCAAATTGATCAACAATTTTGGCGAAGAATAATGCCTGAAAGACACCATCCATGATTCCAGAAAATGCCAGCCACAAGCCAATAGACGAAGGAGAAAATCCAAGGCCGCCAAGATATGTAGGTGTTGAAAGAAACAGCGGAAAAAGAGCTTTGGAAGAAAACGTCAAGAAAAGCGAGCATGGCATAGTTTGCAATTGGAACAACAATGGCAGGTGTAAGCAGAGATCGCAAGGGGGTATATGCCATGGATTGTCGATGCAGTGATACACCACTTGAAACGCCGAGTGTGGCTGATGTCAACCTTGGTCGACGCTTTGTTGATAGTGTCTGCCCAATCGTGAGTAATGTTTGTGATGACGCAGGTACATCGGACCTACTTCTTCTAAAAATATTAACATCATGAGAAGTGCTAGGACGAACAAACAGGCTGCCACTGCACAAGGCAGAAAGTATGGGTATTTTCCCCAAAATGGATTGGCGAATAATGCGGGCCAATGATCTTGTGGCCGCATGAGTGCTCCGCCTATTAAAGGACTAAAATGCCGATTTCATCATTTGCCGTCTCTGTAATCAACAACACCACTTACCCGACAAAGCCTCCAAGGCTCCCAACAATCGGGAACAAGGCAAATGCCTGAGCCATATTTGTGGAGTCCGTTAATTCCCCCATCATAGTCTTCATAACTCCTACATTGCCATTTAGAAAACCGCACATGCAACGGCTAGGTAAACCAAGCATGTCAGCAATGTGTATCTCCTTGAGCTGAAGACACACCTAATGACAAGACTCCAGAAGGTCGTTGAGAGGCCGAAACACAGTATCAAAATGCAAGCACCTGAGAGACCAATTACCAACACGGGCTTGCGCCCAATGCGGTCAGACAGTCTACTCCACCTGAGCACTGTCAGTGCCTGCGCGACGAAAACAGAGATTCCTGTTGAGCACATCCAAAGTAGACTATGAGAAACCCATTCTCACAAGTTGCCATGTCACTGTAGAGACTCGCGTTTCTGCAGGCACATATGGGCTCATTTTACGAATTCTGACAACTGGCCTTTATGGCACAACTCGCACCATCATCCACTATGACTTCCACCATGGAGCGCACCACTTCCCGCGAAACGCGCCATAGGTGCAACACTTTCCCGCACAACGCGCAGTATTCCTGCATGCACGCCTTGTGCGCTTTCTCACGCTTAAGTGCACTGCGTCGCGCATCATCCAGGAGCATCCATCCATCGTCCAACCAGTCCCTTGGTATGTCCCTTTTCGTTATCTGACCATATTTAGCATATTACACTTCCTATTTCGTTATGGACCCTTACTTTACATCACTTTACCTCACTTACATACTTAGAGCGCTCCCTATTCGGCTCCGAGCCCTGGGAGAGCACTTAGGAAGAACTTACATACTCGCATGTTCATTTTAGACCCCACATAACACACCTTACCTTCCTACCACTCAGTATCTATCACCAGTTAGTTCCATGCAATGCATGTGTCCATCATCGTTTTGAGGCCCTAGCATCAGTCTATAGCTAGTGGCACTATCAGTATCCGTCTAGATCTGCGCTTTTCCCTCTTATCAGTCTCAGTATCCGTCTTCTACACTTGTGCACTGCTTGCACTACCTTCCCACACTTCGCGCACTTTCGCACTTCGCTTTCCCGCGCGCGCCTGCAGCACATTTCTCGCGCTTTCACCGCCATTCACCAGGGTTGTTCAGCATCATTCCATGGATCCTTGCTTTCCTTGCTTCCCCTTTAGGGTCGAATGTTCTTGCATTCTGCGAGTATAGCAGCTAGGCAGAGCTGAGACTCACTTATACTGGCTGAGCACTTTTCTTATATGTGCCTGCCAAATGGTGATACCCACATCGCCACCTACAATGATTCCAGCATAATATCCTACAGCCGCATCGTCACCCCCCATGATTCCAAGTTTGCTGATAAGCTGAAAGAGCGAACCAGTATAAAAATGTGCATCAAGGAAAAATATCGACATTGTGAAGTCATGCCTGATTGATGTAGGGGAATATAGATGTCGAAGCGATGGGTTCTGCAAGCTGCAGCATCATAAGTATGCCTATCTGGCATTTTGGAAGTGGTGTTTTAGGCTTCTTCGAGGCCTTTGTAGGAAACAGAGGCGTGGCCTCGCTTGCTACCACACGAGGGGAATCGGAGGTATCCATCCTGGTGAGTGAGGATTGAAAATACAGCAAGAGCCCGATATGAGACAAACAATGTGTAGTATTTATAACCTGTAAGGATTCCGTATCCTTTACGCACTGATGAATTCAATAAGATGATCAAAGTCGTCCGTGTGCCTCACCGATGCGAAGAGCCTTACTCTTCGCATCCAAGACGCCGTGACGCGGATACACTCCTCCTTGTTTCATTTCCTTTTATGACTCTTACTTTGTACTTTACAATGCCTCGTTAGGCTATAATGTCATTCTGATGCATCAGAACAGGTTAAGTAGCCTATATTTGTTATGCCATCAATGTAACAGCAACATTTGGATTAAATGACAATCACTGACGATCATTTTCATTTAGATTAATGCCGAGCGATATCCAGTCTGGGCCTTCCAGCTTCATCTATTGCAATGTACTGAGGTCAGACAAACAGTGGTTGGGCTGGGGCCGAGCGTTAGCTCGGCTCGGACACTGGTGAGATTGCCGCTGGGTGGGCGGGAAACTCAACATGCGGGCTGAATGACTGACCGGTATATAGATTACGAGACATGTAGTAGTGACTAGCTGGAAATGGGGACTCTGTACGGGTATTCGAATATGAACTACGAAGATAAACGATTAGGCGATCAATATGATTTGATTCTATTACTTTATGGGAGAGGTGGGGGGCGAAAATGAGATACTATCATGGTAAGGTAGAGGTCTTGTGGATTCGACCAACATCACATGACAAAGCATTACATTGAGTGACAAATTACAAAACAGAGGTTAACTGTTCAACCAGGAAACGAGAACAAAATCTGTAATATCAGAGGGTAGACAATGCATTTATGCAGACATTGATATTTTCTGAATGAGCAGAAGTGGAGATATGAGCTAGTTAACTATGTTTCTGTAAATTCACCCTCTTAGCGCATCAGGAAATGTGTACATTACTTGATTGCACTTACAATTTTGAAATTTTGCACAAAGTCGAGTAAGCTGGCTCAGCTGAGCTCAAGACCGGTTATTTTCGCTTGATGCGGACTTTATGTCTTTGAGTATACACATGGCTAGGTTGCTATTAAGGGAGCTAAGATGGGATGTGATCAAGTCAAGTAAAGCGGGCAAGTTGAGACTCAAGATGCTATTTCGAACGAGTTATGATCTACAAATTTGTTTACATAGAAACCTTTGAACAAATCCAGAGAGTTGTGAAATGTAATATCATCTTCAATAAAATCATCACCAAAAATCGGTAGCAAGTGTGACGAGCAAATGATCGTGTTGAGATGTATAACGGAAAGCTCTCATGAGCCGTCCTCATGAAAGGATGGCCGTACCATCCACATGCCAATGTCCAGATCTGGTTTGTCCCCGATAAGCTTGAACCAATGTATCAGCGCACAGGGAAAGATCTCCCCGCTGTGATAGAATGAGAAAAAACATAGGACATGTCCAACCTCCATTCCATTGATTGAGTCTTCACTGGCAGTGTTGATGAAAACAGTATCGAGGTGAGGAGGACCTCTCTGCCATGATGGTGCAGCATGAATGTGCTCACGGCGCATCCCACCAACACTGCTCAGGTCACTGGGAGCAAAAAATGTAGCAGCTGCTGAGTTGAAGACTTTGATAGGGCCTTCGAATTGCGGGCAGGCACTAAGAGGAACATCATCCAAGGTGAGAGAGTCGTCAGCAACAAGCTGATCATAAAGGAAGAGTTGGAGGAGTTGGGGAAGATCAGGGATGTCCATTTCAACTGCCAGAGCACGTATATTGCGAGCATGAGAGCGCTCTCCAATATTGGGTTTGGTGAGTGAATTAAATTGAATGCGAGAACATGAAGGAAAACTTATGGGGAGTACGTGCCAATTTGACATCGCTTTGTGCTCTCGGCCCCTCCAACACACCATCTCCAATTTCGTCCTGCTCTACCATAGGATTTCTCCCCCCCAATTGTTGTTGTTTTGAACAGCGCTTTCGTCATCATTTTCAGCGTTGTTGTTATTGTTGTTGGAGTTGGCGTTTTGAGCAGTGTCGTCGCCATTTTGAGCAATGCTGTTGACATCCTGTGTGTTCGAGCTAGCACTGAGTAGATTCTCTGAAATAAACTGTTAATATGTATTGCACGCAAGTATTAAATTGAAATAATGTACCAACAGCAGAGGAATTGAGCATCTTACGTGCAGTGAAGTCCACTCATGATGCAGCAATTTTGTCGAGGCGCTGGTTGGTGAGTAGCATTTGGCCAAGTGCGTTGAATTTGCTTGACCATCGCCAAGGTTCCTTGATGGCCTTGATGTGTTTTGATTCCGTTATCGATGAGCATAACCCGTTCAGTGCTCCGAACATGTGAATGAGTAAAATGTAATGATTGAGTGAGTGTTGGCGTGGTAGCGAAAACCCGTTAAATTGAACTCCTGTGTCTTGAAAAATTTGCTGGTACTGGTGAAAGTGCCAGAGTGCATCTGAAAGCTTCTCAAGAGTATCTTCAGTAATGATATATTGCCGCACAATGGAGCAAAACTCAAGAAAGGCGCGAAAATATCGAACAACGTCTCAAGGGATGTGTCCCTCGATTGCTGGAAGGTAAACTTTCATGAGAGCCTTTGAATCATCTCCGGTCCACTGTGAAAACCTGCGCCCTTCAGGAAATCGGCGAAGTCCCACAAAAGAGGGTGCTGCAGCTATCCTTAATGAACGACAAGACATTAGCAGTCAAATTGAAGTTGTAGGTGTGAAAGGTACTTACCAGCGGTCAATGTCGTTGAGAATCCCTTTTGCACGCATCTTTCCATGTTCCTTCAGTAGATACAGCTCGACCCATGCAACCAGGTGGTCTTTGAAGGTGCCTTTGATGATCTGATGCAAAATGTCCGGCGACAGGAGTTCATGAATATTGGCACAAGGGAAGTCATTTGTGAATGGCTGAAAAGTGTGAACAATGAGAGAGAAATGAAAGCCAAAGAGAATTACCACTAAGTCACTTATAATTCCCCATTCCTCCCAAAGCATTCCATAGTCGAACTCTTCGCAAAGTGCATCAGTAGTCTCTCGTCTGCGCAGCCCACAATCAAGTCCATCCAAGTTGTTGGCAAATGCAAAACACCTGAGGCATTATTGTAAGCCTAGTTCAGAGTCAAAAACGGTCATAAAAACACTTACTTTGCACACCAATTATAAATGACACAAGCGAGGGCAGATTGTTCAGGGTAATCAGCAATATACGGTCCTAGGCCATATATCACACGTCAAAGTGCCCATCTCTGAAGTGCATGACCTCGGGAATGGACATTGCAGGCTTGAAGGATGACAATATCTTCGACAGCGAGCTATGTAGAAGTTGCTTCTTGAATTTGCGGAAGTGTGGGTCCTCAGCATATTTTTTGGTAGCTATAAGTTCTATATAATGAGTGTCAAATGGCACATTGTAGGGAAAATACGTACTCTTCAGGATAGCCAAGAAACCAACAACAGCAACAGCGTTTTGGTGTGCATGATGCACATTATTATGAACATTGCTGTTTGAAGCATAGAGTGGGTAGTAATCGTTTTGTCCGGTTGCTACTGACATGGTCATTTTGTCGCTTCTGAGGATCACAGGGATGAAGGTCGCACCATGAGTGAGGGGATCTTTTGCAATCTCATCCTAAACAGTAACACGTGAGCTGAATGTAAGTGTTCATTGTAGCAAACATACTGCTTGGTCCCATGCCCAATTACCTGACATCATGTTGCGCCATTGGCACTTCACATCATCACCCTCTCCATTAAATTCCCAGTATGGTACATAGTCCATCTCGTCTTTGAAATCCGGGTTGGCGAGCATGTTCTGTATGATGGTGTGTGGGTCGTGGAACCACGTAGTATAGGTCTTCTCCATCCATGGTGCGCTCTCTGCATTTCTCGTATCATGGTTGTTAGCATTGTATTTCATCGAGAAACTTTTCCACGGGACATCTCTGACTGGCGTGTTGTCGATAGTGGAATACAAATCATGGCGGTCTGCAAACGGAGGGGCGTCATCATGTTTGGCAAGTGTGCCACCCCACAAGTGCATGAGCTTGTCAATATCGCCTCCAGACATTTGGACCTTCGTATATAGAAACTCGGCTGTTTCAAACTCGAGTTGGTTACGGTAAGGTGTCCAGTCGTTTGGGGCTCGAGAGGTATAGGGAGGTGGAGGTGCATCTGGGTGAATGAAATTACCCACTTTGTCACATATATGACCTGTGGAAAATTAGTGTCAATGCTACATGTCCTGAGTCAGGAACAGACCGTCTAGTTGAATATGATAGTCACGATAGGTGCCTCCCAATGTAGGCTGATAGTCCATCTCAACATCACCATCATATGGGGGAGCTTCCTCTTGCATTTCATTCGAGGGAAGCTCGTCTTGCATTTCACTTGGGGGAGCTCCCTCTCCCATATCATTCTGGGTAGGTTCCTTTCACATCTCAAACAAGAAGCCATGGATTACAAGCCTGTGCTGCATGAGCCCAGATCTATTCTTGAAAGTGCGGGAGCAACCAGGATGTGGACACGGAATAAGGTTAATGTTGAATGTTTTGTGCTTGGAATGGTGGGAGGTCTGAGCACTCGCAGAGTGCATGGCCGGCACATCCGGAACTCGAGGAATTGTGTGAGCTAGTAGTGACCTTGAGCAGGAAGACCTCGAGGCACTTTTTCCTGAGTGGATGAAGTTGGCGGAAAAGTACATAATAGCCCGCCACCCACAAAGTATTAAAAAACACTCTACAACAAATTTCATTCATCTTGTCTTGTCCTTGAAACTTGCTCTACAGCCTTTGCTGCTTGTCTCGTGCTCTTCTCTGCTAATATGGTTTCAACATGTCCATCAAACATTACAAAAGACCTGCACAGGTGGTCTTAGATACCAAGCAAAAATGACACACTCCAGCTCAGGTTAAAGCAGATAATGCCCGCATCGAGCAAGCGAACCAAGAGAAGGAAGAGAAGACCCAGAAGGGCATTGAACAAGTTGCTGCTGCACAGGAAAAGCTCTCTCTTCAGCAGACTACAACCTTGGCTCCAAAGAAACCATGTCCTCGTGCCATTCCACATGGTGGAAAGGCAACTCCAGAAAACACTCCCTCTGAAGCTGGACCTGCGGCTGCTGTTCAATCAAGTCAAACATCAGCTGGCGGTGATGGTGGAGCCAGTTCGCAAGCTCAGGGAGATGCAGGGGGAAAGCTTCAAGTTGACGAAGACGACAAAGATCCTGGGGCCATGCAAGGAAAGAGGAAACAGGTGCAGAAAACGGTTGCATCGTGATGCTGATGGCAAGTTTGATGCGAAGTCAAGTCCACGTGCATCAGATGACATAATCGGCAAGGCAGAACTCTGGTGTGAGTACTTTGCTCATCAACCACCATGTTGTTACTGACCGAACCCACACTTTTCTATTGGAACCTACTCAATGATTTTACCAGTGATTTGAAGCAGGCGTACAAAGGCGGTGTCAAAACATGGGCTCAGCGGGTTCACACGGTAAATATCGAGAAGAATGCTCACTGAGCGAAGATGCCACAAAGCCTGGCAACATCATCTCTGGATCAGTCCACCAATACAGCACTCTCGCAACTCACTAGGGTAACAATGGCTGCAAGCACTGCCACTCCTCCACCAGGAACTCCAACCAACTCGGTCTTTGGCAATGATACAGAGAGTGTGGGATGCTTTCCAGATGAGGATGGTTATCCCGAGAGTATGGCTGCATACACACTTGTAGGAATGAGAAAGCCTAGTGGTTTGCGCAATGTTGTGGTGCCAGTTGAGTATTTTATGTTTAGCCTCTGATTGAATTTCTAAGAACTTTGTAGGACATCATTGAGGTTAGGAGCAGTTCACTCACGCCTCTGCCACCCCCACCTTCGCAATATAATCGTGACACCCTTGTCAAAATGGAACACGTTGACATCACCGTGGGCCTCAGCAACAATTCCGACCAAGACCTTATGTACTTGGATGATGAGGAGGATGAAGGTGAAGTTGACAATGGTAATGAGGTTTTGGTCGTCGAAGAACAGGCCAACCCCACTCAAGCAAGCAAGTGGACAACTCTAACGGTATGTAAATAAAATGATACATCACAAGGTACTCAATGACCCCTTAGACGAACGTGGAAGTCGTCAATAACGATTCTGATGAGGCTCCACCCACCAAGTGCATCAAAACAGAAACCGGATCGAAGCCTGGAAAGGGCACTGGAGAAGTCACAAAGGCAAAATACAAGAATGGTGACCTCCCAGCTGGCTGCCTCAACAACAACGTATGGCATGGCGTTTTCATTCCCACTGTTGCTCATGCTACTGGCGGAGACAACATTGATCCATGGCTCATCGAAGATGATGCCCTCATTCCAATCCTAAAGGAAGCTTGGGCGGTCATTTATAATGGAAAGTCGTCATTGATGAACCACGCCATTGTCCCAGGAAGCGCAGTCTATCAAGTTGTAAGTCTTGCGAACTATCTCCCTGATTAGTAATTGATATTCTTTCATGCAGACAAAGCAGCGCTTAAGTGAATGGCGCAGTGGATTTGGCTCTGCAGCTGTCATGATGTTCACAACATTCATGGCAGCTGACCCCCTCTACAACAATGAGGACAGCTGTGCTGATTTTGCTGATTTTTGGCTTGAAGACAACAGGTGGCTTTCGCAAACGTTGAATCAGATGACAAAAAGGTTTGTCGCATCTAATCATGTTTGTGTCTGTCGTGTTCTGACCAATTTTCCATCCTGGAGCTGTGGACAGGAATGTGGCAGTCCATGTTCATCCTGCAAACATTTGCAGCGCACCTCAACTATACACAAGGCCGTGTTTCCATCCCATCACTTATGAGCAAGGAGCAATCTTGTCAAACAGCCCTTGCGCTCTCCGGAGTGGTGGTGATTATTTTCACAGCTAATTTTAATCATCATGCTTATTTTTACCTAGGTCAGGTGTGCTCTTCATCTTCTGTCAACCAAACAGATGAGCTTCGAGGTCAAGTCCACCATCACCAAGGGCAAGAAGAAGGCCATGCAGAAGGGCAAGGGTTCAGCTGCCAACGGGGAGCAATGGACTGCTGTGATCAGTGAAAACGAAACTTTTTTGGAGCCACTGTGGGGATACGACAGCTCAATGTTTTTGCAGGCAATCAATCGCATTCCCAACAGAAATATGACAGCTATCATTGAACAGGTGCAACAATACATGAAAGCCACCACCACCCGCAGTGGACGGTCGAAGATGGATGCCGAGGAAGCTCAAGATGAGGACATTGATGAAGAGTATGCTGACATCTTCACCTTTCATTGAAGGTGATTTTTCTACTGATTCTATGTGCGCCGCTGACAACTCAATACAAAGATAACGCAGTCTTTTATATTTCTCTCCCAGCGCTTCATCTCAGGTACTTCCTTCTAATCCTTCAGAATCACCTCCGCTCAGCTCATGTTTCCAATCCCTCGCAATCACTGCCGCTCAGCTCATTTTTTGTTCATAGCCTTTGTCCTCCTCCCTTCAAACGAGTCCAACCAGCGCCAGCATTCACTCGTACCTCATCAATGTCATGGTCATTTTTGCGATGTTGTTTGTGTTCTCCAAGTTGTTCCAACCATCTGCAAGTTGCTGCTGTCACTCTCGCTACAGTTCACTACAGTTCCTTGCTTGCTTTCTGTCCTATTCCTGCCCGTTCTTGCTGTCATACTGCTGCAATTCTAATGCTTTTATCACTTATATCACCCTTGCACCGCCCTTTAGCTTCTTTGAACGAACTTCTTAATATCCTTTTTACCGCTGCTTTGAGTTGTCACAATTCACAAGTTTGTTTTGGAATTGATAGCAGGTGGAAATTTTAAGCTCATCAAGACACAACCAAGCCAAAAATCAAGAATTTGGATCTAATTATTGTAAGTGAGTCTGTCTTAGCGCATTTAGACTTATTTTTCTTGAATGGCTGTCAGCCTCATTCAAGTTTTCATTAAGAAAATGTTGAGTAACATGCACTTTTCCTGATGTGGAGGCTTAAAGTCTGTCAAGACTCCAAATGCAAGAGGTGCTGTGATGCCGAGAGTGTCACCCAGTGCAGAGCTCATGATTGAACATTGAAACATTGACCAGCCGTGCGCACAAGAGTGTCGTTGTGCAGGCCTTAAAGCATGGTGGGCATCCAAGCGACAAAAAATAAGTTCAGACACCTCAGAAAATGATAAAAATGTGAGCAGCTCAACTTCCAACTTGAATGCTACAAAATGGCTGTATCGGGTGAAGGAGCGATTCTCATCAGAAGATGCTCTTGAGTGCAATGTTATTGCATCACTTGACGCTGTTTCAGTTGATACGATGGTGAGTGACTTCAATCCCACTTGAAAAGTTGAAATTCAGGGGTTGATAAATATTTTGATATTTGACAACCAATCTTCAGCTTTGCCATGCGGTCCACAAGATTTATCGATGCTTATCATAATGGCCTCAACGGCACACAGGCTGCGTGGGCTTTTTTTTTTTTGTGGTCATCGTGTTCTCCCACAATCAATTATGGACAAGTTTGATAATCTCCCATCAACAAATTAGTATTCCACTTTTCTGAAACTCATTTGTTATTATGCAACCTCTTAATCTACCTTAACTTCACCGTGCCAAAGTCATTACACTTCTACTGTACTTACTGTGGCTTGGCATACATTTGGCATGGCTTATGCATGCAGCATCACACCATGTCACACGCACGTGATGTTGGTTGAATCCACAAGTCCTCTACCTTACATGCAATCGGCAGCCCCCAGAAGTTGGCACTTTCACAAAACTCATGTTTCCAGCTACCTAAACACAAAATTCTTTACATAGACATCATTCTCTCTCTAACACAATTCAATACGAGGTCAAACGAATACATTTGAAGCAGAATTGAATGAGATAGCTGAAAGTGCCGAAGTCATGCAGAAATGTCACCTGCTGATATATGCTGTGATGGAGCTTCAATACTGTATACACCAGTGCTGACTGGTGCTGTGCTGCTGGTAATGGGGCCTGGTCCACATTCACAAGTCTATCAGTGGTAGATGAGGAAAACTATGAGCTTCATCAGACCCTACATATGAGTCACACATTCAAGCTGCAATTCAGGGAATTGCAAATGGGCTATATTGATCTGTTGCAGCTGCAGCAAAGGAGCAAAATGTAAGTCATGATTCATCATGTGATTATTTACTCAACTGGTCTAGGTATCATGTCAGACACTGAGTGATCGGCGCTTGGGAGTGCATAAGTCTCGTCAGCATGCCCATGAGAGTCAGCAGTTGTTATCTGCTGCACAGGAAGAAACTCTTGTTGACTAATTTAGCCACTGCATCATTGACAGGACAAGCTAGTAGTGGCACCTTGCAAGACAATGATGCTACCTCATCCAACACTTCTGGTACTCATTTTTTCACCCCACCTGTCAGTGCACATTCTTTTAATCCATCTTATCCTCCACACTTTACTAACCAGCCATATTTTTATCAATTCTATGCTAATCCAGCTCTCTGCGCACCACCTTACTCTACAATGCAACATAATAATTCATCCGGCGGTCCCATTGCATCATCATCAAACTTAGACAGACAACCTCAGCATCCTTACAACACACACAGTCTCCCTACACATCCCCCTCAATTCTACAGCTATGGCACTAATCATGGTCACCCTCGTACTTAGACTCTACTAGTATATACTGTACTTGCTTGCTCACACCGAATACTAACTCACTTCCTTGCGCTCCTGCTTGACTGCCGAGCTGACTTTGAAACTGGCTCAGTGACATGTCGTGACTTACTGTGACATTTATGTGACTGCCAACTTCTGGGGGCTGCCGATTGCGTGTACCATGATAGTAGCGAGCAAGAATACTGTGAAAATGAGTGAGCAGGTTGTACGGAGTAGTGAAGAAAAGGTCGAAAAGGAAGTAGGCATGCTTGCTGCTCTGCTGGACATGTGGTACTGGTTCCTTCTGAGCACTTAGGAACTGGCACCTTGGGTGCAGTTTGGCAATGAAATGTTGACAAACATTTTGCAAATGTCAGGTGAGGTTCTTGGCTTGAAGTGTCCCAAATTCATCAGAGTTCAAACCTTACTCCTCCTACTATCATGGACTATATCCATGTGGCATAGCATACTTTGTTCTTTGATTCATGCTCTATGCATGGTCCCTACTGTCATGTATCCTATTTCTTGGTAAGTACATACTAATAGTTATAACATTATGTCTCATTGGATGTTCTATGTAGTTATTTTTGCAAAATGCTAGATGTCTTCTCATCCCCCCCCTTCTACATGAAATATGTCAAGCTGCCAGATGCCTCTGTTCCCAACAAAATCCATTCCAACCTGAAGTTTTGGCCATTCTTTAAAGACACTGTCGGTGCCATCGACAGGAGTCACATTCATGTATCACCTTGTGCATTTGAGTGAGGTCCCTATTATAATTGAGGCTGCAGAGGGCCATGACCTTTGCATTCCTGCAGGGAAATACTTCCTTGTGGATGCAGGTTTCCCTCTGTGGCCTGAATTACTTGTCCCTTACCATAATGTGTGCTACCACCTTGCAGCATGGGGTCATGCAGGTGTAAGGTGAGTGTATCAGCATTTTTATTTGTATTATACACTGATTTTTTTGCAGGCCAACTACAAAAGAAAAGCTATTAAACTACCGTCATTCATCCACTCAAAACGTCATTGAGCGGGTATTTGGTGTCCTCAAACAATGTTTCCACATTCTCCTTCTATCCCTGCCATATGCTATGAGCATACAGGCACAAATTCCAGCTGCATTGTGCAGCATTCACAACTTCATTTCTTTCATGATCCGGCAGAAGGTACCCTACCTGATGAGGGCTATTCCTTTGGTAATGCACATGTTGCAAACTGGGAGCAGGGGGTAGTAGAAGATCTAGTTGTGCATGATGATCTTCATTTGATGCACAATCGCATTGCTGAAGTGATGTGGGCAGACTATCAATGTATCTTGCAAGAAAGACATAATCTCAATGGCAACAATTCATCAGACCAAGGGATCTTGGAGGATGACGAGGCTGGACTGGATTAATTTGTACTAGTAGCATGTAGCTGTACCTTGTTGTAAGTGAGTATACAAACAACGACTGATGAGTAACAGCAGCTTCTGCTGGGCAAGACGTCCTAATGAATGGTTCTTATCAGCAGCAGCAACCACAGCCATATACTCTTGATCTGTTCACACTGGTTTTACCATCACTTACTTTACCTCTTAAATGACCCTAGTTTAGGGTTCGGAATGCCAGCCCCTGGATTCCGAACCCTAGACTAGGTTCAGACTTGGAGAATCCATTAATATTGTGCATGATAAAAAACATCTGACAAGCGGGTACATAAAATGGATACTACATGTTAGCACAATGAGTAGCAATACAAATGGTATGATAAATCTACTACATAGACCCAAGGAGCCCTGGGATAAAAGTACAGTGCATCTCAAGGTCATGCTCCAGTGCAACATAAACAGTGAGATTGTTCTCCCCTCCTGCATAGGAAATATCTGCAGGAGGCTAGCTCTCTGATCAACCAGCAGATCCCCATCCACACTGTGCATAATTTACAGGCCACGGGAGATAATGCTTGGTATAGCAGCAACTGGTGCTGGGTCAGGAAGAGGGGCCATATTTCTTTCAATAACATCGGTAAGGCGATTGATGCTACCTTGCATATTCTTGACGGTAGGGGCTGGAGTAATCTTCACAGCGATTTTGGCAGCACTGCTCATCCCTGTCTGTGTGCTGCCATGTGCTAACACTCGGGCCTTCTTGGGGGCCGGTAACTGGGAGGATTGCACCAGTGTTGATGAAAGTGAGAGAGATGACAACTGGGAAGTATTGGGATAGCTAGATGTGGGGGTGCCACCAGATGATGTTTCCAAGGAGTTGAGCAAAGTGTTGGTGCGCAAGCGTTTGCTGGACTGGGAGCCAGCGGTAGTAGTGGAGGTTCGATGGAGCAGGGGTACTAGGTGGCATCATCAGGTCAGTTCTCATGTCTGGCACATCACTAGGGCAAGTAACTCCAGTAGAGGCACTCTCCCCACTAGGGTCTACATCTATGTCAAGAAGGTCAAGGCTGCCATCCATACCATCTACATCGACAGAGGCAGGGGCTGCAGTAGCAGGGTGGAAAGTGTGCCTTCCATGAGCACCACTATTCTTCCCTAAGATGGCCAGCATGCTGTCATAGTAAGTCCAGCCTTTGTTGCGAAAGGGGCACATTGTAGACCGTGACTACTTCAGTGTCAGTTAAATGTCACAACACATTTTGTTGCAATGATGTACCTTTGGATGAATATATGTATCCCAAATGGTGGTAGCAGCAGGTCCATTAATTCCAGCTCCCTGCACATTGTCCCAGTGGAAACCAGATGTATTGTGGTAGATCTTAATTTGATGGAAGGTTTTTTTGAGCTGAAATGATCTCATTCATTCATGGTCAATCAAGATAAGATCATCTATGCACTGATGTCCACTTTGGCTTAACCATCTTGCCCATCTTCAGTGGGCCTATAGTTTCAATTGCCCCATCAGAATTGATAGCTGCTGCTGCGCTATTGTAGGTAGATGGTTGGAAGTTTCCACCATCACCACCCTCCGCCTGCTTCTCAATCAGGTGATGAAGTAGGACATCCACCTCTGCTTCTTGCCAGTGTGCCTTTGAGGTGTCAGTCTGTTCCACAATTTGCACTATTTCAGGTTGAGCCATGAGAACTGATGTAAAGTTAGCACAAATGGCAGTAAGGGGAATAACACTGGCACAGATTCTTTGCTGATGATGACAGTCAATATTGAGATAGTCCATGGTAGTAGGAGGAGTAAGGTTTGAACTCCGATGAATTTGGGACACTTCAAGCTGAGAACCTCACCTGACATTTGTGAAATTTGGTCAAACATTTCATTGCTGAACTGTGCCTTTGTTAAGACCATATCTCAAGGGTTAACAGATCCGAAGGGCTTGGCCTCAGCTCATATGCTGTGCCCCTTACCTGAGTATGTGCCCTTAATTTCAGAATGAAGTCCGGATGGAATCCGACGAAGTCCGAAGGACTTCCAGAGACTAGCTACTCTGGTGGAGTGCTGAAGGACTTCCTATGGTATGTTTCTTAGATGGAAACACATAGACGAGGGACTGCAATGGACAGAGTCCAAAACAGGATAGGATAGGAGGAGTGGTCTGAAGGACAGGACATCCAGAGGTCCGAAGGTTACATCGTCCGAAGATTGAGATGTCTGAAGGTTGAGATGTCTGAAGGTTACAATGTCCGAAGGTTTGAAGGTTGGGAGGACCAGAGGAGCAGACAGGATTAGGACAGGAGGAGAAAGGCTACTACGGACAAGGTCCGGAGTAGAAACAAACAGATGTAGACTACACTTAAGTAGAGACAGAGTTGACAGAGAGTAGACAGAAGTCTTGGAAAGACAGGAAGTGCCGGAAAGGCAAAACTCCAGCTTAGGGAGTCAATCCCTAAGCATGGATGTAGACGGAAGAATAAATTTGGAGGACCAGAAAGTCGGCCTAGGGAATTCTTCCCTAGGCCTAAGGAAAGGTAATACTAAGATAGACCGAAGTCTGAGAGCAGATGCAAGAGAGAGCAAGTCTATGTTGATATTTGAACTAAGGAAACTTTACAGGAATTGTACAGAGGTTGATATACTGGAAGGGATCCAAGAAAATAAGTAAGCTGAACACAAATGCTATGTACGAGCATGTGGAAACATATTGGTAAGTATGAATGGAACATAAGTGAATGAACTCAGAGATAAACAAAGTACAAGGATCAATAAGCAAGACAGTGTGAAAAACTCAACCTGACTAGGCACTTGTAAAAGTACTTAGCCAGTATATGTCTAAGCTCTGCCTATGCTGCTATACTTGCAAACAATAAAGCAAGAATGTTTGACCCGAGGGAAAAGCTACTAAGGACAACTTAAGATAGAAAGACCCGAAAGTGCGCTATAGCGCGGGAAAGCGCATCACAAGATACAGTGCTAGTGCGTCGGTAGTAGAGTGCTAATGCGCGTGGTCCACCTATTGAAGGCTTATGCAGGTATACATGCCTAGCGCCAATATGGTTGTCACACTGGACTTCAGTTATCTCTGTTTCCGTTGTGACAATCATATTAGCGCTAGGCATGTATACCTGCATAAGCCTTCAATAGGTGGACCAAAGTTATTCCTCACATTATTCACTACTCCCCTATCAGCAGTCTTCACTTGTCTCAGCCATAACCCTTGTCCAACGCTATTCCGCACTTTCCCACACTATGCGCACACATTCCCGCAGCACTATTCATGCTCCCGCGACTTATCCGACGCTATTCCCGTGCTTATAGCGCTATCAGAACTACCAGCAATGTGTCTATAGGAGCATTAGTGCATGTCCGCTCTATCTAGCGCTTATCCAGCGCACTGTTCTCATGCTCTAGGATCCACCCGAAATGTCGGAATCCATCCATTGTCCATCCTACCTCATTGGTATGTAATTTGCCTTGCCTCGAGTTTGTAACAAGTGCTACAGTCTTATTACATGTATATCCTATCCCTTCCGAGTCCGAGATGGTATAGTTTACTAGTATAAGAAGCCTATGGTGATTACTTTGACATTATTTCCCTTCAACTGTATTTCCTTCCCTTAGGTTTTACTTAGAAGTAGTCACCTTTAGTTGCACTCTATAGCCCCTATTGGTTTACCTTGACTTTCCTTTACCCTTGCAATCAATACCTTGATCTCACTCGCTATCCATTACCCTCCCTTGACTCAGTGTCCACTTTCTTGACTTCCGCACTTTCCCGCGCACTAGTGCTCCACTACCGCGCACTAGTGCTCCACTACCGACGCACTAGTGCTCCACTACCGACGCACTAGTGCTCCACTACCGACACATTAGCGACCCGATAGCGACAATCTACCGACCCGCACTTCCGCTTTTCTCATGCCATAGCACTCTATAGTTGCGACATACTTTCCCATGCACTAGCACTGTATCTTGCGATGCGCTTTCCCGCGCTATAGCGCACTTTCGGGTCTTTCTATCTTAAGTTGTCCTTAGTAGCTTTTCCCTCGGGTCAAACATTCTTGCTTTATTGTTTGCAAGTATAGCAGTATAGGCAGAGCTTAGACATATACTGGCTGAGTACCTTAACAAGTGCCTAGTCAGGTTGTGTTTTTCACACCAGAGTCAAGGGGATTACCATAAGGGGATAGACACTGATTTAAGGTTTGAGCTTTGGATATGTGTATAGGTCGGATCCGAAGGTCTGGAGATATCAGATGAGGCATCTGGATATTGGATGAGCGGATCCGGAGATCTAGGTAAAGATGGAACTAGGATAAGGATCATGGATATAGACCGGTAGTCTAGGGAAGGTAAAGTCCGAGGTGGAATGAGCTCGGATCCAATAGGATCAAGGGTGGATGAAGCAGGCTTAGCTGCGGAGGTCCGGAGGTATAGATATATGGATGTACGAAGGTGTACGGATCCAAACCGATAGTGGACTGGAGGACTGAAGGCATTGATAAGGGTATGGAGTCATGGATAAGGGTATGGAAATCCGTATGTGCATCCGGAAGGCGTCTGGAAGGCGTGGGGACATCATCAGACGTAGATCCAGAGTACAGGATATGACAGCCTTACACATTCCAGCTTTGTCTATTGCAATGTACTGAGGTCAGACAAACAGTGGTTGGGCTGGGGCTGAGTGTTAGCTCAGCTCAGATACTGGTGAGATTGCCGCTTACCCATCAACTGATGAACTACAAACTGCAGTAAAATCACACCAGCCAACCCAACCAGTGAGTCAGTGCTGTGACTAAATAACACTCAGGTGCTGGGATGCAACCTGCTCAAAGGCCTAAATATCAGTTTCATAGGCTAATGAGCACCAGCGGCCTGCTAGGTGCACAATTTCAGGGTTGACTTTCTTTGCCAGGTAAAAGGATGCTCCCCCAATCTGAAACAAGTGACCAAAGGCTGTGCCCCGTCCCTGATTGATGATGATGGAGTTGATGTGTTTGAGTGCGCACTACTTCACTATTGGGCATATAGCACCTGTGTGATCTCACCATGAAAATAGAGGGTCATCTGGTAGTGCTGGTACTACAGAGGCTAAGTTTTGCAGGACTTCAATTGGGTAGAGAGAACTCTGGGCAACAAGGAAAATTGATTGTGTTTCTCCTGGCCTAGCAGTTTTGACTGCATCAATGGTGAATCTAGGCATGTGTATGCCTTGCCATTGAGGTTGAATCCTGAAAATATATCCTTGCAGGTAAGGTACTTTGTGGGCTTGAAGTCCAATCTTGAGTTTATGGTTACCTCACCAAAACACATCATACCAAACAAGGCACAGCTCACCATTGCCCAGATGCATGCGTCAAAAGGATTAGATAGGGTTAATGTAACATTGAGTGCGTGCAACATATTAAGTGATACTGGAGGGCAAAGAGGTCAGTGCCGTGAGCTGAGAAGATTATCTAGGCCTCACAGGAGGGGTGGTGGCCAGCCTTGAGCTATATGCCATGCCCGAACTACAGCCAGGTATTTTCGAACAACAGTAATCGAGACTGGTTCAAAAGGAACAGATGCTGCCACTCCTGGGGAAATAAAGTCAGATGTTGAATCTGATGCGACCCATAGGGCAAAGGAGTGCAGAAGTTCAAATGAGGCTGGGAGTTGGTCAGGTTCAGGTATAAAATATGTCACAAAATAGGTGGAATTTGCGGTGAGGGCAAGGAATGATAGCTGCATGCTATGGGGGAAGAGTAGGAAGTGGGCTCTCAAGTGCTCCTCTGGATACGAGTGGAAAGTCGTCCCAAGGGGATTGCTATTGAGAAAGATTCCTCTAGTGAAAGATGAGGGGGATCTATAACCAGTGGTTTGGTCTCGAGGCCTGAGTGGAACACTGATGCAAATAATGCACCAGAAAGCGAAGAGCACTGACTAAAGGCGCCTAAACACGCTAATAAGGTGGAAAGTGCAGAAAAGCACACTTTAATGTTGAAGTGCACTTCGTGTGATCACAACAGAGTGCTTCAAGTAGAGGTGACAATCAATGGGAGAATCAGGACTCTGATAGATGTGGAAATAGACGCTTAAGGGTATCAAAGCGCCTATTGGAGGGAAACTGGTGTATTCAGATAGAAACTTGGGCTATACACTTGGATGGTAGTGGAATGGAAATAAGTGACAGAAAACAAACATGGTGATATGTAAGTATGCTAAGCGAGTTCCCAGGGCTCGGAACCGAGTAGGGAGTACTAAGGTAAGTGATGAGGTAAGTCAGGGTCCATAACAAAACATAATGGTAAGTACAAGCGCCTGCATGATGGAGTATGAGTTCTGATGAAGGGAAAACGCACCAATGGACCTTGGAAGACTAGGACAAGACATGTGGAGGATGGGCGATGGATCCTAAGGAAGTGCAACAAAGTGCACCATAACACATCCAAACATGCTGGTACACACCAAAGCGCACATTGTGCGGAAGTCAAGTTTGGAGCGCATTTGTAACAATTGTCAGCACATTGTGAAAAGGCGTGAATCATGCCTTTCTGCACCTGCTCAAACTCCAGTCTCTGCAGTGGATCCCTGCCCCATAGCTAGTGGTGTCACAAAGAGAGGCTCTGGTAGCAATAGCAGCAATGTGCTCGATGACTGGGTGTAAAATTGTGGCAGGTGAAGAGGTGTTTGGACCTCGCCAGAGGAACAAGCGCTCATCTGCTCAGCAGGATGGGCAGAGAGGTGACAGGTTGAGGCTGAGGCCTCAAGACACTGCTGAAGGCACTAACTATTGGGAGCCAGAAGAGGGGAGTGGGATGGAATAAGCAGATGCTACAATGATATTAATTTGTTGCTCAGGTGCTCCAGCAACAGGAAAGAGACTCTCTGGGCTGTGAGGGGGAAACCAGCAAGGAAGGAAGTGATGTCGCCATGGGAAAGGGCATCTGCAATGTTTTCCTGACTGGGAACATATTCTGTATGGATGCAGACATTGTTCTTGGCCTGCAGGGTGAAGATGTGCTTGAGTATGGCATTGGTGGCTTTGCTGTGTGATTGACCCTTGTTGGTAACTGCCACAATTCCTGCATTGTCTAAATGCACTAGGAAAAGTCTGTTATGAGGATCTTTGGAGTCCAGCAATCCTGTGGCTCATGAGGAAAGGTAGACACTAGTTGCAAGGAGAAGTAACTGACCAAGATTGTAAGGCCAAATGGAGTCCTAGATCCACTGCCACAGCTTCCACTCATCCAATGTCAAAACCACAGGATGGGCCAACACAAAAACCAGGAGCCCAGTGCCATGCGACCCAAAACTGGTCAATCACTACTCTGACACCAAAGGAGGTGCTGGCATTGCCCCACTGTCCAATGTCTGATGGGCATGTGGAACAAAGGGGGGTCTCATTCAGCAGCATGCACAGTAGTTTAGCCACCCAGGTGAGGTCATGTATCAAGCTTGGTGGGAGGGTCAACTGAGCCTGTAGCGAGTGAAAGACTGAGGCAAATGATGATAAGGCGCATAAGAAAGGGCAATTAATAGGGAAGATGTATGATATGTGAATCAATTTTCCATGTAGGCTGTTTGCATCATGCTCAGAGAACTTTGCACATGGTTCAAGCCAGGCCATCAACGCTTGTGCAGGCCTCTATAGTTGTGCAACTGACTTGAACTTTGACAAGCTTTTCTGCTGGAATCGCTACTGACTTCATATTGAGGTTCCAATTGAAGCCGATATAGCGCTAGATGAAAGTGAAGGTTTAGAGTTTCTCGAGACTCCAAGGGACACCACACAAGGCTATTAGTGCTATGAACTTGGCTTCTGACCAGGTCTGATGAGGGAGATGGATGATGAGAAAGTCGTCTACTCATTTGTGAATGAGATTGAAACCTGCCTGGCCATAGATGGCTATAAGCATGTCTGCAATGGAGCCAAAAACCCCAGCACTGGATGTTAAGCCAAACATCAGGGCCCTGTCAACATAGACAAGTCCTCGCCAAAATACACACAAAGAGTTCTGCTGGTTTGGTTGAACAGGGTAATGTGGTAAGCTGCTAAGATGTTGAATGTTGCTGCTGTGCAGCCATGAGGTAAGAATAGGATTAATTCGGCTGTGCTGTTGAATGAGCCCCAAACAGTGGGGAATTGTCTGCATTGATTCCGGTGTGGGAAATACAACAAGAAGAGAACTGTAAAGTACTCTTCAAATGTTGGGTCAAAATTACTATGCCTAGCTGCTATTTGACCCTAAAGGGTTTCTGTACTAGACTCAGAGCTTAAAGAGCAGAAATATCATCAAAACAAAGACTGTGATTCAGACTGGTACTGACAGTGGTGAAAGGAAGACATGATTCTGTAAGCAGTAAAAATGCGAACATAAACTAACAAAAGTGGGTAAGTAAAGGTAAGTAAAAAGGGGAAATATCAGCCCAGGGAAAACTATATTGTCACACTGGCATTGTCAGATATTATTGATGTATTGATTGAGAGGTATGACAAGTCTTGCACAAGACAGAACTTGTTCGAATGCGGTTTTGGTACTAGGCTAAGAGGTGATGACAGAATGGCCCAATTATCTGCTTGAGCTCATGTGGGTCGAATCCTTGAGAGTAGTGACCAGCGGCTTGCTCACTGATAATGTAGAAGTCAATGAAGGAAGAGTTCAATTGAGAAGAAGTGTGATTTTCGAAATATATGTGTAGCTTTGGAAGCATTATAGACACCGACATTGAAGCCATTATGAATTCCTACAAGTATGTGCATCCAGTCATCAAGAAGATTATATTTACACAGAAGATCCTCACAAAATCTGCAATTAAAGGAGTGACTATGATGCATGGGTCAGGCTCGGTGATGCAGTTGCCTGTGACATGTCCAGTTTCTGCACAGATGCTGCATTCATGAAAATTGGTGCAGTTGGAGTTAAGGAGCAGGAGGAAGAATGAGCCCAGTTAAAACAGAAGTGTTTTCCATTGGCTGCTGATAGTGCATGCTGGCTTTTAGCCGACAACGTGAGTGGCACAATGGATTGCCTGCGGACATTGATTTGGCACTGCAGTCTCCAGGTAGGTGTCCTGAGTGCCTGCATCTAAAGCAGTGAAGATGTGCTTTCTTATGAGGGGTTTGGACAAGGCCAGAAGAGTCTTTATATGGACTTGGAGGATGACCGCACTAGCACTGGAATGAGGTCTGGTTTTGCCATGGATAACCTGATCTGTATGACTGACAGGTGAGACGTCCCCACGCAACGAAGGTGGTCCGGAATTTTATGGTTCAACCGCATCGGTCAGCAACTCGACTCGAACGGTCACCGCTCTAATTCGTGGACTTCTCTCAAGAACTCTGTACACGGTCATAAGCTTCTTCAGTTGGCTGGGTAAAGACATATGTGCGATCTGAGGCGCGATATGTCATTGGCCAGGCGGTAATAATGGGGATCACGGGTGTGACTGATGGAATGCGAGTCACTGGCATGAGGCCTAGGCTTGGGCGATTCAGCTGCACAGCCTATAATTAATGCTGTGAATTAATCACGAGGATGTCACATATAAAACGTACCAACTCGAACTCCAGTCTACTCGACTCCGACTTGACCTGAACGTCCATTTTATCAAAACATATCGTGGTAAGTGACGAATTTGGACTTTGTTGAATGAAAGCTGAGACAGCGATGCACTCGGTAGTTGAAACCGAGGATCATGTCTTCACCCATCGTTGGGACGCATGAGGCATCAATGATAAAGCCCTGCCAGAAATTTGGAGGACACACCAATTTGCTCGAGGGCGTCATACATTTGCCGGGCAGACAACGAATGATGACTTGTTCAAGAGACGGCTCGCTGCGGGTATGGAACTTGAAGAGTGGGAAACAGATAGGAGAGGACTTACGGGACGGGGACAGCTCAGTGTGGACGATAGCGTTATCTCCTGACGGGAAGAAAGTGGTTAGCGGAAGTTCGGATGGTGTAGTCAGGTTGTGGGACATCGACAAAGGCAAAGTCATCACGAAATGGTCGGGACACACAGAAAATGTGAGGTCTGTCTGCTGGAGTCGAGATGGTCAGCGAGTGGTGAGCGGATCTGAAGATGGGACTGTGAGGGAGTGTGAAGTGGAGAAGGGAGTGACAATCCTAGGTCCAATCGAGACTGGGCACGAGCGTGTGCTAGCAGTCGTCTACTCGCCAGACATGACCATGTTTGCGACTGCTGGATACGACGGGCCAACTCCTGAAACCGAGCACCCAATCAAAATCTGGGATGCGAAGGCAGGCGAACTTGTCGCCACTCTCAAAGGACACACAAATTCAGTGATGTGCCTGGCTTGGACCCCAGATGGAAAAACGCTTATCTCCGGGTCAGCCGATCGCTTGATGAGGAAATGGAGTACTACAACTTGGAAGCAGATCGCTGTGCTTGATGGGCACACTTCCTATGTCTATGGCATTGCAATATCTCCGAATGGCCGCATCCTCGCAAGCACATCCTTCGACAAGACAGCACGATTATGGAGCCTTGACAACAGCCAGCCTATCAGTTCGCCCCTCAACCATGCAAATATCGTGACCATCGTCTCGTTTTCAGCAGATGGAAAGCTACTAGCCACTGGCTGCGATGACAAGAACGCGTACACTTGGGATGTTTCTGCGATATTAAAAGAAGCTGGCCTCGGCAACCTTCTTTTGGACAAGCCCAACGAGTCGCTACTGGCTGTACGTGAAACATTCATCAACAGTTTTTCATTGCACACAAGCTTATGCATTCTATTAGACCGATGCTACACGACGTCCTGTCCGTCAGCCAATCAAGGTCGTAAATCGGGTACCCCGAGGTTTTTTTCGACGATACACAACATCACGCTCACGTACGTCGTTATTTATGTCTCTTCCAGTTCTGTTTTCATCGTCCCGATATTCTCAGTCTTCTGCACCACACCCGGCTTCGCCCTCGATCATCACCATCGCATGGAAGCACCCTTCGTAGTCGTTTTTATCTTTATTCCGCACCATTCATCACGATGCCCATGATACGCCATCTCGACCCCACCCTTTCCACTGGGTTCGAAATCGTCTCTTTGCCAAACGAAGCGGCACAGATATCGAGCTGCACGAGCATCCCTCAGCAGCAGTCGATGTCCCATATGCCAAGGGAAAACGTGTATATTCCTATCTTTCTTTTTGAATACTAGACTCCTGATATCGTTTTCTCCCTCGAACTCTATCTCGCATCACGTAGAGAAACGCTTCAGCAAGAGAGAGGAGGCTAATCCTGAAAATTCCTACTGCAGGCAGCTTACGCCCTCATAATAGCACCGTCATGCAGCAATCCAGCGGTGCAGCTCACACCCAGCCGTCTTCGCAACCCCATGCTGCCGTCTCCACCTCCACCACACCTCCCGCCGTTGTTAATACGACTTCGAACACTAACCCTGATGCAACGATTAGACACGCTGGTCGTTGGGCTCGTTTCTGGCTCTTTATCTGTTGCACCTCTCCTGAGTATACCGACGGTCAGCATTAATCTTTACGACGATCTCTCTCTCGTCACAAGATGTTATCCTCATCCGTCGAGTACACAATGGAGGCATGCTGTCGTTTATTGCATACTTTATATCTAAGTACCAGGAGTCACACAGATTACTTCCGCGGCACCAACCGTTTCGTCCTTACACATGGTAGACGTCGACCAGACTTATTTCTAGACCACATTGCATGCATATTAAACGTGGCTTCGATCCACGACTTATCGTTCTTCATGTCATACATACCCTGCACTATAATTAGACCATAAGCGTCTTCATTATTCTTGAGCATCACATCCCTCAAACGCATTCACCCGCCGTGACGACTGACAATGACGTTAGTGTCGTTGGTTCGTATTATCCGTCCAGCGGCTCCCTGTCGAATCGCACATGTATTCGCATGGAGGTACACCTCAACAAGTTGGCTTTCCTGCAGAAATTCCAGTAATACTGGCGTGTTCTACAGTTATGGTGAAGCTGAAGGAACAGGACATCACATGGATAGCAAAGTGTATTACGCAAGATGTAAGGGACAGCGTACACGATTTCATATTGATCTTCTGAATGGCACTACCTATTCGTACAGTTTCACCTAATATCCATTCCGAGTCATTCAAATAGCATACGAATGTTGGCTGTTCAAGCATATCCCTTCTTCCAGGGACGATTGCGAATGCGGGCCCCCCCTTCGCGAACATCTTCCTGCACATCATCAACAAGCTCTTTTCGGCCGTTCATAGGCAGCGAAATGGCCTCCTGACTTGTGATGGGAACTCGATCACAACGTTGTTCAACCTGCGCAGCCACCTACGATCTTGTGTTAGCTCCGTGGCAGCAAAGCTGAACGATAGAACCGCACGCTGAGGGTAAAAGAAGGAGCTCTTGTGGGAATACGAAGCTCCCATAGGAATAGTAGGGTAACTAGTACGACCTAGATCGTAGAAATCGCCAGACACCTCAGGAGTAAAATGCGATGGGCAGCGCCGGGCCCAGCACGGGAGAACCAGTATATGGAGATCCACGTCAGAGCTGTTTCGAAGGTAGTGAGTAGTATATTAAGAAGTGGCACTGCTGCTACCTTCGTCATCAGTCCACTTGTAGTCATCGGTCCAGATGACCAGTTTTTTCGTAAAACCAACCAAGCAGAGCAACGGGGCTATCAGTAAACCGTAGGCGAGCGTCTGCGGGAAGGTGCTCTGCTCAACAAAGTAGCCGGATGATTTGTTGCGATACCACGCGGTGCGCTCAAGTCCTGCCTTTTCTTCCGCAGAAAAGGGGGTTAGCAAGTACGACAAGAAAGACAGGGGAGATTTCCAGGTCGGTGGATCGGCCCTAATCAAAGATGAGATGGATTGATGGCTGAGCAGTGAGCGAGAAAATGACATACATTGGAAAGTTGGTGTGCCACGCCTTGCAATGTTTTCCACCATACTTGGCGGCCATTCTCCGAGTGATCTAAGAGTATATTAAACATAAATCCCGTCTACTTGTGAAGCCTCACCCACGAGAAAACCCCAGTCGCCTCCTTGGGTCACTGCAAGACAAATGAGTAAATCTATTGTATGAGATGATGACAATAGCGATGTACCATACTCGTTGTACCCGAGAGCGATCATGAGTTTGTGAGTTACCTGAATTCACTTGTCAACATTTTAAGAGTTTAGGATGTGCGCTGAACCACCTCAGCATATTGATCAAGACCAAAGCCTGGTTTGTGTGCACCCTCAGAAAAGCCAAAACCGGGCAAGCTAAGCGCTACGACATGGAAGCTAGGATGCTCCGGGGACGACGCAGTCAAGAGGGACAACACTGGCCTGATTTCTAAGAAACTTCCAGGCCCTGACTAATGTCAGAAACATGTCGATGAGCGTGGATAAGACCTACATCCATGGCAAAACAACAGCGGAATGGCGTCAACAGTTTTGCTCTTCTTGTGAACATAGTGAATGTTCAGCGCGCCGAAACCATCCACATTAATATCGCGGGTAAACATCGGCAGTTCTTGGTTTAATTCCTTTTCATATTTGCGCCAGTCGTACCCGTTTCTCCACCTCTCCGCGAGCCGCTTCATATCCGATAGGGGCACGCCATGCTTCCAACCCGATGTCCTGAAGTTCATCCGGGAAAGTGGCGAGCTCAAGTTTAGCACGAAGGATACTAAGTTTTCTTGTCGGGGATGTCGATTAGAAAGGGAGTTTCAGATGACATGGTGGTCGAAGTGCAAGTGAGAGAGTTACGTGCGGGTGCATCCTTTGGTTTATACAAGGTGCGCTGCACAAAGAAGAGCTAACCTTCTGTTCCGTCCGGTGGGAAAAGTCTAATCAATACTTATCTCTTGTCTCGTCATTGATGTTATAGTTATGTCTTTGGTACTTCCATAAGACACCGTGCACCTTTCATGGTTTATTGGTATAATTCAGTCGGCACATATGAGATTAGGCGAGCAAGATTGTGACGGGAATTTTTTGTATATGATGTTTGGCGGAGTCACGATCGAGGCATTTGCATCGCACAGGATTTGAGTGAGAACAGGAAGTGGATTGCGTTTCGAAGTTCGAGCCAGGGAGATGGAGATCGATGTTGACTGGAAGTATCCTCGTCAACTTGAATGCCATCAATGTGTGAATGAGTGAAGGCAGAGTCTCCAATCGAGCTGATGCTATATCCCGGTGTTGCCCTCAAGAAAGACTATGTGGCATATGCAAATTCTTCTATAGTGATCAAAATGCCTGACAGATATGGCGAACATTACTATCTCATCTGCGCACAACTGGAGCTACTTGGCGTACTCCGAGTCCTAGGCCATTGAAAAGAAGTCCTCCAAAAGGGAGATTCAGGCAGTTGCGTACTAAGCGGCAGACTCCCCGAAGCTTTTGTCCAATGGCAATCCTCCGAGAATAGAAGTCTGAAAATGGACGACACCGAAGGACCGAGGGGGATAGCTGCCTCACTGAGGACCTGTTGATGGTGAGCGAAGCATCTGTGAATTCAAAGTTGCAGCGGTGTACGAAGTCCTATTGCCTGTTACGGACGCGAACGATCACGAGTTCGGAGTGGGCTGGGCTTCGACATCGATTATCCAGGCACTTTGATGTCGATCCTTGTTCTTGTCACCTTCGACAGGTTCGCGTGCGGAGCTTAATGCGGGGTCAAAGACTTGGCCCTGCGGTGAGTACGTGATTTTCACATCTTTGTCAAGTTCATGGCTTCTGGACCAGGCCCAGTTGTTATCAGCGAGTGAAAACGCTCCTCCAGTTCACAATAGCCCTAGTCAATAACGATTTTATTTCGTCATTTTATACCATCAAAGTTTCTTGCCAAAGCTTCCGAGATAAGATGCAAACAAGCGACAGACGTAGCAGAGCTTGAAATCAACTACGCGAGGTTCACCATCACAGTCTTTCAACTGTGCTCGGCGCAGAGTCGCAGACATCGTTGAACAACGTTCACACTACCATAGCAGACGTTATAACGTCTCTCAAAGCACTTGCATCATACTGGCTGATGCAAAGATACCGGATGACCATAGAGCGCCGCCCCTATGGCCAACAAAAGGCAGAATAATTCTCACATGATACTCAGGCTCGTATTGTTTCTACGATAATTGACACCACACGCACCGTGCTGATTCGGCGGTTTTTGTGGCTGATTACGACCAGCCCTCCCATCTCACAGCAAGTCTCATCACGGCCTAGACTTTTGCTGTATGGGCGTTAACAAAAAGATCCTAGACCAAGTTCACTGGCAGCTGATGAAACTTGATGAATATTCACACCTTCTCTACATAGGATACTATCTGGATGAGGGTAAAAACCAGAGCCCTCGCGAGGCAATCATAAGGCAAGAAGATACCGCACCTTCAATCTATTAGGTCATTCCAGCATCGATAGTCCCTTTTCGAGTTCTTCGTTCCAGCTGAAACCGGTATTATGTTGTTGCAGGTCTCCGATGGAATGACAATACAAGGTATTTTTTTGGTCAGTCGGGTACTCATTAATATATTGCGTAGGTCAAGTAATACTGTCTGGGTCAGTGTTCAACACATATCGCTCAATGACAACCCAGCCGAATGTGTTCTTGGTAAATTTTTACTCTGATCGAATTGGCTTCATGCTAACCCCAAAGCACAACAATGGTACAACAACATTACTCAGGGAAGCGCAGCATTGGCAATAGAAGTGGCGACAGCGTCATGGGCTACGGACCTGTGTTCCAGGTCGGCGTTCCATACGAAGTGAGCTCATCAATGCGCAGAACCTCTATTATGATTCGATCCAGATGGACTATCCCGCACGGTAGGTTAGACAACAACAACGGTTCTAGGAAACACCAAGTCGTTCTGTACATAAATCCGTGAACTCGAGTCCTTCGCAAACTTCCTAAATTCTTGTTCTAGGCATCAGAGGCAAACACAAAATGATAGATGATGCTGAAGGCTCGTGCCAACTAAGGAAGCCTCGCAAGGTGACAAATCCGACAACGACACGGCTGTTGATGAAGACAGTCGCGAGCAAATCATGCTGATTGAATAGCATACATGATTTCATACAGAAAGTCTGAATTACATTGCCCATGTCCACTTTCACCCAATATTCATTCCGATTCATTGTTGAACGTGAGAATCATATCCAGTTCTTCCGGGGACAATTCCAAACGCAGGACTCCCTTTCGCGAACATCTTCCGCACATCCCGAACAAGCTCTTCCGGCCGTTCAGTGGCAGCAAAATGGCCCCCTGTCTTGTGATGGGACTCGAAAACAACGTTGTTCGACTTGCGCAGCCACCTACATACTCATATTAGCTTCAATAAAGTTGATTGGTAGAGACGCACGCTGCGGGTTAAAACTATGAGCTCCTTTGGGAAAAAACGAAGCTCCCATAGGAATAGTGGGGTTTCGGCCCATATCCTCGGTATCGGCACGCAATTCAAAGTAAATGCGGAGGGAGGCAGCAGGGCCGGCACGGGAGAACCAGTACAATGAGATCCACGTCAGCACTATTTAGAACCGGTGAGCAATATTCGGGAAAGCAATATTGCTGCTACCTTCATCATCAGACCAGTAGTAATTGTCGGTCCAAAGGGACCAGTTTCTCATAGATCCAAGCAAGCAGGCCAACAGGGCTATCAGTGAGACTGTAACCGAGTGTCTGTGGTTGGGTGCTCTGTTGAGTGTAGTAGCCTTGTCCTTGGGTACGGAACCAACTTGGTGCGCTCGATGCCTGCCTTTCCTCTATAGACCACGGAGGTAGCAAGAAAGACAGAAAGACAATGGCGATTTCCGCTCGGTGGTTCAGGACTACATAGACGAGAATGAGTCGGAGTATGTGCTGAGCGAGAAAATGACATACATTGGAATGTTGGTGTGCCATGCCTTGAGGTGCCTCCCACCATACGTAGAAGCCATTTTCCTAGTGATCTGGGGATACATCAATGATAAGACATGTCAACTTGTAAAAAATCGCTCACGATGCCACCCCAGTCACCTCCCTGGGTAACTGTAAGAGAAATGAACAAATTCGTTGATCTATCGGAGGCTAAAAATATGTAACTTAGCGACGTACCATACTCGTTGTACCCAAGGGCGACCATGAGTTTGTGAGCTACCTAGGTACACCAGTCAACATGTAGAGAGCTTAGAACGTGTGATGAATGTTGATCTCCTCAGCATATTGATTGATACCAAAGCCTTGCTTGTGGGGAGCCTCCGAAAAGCCAAACCGGGCAAACTAAGCGCCACAACATGAAAGCTAGGGTGTTCAGCGGTCGATGCAGTCAGAAGGGGCAAAATCTTGATGACTTCAAAGAAGCTTCCAGGCCCTAGTTACGGTCAAAAGAAGTTGGTCTGCATGCATACGAATCGACCTACATCCGTGACAAAACAACAGCGGAATGGCGTCAACAGTTTCGCTCTTCTTGTGACATTAATGAATGTTCAGCGCGCCGAAACCATCACGTCAATATCGCGGGTAAACATTGGCAACTCTTCATTGATTGCCTTTTCATGTTGGCGCCAGTCGTACCCGTTTCTCCACTCTCTGTGAGCCTCTTTATATCTGCCAGAGGTGAGCCAAACTTCCACTGGGCATTCCTCCAGTTCATCCGAGGAAAGTAGCGAGTTGATGAAGCTTGGCGCGGAGGGCGGTCAGTTTCTCGTCGGGGACATTGATTTGGAAAGGAGTTTTCAGACGACATGATGGTCAAAGCACAAGTGAGAGATGGTCTGTACTGTGGTTCAATAGGAGGTACTGCATAAGGAAGCTTCCCACCGACCAATCCGAAATTGAAACTGGCAAGTCTCATTTTGGGTCTTTGACTGAGAATGAGTTGGCTCCGCCATTACATAATACATTGATCCTATCGCCGAGGTTGCAACGCATCGATATGTCTTTCGTGGTGCTCGCTGGCACTCGAAATCGACCTTCGAGTCTGTTCAACATTCAGGTTTCGGTAATCATTAAACAATTTAAATCGCTGTCGTACCAACCGTGGCCATTCGCCCTCAGTCGATTCAGACAGTATGATGTTTTCTTCTCTGGGCGGCCTTCTCCTTCATTTCAAAATTCTTCTGTCCTTCCCACTCGAGCCTCAAATTTGGATATTGACAATGAAATTTGAATACAGTTGACACAACTACCACACACAATGGATTTCCTTGTGGCTCCCAGGTTTTAGTGTTCCACGGCTTCAATCGTGTCGAACCCTTGCCGGCACTTTTCCATCGGGAGAAAAGTTCAGCGGAGTCGATGTGTCTGGAGTGAGCTTTGACGGGTTGGGTGGGTGATTCCCCAGTTCTCCCTGCTAGACAATGACCTGATCAGCGCTTGTTATCAATTGCCTATCTTGTGATGCCGCCGATCTGAATACCCAGTTGCTATGCTCCTTCATCTTCTTCAACACAACACCTATCTTCAAGTCCCACAGACAGTGTATGTTCTTCGATGCTGCAACCATCTGTCGTGTGTCGGGCAAAACTGTGATGGCACCATACGCCTTTTTCATGACTTTTGTATTCTCGTGAGGGGCGTGGTCACTGGTACTTGGACGAGTTTTGACATTTACTAGAGGTTGATGGCGTTGAGCACGATCGAGGTTGGACGTTGGAGGGATTGTGTGTATCTTTCTCTAAGCTGTAGAGGTGCGTGTACCCTGTCGTTTATGCTACTTTGCTGGCGTCAACTCATTTTCATAGATGCCCAGGACACGAGGCTGTTCGCTTCTACACACATCCATCACCATTGCAGCGAGAATCTACGTTGTTGTCAATACTCATCGTCCTCGACAGTATACCTTCTGCAGTGATACATGTGTCCTACTCTTGTCTCTACAGCTTCCAGAATGTATCTCACCGCATCCAATGCTTCCCGGCCCTCGAATCTGACTATCTATCCTGCATGAGTGCCATTGAATATCGTCGTTTTTCGTATCGAGCAGCTACTCCGGCACATCACCATGTCACTCCTTCGGACACATGCATATAGCTTACTTGTAAATATCACCTCTTCATCCCGTCGACTCCCAAGTTCTGTGTGTTCCTCATGCAGCCAAATTTAGATACTTGCATCTCACACCGCTACTAACTCTGCGGTAGGGGCGTTTCCACTTCCAAGGCGCATTTCATTCAACGTTCATGATCTTCTCCAAAGGTGTTCATAGCCTTGCTTCGAGCGCCCCGCTCATCTCATCCTCAACTTCGCGGACTCCCGGCTCAACTGGTTTCGGTTTTCCCATTCACCATTCCCCACCGAATCCATCTTCGTCGGAATAATGTGACACAAGTATCAGCGCAACATGGTCGTTAACCTCGATTACGGAGGGGCACTTCGCACCGCAGAGCCGGGACTCATTAAAAATCGCGCCTTCGTCACAATTGTTGGTATTGCACATGCTACCAATCTCGTGGAAGGTGCACGATGAATGTGTGGGTAAGCGCTCTCCTAGAACAGGTGAGTATCATTGTAGACCATCAGACTTTACGGAAAGGTAAGAGTTTTGATGCATATACGTGTGACGCGTGACGTTACTGAGACTTCTGTTTACTTTCAACTGTAGTAGTTCTGTCACCGCCAAAAAAACGCGACATCAAACTGTTGAAATCTTTCGCAAGCGACTTCGAATTCGAGCTATCGTGCACATACGACCAATCCCAATGCGTCTTCATATGGTGCATCGACTGACGCTTTTAATGGAGGTTTGGAGCCAGCACAAGTCGTTCCATCTGGTGAGGACACTGTACGCCTGCCTTGTCCCATCCTTCACCACTTATATTTTCTACGCGGAGAGAATCACCCTGTTGGTCTCGTCTCTCAATTACAGTCTGCTTTTCAAGTCAGTATGTGATAATATACAAGTTTGATCATCAAGGTACAAACGGAAATCGCTCGTAGATTTTTAGAAGACTCCATACAGTTACAGTACCTCTGGTGTTCTGATGTCCATCATGTTGCCAACAGAAGTCATGTCTTTAACTTGTGGGATGATATCATGATCAGACACGATCCTCTTCAATTCACTGCCGTGCTACCGTGCTAGCAAAAATGCACTCAAAGGCTGTCCAATGTGAACTATGAAATGTAATGCTCGCGAGTGAGAATCCGTGTCGAGCTTGACTACATGACTCTGGTTCTCGCTTGTCACGAAAATTTAAAAAGGTGTAATTCTGTGCATCAAGGCTTCAACATGTCCTGGGGTGACGAAGGGTCCAGGGGACACGCTTTCTGCGAGGATAGCGCTCCTGGCAGCTATATTGACAACCACGAAACAACGAGTCAGTTTGAAACTTGATCGAAGACAGGACGGCTTCCTCGCATATTGGAAAAAAAAATCGCTACAGAAGAGGGAAAGTTATCGAGCAACAGGAAGAGTTTCAAGATGACCTCATGACTGATGCGAGGTGGGACGACGACGACCAAAGAAAAATCTGCAGCAGTTAACTTCAACAGCCCGGACTTCATCGTCATGCAAGAGTGGGTCTCCGACTGCCTGATTGGTCTTGAGGTCCCAGATGCGAACCGAGTAGTCCATTGATGTGCTAACAAGATGGCTTTCATCAGGGGAAAGACAGAGGGAGGGTGACGGAATTGGCATGACCCTCAAAAGCAACGAGCTCCTTCCCATCAATCGACCGCCACTTTCGGATGGTGCAATCGACTGACGCGGAGAAAATGTGTGTGCCATTCTTGGACCAACACAACGACGTCACCCAGCTGTCGTGGCCCTTGATCGCCATAAGTAGCTCGCAGTCCTTTGACCACACGCAGATCACCTTGTCCTCCCCGCCGCTCGCGAATTTGTCCCCTTGTGGAGAGTATCTGACAGCCGAAACGCTCCTTGGCCAGTCTCTATGGGTGGTGTTATTTGTCGGCCAGTATCCGGGTTCCAGCGTCGTATGGTGCCGTCTTCCGATCCACTTGCTCTATCTCCTGGGCATTGTGAGACCAATCAATGCACGTCACTGGAACGCTATGCCCTTCCCATGGGTCACCGACCACGCTGCCTTTCCTTATGTTCCACAGCCGTAGCCTGCCATCTGAGCTTCCGCTCACGACCATTGAATCATCTGGAGAGATTGCTATTGAGGCTACCTCTACCCCGTCACTATTTCAAGGCATCCCCACTGGCTCTACGTCTGTTGTCCACTGACGAATTGAACCATCGCGTGACGCGCTCGATATATTGCAACTGGTGCCCAAACAGGCTCGGCTCCAAATGACTTTGGAATGACCCTCGATGACACACTCCGGGTACCAAGTTCCCTGGTGGACGTTCAGGGCGTTGGTTTCTTCCACGATGTGGTCCTGGTATTGTGATTGACGAAGTATGACCGACCGAGTGATGAGATGTGCCATTCGCATCCGGGAACGAGTTGCTGGGTATCGTCCATATTTCACCATGAGTTACTTGGTGCTAGTGGCACATTCTTCGCTCACCTAGTCGCACTCCTGGTAAAGGTCGGTTGCATGAAACCATTACGAGTGTGTCATCTTGATAGTAAATTTCATCATCCAGCATCCTACCCTGCCACCATTGAGGAGGAAGCGCTTCATTCCCGCCTGCTTCTTGTTGAGCTAGTCAGTAGGCATCAAAATGCAGTTACTCACCTTCCCAAAGTGCATCCTGGCGATATTGTGCACCATAGCATGGCGGATCCTTCTCCCTCGTCCGACAAGGTGTGCTAACCACCAGCGAGTTCAACATCACTCCTCGTTCTCCATCTCTCCGCTGTGCTGATGTACTTGACTCGGCCATGACGCTGGCGAAGAAAGTTTTTAATTACCGTTGTCTTTGTAGACGCGTTGACAGAGCCCAGTAGTATGGAAATTGAATTGTCGAGGGCGAGGAGAGAAGGCGGAAGTGATGAAGAGACTGCTAGATAAGTAGTTAGTTGTGCATGCTGTATTTGCAGGCGCGCTTTTCCACCGCGTGTCGACGGCAGTGCTTCGGACGTCGGGGGCAGTTCTATCGATTGCTGTACATTACGCCAAATTCTTCGGCGAGCGTCAAGATAGTACGAAGCTGGCTGTGAAATTTGAATAGCACACCGGTCAATTGTAAAATAACCGATTGCATTTCATTTTCAGCACGTCATGTCGACACAAAGGCACTTATAATTACACACTCCCGTCCTCGGTCAAGACTAGTCGACGAGTTCAAGCTAAACATGCCAAGCGGGTATGGTCTACCTGACGATGTGGCTGGTTGTGCAATGTGCAGGCCAGACGACAGTGGCTAACCGTAGTGTCATGAACTGCGAATCAGTCCCATATGTACCAGCTCGCGCAGCTGTACAAAGTGCGCGAACACGGGAAGAATCTGATGTTAGCGGTGGTCTTCGACGAGAGTGCATGTAACAGTAGTGTCCTGTCATCGCTTGATGATAGACTGTACGGCTCGTATCGATGACAGTTTGTATGCATAATCTCGCGCATATATGAGCCCACGCGTATAGCTGCGCGTGGCCATACTTGCGCGTGACAACCTGTAGAGTTAATCATCTTACAGTGGTCAAGGGAAGTCGTGTAATCGAGTGTACCGAGAGGTTAATCGCTAACCAATGATGCTGGCAGGAACAAAAAGTTCTTCTCGCTCAGGCCGAAATTATGATATTACCGCAGCCATAAGCCAATGATTTATTGTATTCATGTGGTCACCTATCAGTACAAGATCAATGCGAGAGGAGATAAATGGGACGAGAAATTGAATCAGCCGCAACATGGCAAAGCACAGTACTCCTGAAACCAGGTGTCTACAGCAAGGCGAACATGTGGATTCAGGGATGGTATCCTGTAGGAGATGCAATTCAACGCTTACTCACCTTCCTTCGCAAACCTCCTATTGTTCCAGGCATCAGAGGCAAACACAAAATGATAGATGATACTGACGGCTCGTGCCAGCTAAGGAAGCCTCGCAAGGTTGACAAATCCGACAACGACACGGCTGTTGATGAAGACAGTCGCGAGCAAATCATGCTGATTGAATAGCATACATGATTTCATACAGAAATTCTGAATTACATTGCCCATGTCCACTTTCACCCAATTCATTCCGATTCATTGTTGAACGTGAGCATCATATCCAGTTCTTCCGGGGACAATTGCAAACGCAGGACTCCCTTTCGCGAACATCTTCCGCACATCCCGAACAAGCTCTTCCGGCCGTTCAGTGGCAGCAAAATGGCCTCCTGTCTTGTGATGGGACTCGAAAACAACGTTGTTCGACTTGCGCAGCCACCTACACACACATATTAGCTTCAATAAAGTTGATTGGTAGAGACGCACGCTGCGGGTAAAACTATGAGCTCCTTTGGGAAAAAACGAAGCTCCCATAGGAATAGTGGGGTTTCGACCTAGATCCTCGCAATCGCCACGCAATTCAAAGTAAATGCGGAGGGAGGCAGCAGGGCCGGCGCGGGAGAACCAGTACAACGAGATCCACGTCAGCACTATTCAAAACAGGTGAGCAATATTCGAAAAAAACAATGTTGCTGCTACCTTCATCATCAGACCAGTAGTAATTGTCGGTCCAAAGGACCAGTTTCTCATAGATCCAAGCAAGCAGGCCAACAGGGCTATCAGTGAGACTGTAACCGAGTGTCTGTGGTTGGGTGCTCTGTTGAGCGGAGTAGCCTTGTCCTTTGGTGCGGAACCACTTGGTGCGCTCGATGCCTGCCTTTTCCTCTATAGACCACGGAGTTAGCAAGAAAGACAAGAAAGACAAGGGCGATTTCCAGCTCGGTGGTTCAGGACTACATAGACGAGGATGAGTCGAGGCATGTGCTGAGCGAGAAAATGACATACATTGGAAAGTTGGTGTGCCATGCCTTGAGGTGCCTCCCACCATACGTAGAAGCCATTTTCCTAGTGATCTGGGGATACATCAATGATAAGACATGTCAACTTGTAAAATATCGCTCACGATGCCACCCCAGTCACCTCCCTGGGTAACTGTAAGAGAAATGAACAAATCGTTGATCTATCGGAGGCTATAATATGTAACTTAGCGACGTACCATATTCGTTATACCCAAGAGCGACCATGAGTTTGTGAGCTACCTGGGTACACCAGTCAACATGTAGAAGCTTAGAACGTGTGATGAATGTTGATCACCTCAGCATATTGATTGATACCAAAGCCTTGTTTGTGGGGAGCCTCCGAAAAGCCAAAACCGGGCAAACTAAGCGCCACAACATGAAAGCTAGGGTGTTCAGCGGTCGATGCAGTCAGGAGGGGCAAAATCCTGATGACTTCAAAGAAGCTTCCAGGCCCTAGTTACGGTCAAAGAAGTTGGTCTGCATGCATACTATGATACGAATCGACCTACATCCGTGGCAAAACAACAGCGGAATGGCGTCAACAGTTTCGCTCTTCTTGTGAACATAATGAAGTTCAGCGCGCCGAAACCATCCACGTCAATATCGCGGGTAAACATTGGCAACTCTTCATTGATTGCCTTTTCATGTTGGCGCCAGTCGTACCCGTTTCTCCACCTCTCTGTGAGCCGCTTGATATCTGCCAGAGGTGAGCCAAACTTCCACTGGGCATTCTCCAGTTCATCCGGGAAAGTAGCGAGTTGAAGCTTGGCGCGGAGGGCGGTCAGTTTCTCGTCGGGGACATTGATTGGAAAGGAGTTTCAGACGACATGATGGTCAAAGCACAAGTGAGAGATGGTACGTACTGTGGTTCAATAGGAGGTACTGCATAAGGAAGCTTCCCACCGGATCAATCCGAAATAGAGCTGGCAAGTCTCATTTTGGGTCTTTGACTGAGAATGAGTTGGCTCCGCCATTACATAATTACATTGATCCTATCGCCGAGGTTGCAACGCATCGATATGTCTTTCGTGATGCTTGCCGGCACTCCAAATCGACCTTCGAGTCTGTTACATATATACTCACAAGAAATACTGACATTGGCCTCCGAGAACCATGAAGCAGTGTTCAACATTCAGGTTTCGGATCGTTGTCGTACCACCATTCGCCCTCAGTTGATTCAGACAGTACGATGTTTTCTTACTGGTATTCTGTGGGCGGCCATTAATATTAATCACCTTCTCACGTCAGCATGACTGAGCAGGGGCGACCCAATAAATGCGTCCCTGGCAGTACTTCCTAGAGAAAGCAAGCTGTAGAGCTGCGCGGGAAGCATGGATAGATTTGACTCACCGTGTGTGCGCTTCTTCGAACCTCGCTATTAATATTGTCGGTTGTGTACATTGCCGTAAGGAGCCAGGACTTGCTTGCAAAGTTAAACACGGTTTGATAGAGTCATACGGTTGCATATTGGACATATCCTAAGTACCCTAGAATTGCTAATGACTACAGCAGAATTTCAGCATATATTGACCTATTTATCCGTCTCTTTCTGAACCTCCTCAGTCATCATGTTCGTCAGTATTCTAGCCAGTGCTCCCGCAATTTCGCTCGCCTTTTCCCTATCGCACTCCCGCAGCTTGCGCACGATGTTCGAGTTAAACTTGTCGGGGTGGAATCTAAGTATCTCTACCTTCAGTCGGTCCTTGCGCGACTTGGTCTCCATCCCTGGGCGGAGGGGGTGGAAGATGAATTCCTCCACGCTGCGGCGGGATATATCATCGGGGGATGCGCAGCCTTGCTGAAAGGTGGGCCACGGCATCTCGAAGAGCATGACTGAAGTCAACTTCTGGCTCAGCCTGAGCTCTTGCCACTTTGCGTCGTAGAGCTGGAAAAAAGCGACGAGATCCGCTTGAGCTTTGTTGCGACTAAGTTCTTCTTGGCGCTGCCTCTCTTGCCGTCGAGCTTCTTCACGAAGGCGCTGCTCTGCTTGCTCACGGGCGCGACGTTCAGCTTCCTCCTGGGCTTTACGGAAAGCCTCTCGTTTGGCCTGGAGCTCGCGCTCGCGCTGCTCACGAAGACGCGTCAGTTCTTCTGCACGACGCCTAGCTTCTTCTTGTCTGCGCCTGGCTCCTCTTGTCTACGCTTCTCCTCCTCTTGCCGCTGACGTTCCTCCTCCAAACGGCGCAGCTCCTCCAAACGGCGGGATTCTTCCTCTTCCTTCTGCCTCCGTGGCTTCTCCTCCAATCGGAGGGCAGCTTGGCGGTCGCGCTCCGCGTGCTCCAACTCACGCCGCGGACCCAACGCTTCAGCGCGTGCGACGACCTCTCTGGCATCTCCAAGCGTGTGACTGCGTAGCTGATCGAGGCGGAGGGTCCTCGAGCTGCTTGAGGAAAATACGATCTTCGGCGGTCATACCACCGGCTTGCATAGTCTTGAGAGCGACATTTTCGAGGTTGTTGAGAGCCGACGCTGCTTTTTCGCGCCTGAGCTTTGCTGGGTTGCAGAACCGGGGGCCTTTGCGACGGAGTCCTGGACGAGTGACTGTGAGATGGTAAGTGAAGCGCTTGTGCCAGTGTTTGCGACGCGGGTGGATGATTTGACTGGGGGAAGCCTTGGGCGCGCTCTTCTTGAAGACCTTTGGAACAGTAGCCTTCGCGGGTGGACGACCTACACGGGCGGTGTTGGCTGAGGCGGGCTGGAAGATGTGCGGAAGGCCCTGTGTAGGAGGTGCGTTGCAGTCAAAGAACGCAGGTGCACCTGACTCGCGGGCAGGGCTGTTTGAAGGGGAGTCGACGCGCGGTGAAGGATGACGCGAAAAAATGGAGGGACGAAAGTAAGGCTTCTTCGAGGGGTTCAACATCCTGAATCCAGCAGGTGTTTGCGGGAAGAAGGGGATATGACGGTATGGCGACTTAGGGAACATATTTCTTGAAGGTGGTTGGGCGTGGACAAAGTGTCTTGAGTGTTGTGTTGTGATCTTGGAACATCGCGCTCGTATGGGAGTGCGACCTTTAACGGCTTCAGCTGTGGACATTATTGTCCACAAGTCATGCTAAAGTTGTGTGGATCAATGGATTTCCTGAGGAGTTTCGGACTCCGCAACGAGGTAGTGGAGATGATAACATATTCTACTTCTCCGATAAGTAATGTGGACGACCGATTTCGATTATCAATGGTAGCCAGAGGAAAAACTGACAAGTTACTTGTGGCCACTGTATAAAGTTCGCACCCCTTGGAAGCTCATTGACATTTTCCCTCCTTGATAACAGTGGGTATGCCACAGCTGGCCATGCCAGCCTCAGGCGTCAGCAGTCAGTCTCGCGGTCAGCAATGTGTACCAGCTCGCGCAGCTGTACAAAGTGCGCGAACACGGGAAGAATCTGATGTTAGTGGTGGTCTTCAATGAGAATGCATGTAACAGTAGTGTCCTGTCATCGCTTGATGATAGGCCCTACGGCTCGTATCGATGACAGTTTGTATGCATAATCTCGCGCATATATGAGCCCACGTGTAGAGCTGCGCGTCCGTATGGTGGCCATACTTGCGCGCGACAACCTGTAGACTGAATCAACTTACAGTGGTCAGGGGAAGTCGTGTAATCGAGTGTACCGAGAGGGTAATTGCTAACCAATGATGCTGGCAGGAACAAAAAGTTGCTTCTCGCTCAGGCTAAAATTATGATATCACCGCAGCCATAAGCCAATGATTTATTGTATTCGTGTGGTCACCTATCAGTACAAGATCAATGCGAGAAGAGATAGATGGGACGAGAAATTGAATCAGCCGCAACATGGCAAAGCACAGTACTCCTGAAACCAGGTGTCTACAGCAAGGCCAACTTGTGGATTCAGGGATGGTATCCTGTAGGAGATACAACTCAACGCCTACTCACCTTAGCGCGTGTAAGTGACCTTGTCAACGCTCCTGCCAACCGAGACACCGAAAAAGATTCAATGGCGGCTACCCCTCACAAAGTAGCGTCCCAAGCGCCCACTCAAAAGGAAATGCATCATCTCGAACTGACGCTCAAGGGTCATGAGAAATCGGTGAACGAGATAACTTTCATTTGTTGTACCCGTCTCCTCGTCACTGGCTCGACAAGAGTCTTCGGGTGTGGGATCTGGACGCGGGGAAACAAGTGGGCAGCGGAGCAGTTGAAACGTAGCTCGAATCCTAGTATAACAATGTACACAACCGACAATAGCGAGGTTCGAAGAAGCACACACACGTGAGTCATATTCAAATTCATCCATGCATTTCCGCCATTCGTACCTGTGAGTAGCTGCGGGGCTGTAGGGGATGGTACCAATAGGGAAGCTCACAGAAGGCCAGGGCAATGGTAGAAACAAAGTAGAAAGTTGACTTGTTACCCGGGGGTGCTTCCCACATAGATTCATACAAAGTTCAACACAATCACGTGACAGACAAGCACACCGCTTAGTATAAGTTTAAAGTTATATTGATCCAACATCGCGACTTACTTATTTCTTTATCGATTTTCGATGATAAAACTTTGTGGGCCCAGCTCGCGCGTGATTTCCTTATAATTTTGATCCCCGCTTTCTTGCAACGCGGCAGGAGAACTTACCTTTTTGAATATGTGACTCATGGTCAGATTTCGCTACCCTTGTCGCCTCCGAATAGGCCCAACAGCGCCTCGGTGTTCATGTGACAGATCTCAGAATCTCATGAGTTGAGGTCACCCGATTGAACCAACCTAATTTGTCTCAATAGTCATGATGCGTGCTAACATCGAAAAATACGATAGCTTCCTCTCAAGCCTGTGTGCATCATCGGCTAGCACATGGACCGAAGCTCAGGAATCTGTGAGCATCTTTACAGATCTTGAGTTTGACTAAAGGCTCAGGTTCACTCTGCTAGGCGTTGCTCGAGCCCTACACCTACATCACTGCCAACCCAGGGAAGAAGGTCTCAGACAAGCTTATCGAAGGCTTCAACCTCTGGCTTAATGTCCCCAAAGACAAGCTTGCGGTCATCATCCGTGTTGCCGCTCTTCTCCATAATGCCACTCTCTTGTATGTCTCTCCATGTTACCGAACTAATCTCAATACCAACTAACCTTCATATCTACAGGGTAGACGACATTGAAGACGACTCTCAGCTGAGACGTGGGATTCCAGGTTTGTCTGCTGTTCGCGATACCCCTGAAGCGGTTGTTGATATCTTCCAGTCGCGCATAAAATATATGGTATCCCCCCAGACCATCAATACCGCCAATTACATCTACTTCCTAGCGTGTCAGGAGTTGTCTGCTCTGAGACCCACAAAGCGGCGTCGCGCTTGTGATTCAAGTGCAAGTCCAGACAGTAGGCTTAGGGACAACAGTCCCACCGCCGAGAGGCCTAATTTCCCTAAACGCCTCATTTCCGATCATGACCTGGACCGTGTAGTGAGTGGTATGTCATTTATCACCATTGTTGCATATACAGTCCCAACGTAAAGACGAAAATAGATGAACTCGTGTCACTGCATCATGGGCAGGGCTTGGACATCCTCTGGCGTGATACCCTCCGCTGTCCCACAGAAGACGAGTACGTGCAGATGGCAAAAGGCAGTAGGTTGTCATCGTTTTCTAAGAGATTACCCTGAATGTAGCTACCTAGAAGCGGGGGGGTCTTGTCAGGACTGCTGTCAAAGTCATGATGGCATGTGCTACGACAAACACGAACGTGTAAATCCCACATGGAGTCCCTGGATTTTTCTCGGACTGAATGACTCCTGTCTTAGTGACTACATCCCTTTGTGCAATCTCATTATGGTTTATTACCAAATACGTGACGACTACATGAATCTCCAGAGCGATCAGGTTAGTCTCCAATCTGAATTCTTTGAGACGTGATCTGAATATTCTCCTCAGTACATGAACAACAAGGGCTTTGCAGATGATCTATCTGAAGGAAAATTCTCCTTCCCTATTGTTCATGGCATCCTTGAACAGCCTGAAAATCAACTGATCATGAGTGGGTTCAAAATCATGTTTACCGCCATCTCATTCGATTTCAATGATATTGTCAGATGTCCTGCAAAAACGCCCCAAGACTCCTACCCTCAAGCATCACGCTATCGAGTATCTCAGAAACACCACCAAGTCGTTTGATTACACCCTAGCAGTGCTCAAAAAGTTGGAGCAACAAGCTAGGAGAGAACTCGAGAGACTTGGTGGAAACCCGATGTTATCTGCACTTTTGGACAAGCTTCATGTTGATACATGAAACATTATGCCCTTCTTCATACTGTATTGTCATGGCTTAGTCGATCCCCGCGGATGTCCAGATCATGTGTGCCTGTTACTGCCAGTAGTAGTATGTACTATGTAGATTCGAAGACTCGGTGGCCTCGAATATTTGATTGTGTTTCAGTTATCAAATAGGGTGCGGGGGATAGCCTGGCATTAACATCACCGTGACATATTAAAATCTAGTCTGCCTAGACAGTCCGTAAAAAGGAAACCAGCCATTCATTTTTATTCATGGCTCAAATCAACTATCAATGGGGGGGGGAAATAATTTGCCAATGTGGCCAGGGTGTAGCATGATAGTGCACGGAAGCTTGAATTCAAGTATTACGTCATGTGGTTGCTAACTATAACCTTAGCTTCAACTTGAAGCTTGAACGTTTGAACGTTCAACGTTGTGAACGATGAACAATCTTCATTGTGTTGTGACATAGCAATCAGCCGACATGGTTCGTGCACTTCCTAGCGGAGTTACGAGAGCATCTGAGTGGCGGAGTAGTTAGTTGATATAATAGATAAACGGAATCAGCCGAATATATTCTGCGCGCCACGAACTCCTATTATCGTCGCTGTTCCTACTAAGCCCGGAACCTAAATCTTAAGAGGTTACGAGCCCTGTGATACGTTATAAAGTTAACGTCAAAGCAATACATTGACACAAACAAGCAAGATGTCGAATCCCAATCCTAATCCTCCGACTTCTACAACTGTTGGGGCTTCCACAACAGTACCTGTCCCTGCAACAGTACCTGTTCCTGCGGCTACTCAGAAACCTAAAGAAATAAACTTAGGAGCGTTGTCGTCATATAAAATTGAACCGCTGAAAGAAAAAAACTGGAGTGGATGGAAAGCCCGTATGATGGGCCTTCTCAAGCTTCACGGCATGGCTGAACATGTCAACGGCACGACGAAAAAGCCTGATGCAGGCAAGGTGGATGAGTTAGCGACCTGGAACAAACTCGACCAAGTTGCACAGACCTTGATAATGAACAGCATCACTGACGAGCAGATGGTGCTGATACGAGTAACGAGAGACGGAGACCTGCAAAGGCAAACGAGAGGCTCAGTCTTATGGGAATAGACTCTGTATTATTGCAAGTACCTGCAAAGGCAAACGAGAGGCTACGGTAAGTGTTAGTGAGTGTTAAGTACGACGACGAACGAAGGGATCTCACCTCAGTCTTATGGGAATAGACTGAGGTGGAACAACGCGGGTGCGAGGACTATATACGAGTCCGCGTTAGCGATGATGTAAGTAGTAAGCATGTTATAGTACGTGTGCGCAGCAAGATAAGAAAATGAACATTACTAACGAGACTTGCAGATTACGTCGAAATATCCAACACTCCCCTTCAAGTCTAGCATAGTCCGAGCATATCAACAAACTTCTGAACCTTCGAACGAGCGAGTGCCTTGGTGAAAACGTCTGCGACGTTTGCGCTTGTTGGGCAGTATACAAGCACGACCTTTCCATCACTGACAGCTTTTCGAATAAAGTGATAGCGGATATCAATGTGTTTCGTGCGCGGATGGAATTTGTTGTTCTGGGTGAGGGTGATAGCGCCTTGATTGTCGCACAGAACGATGGTGGGACCGACAATGGGCGCGCGAATTTCGCCGATGAGGCTACGAAGCCAAATGACATCCTTAAGCGAGTTCGTCGCGGCAACATACTCAGCTTCCGTTGAGGACAATGCAACTATATTCTGCTTCCTCGATCCCCAAGCTATTGGCATTCCCGCGAGCGATACGACGTGGCCCGAAATTGAATGGCGATGAGGTTGCGAGCCCCAGTCAGCGTCAGTGTAAGCCAACATGCCTTCATTAGGGTCCGTGAGGTTGAGACGAAGGTCTCGCGTGCCTTTGAGATAGCGCAAAACTCGTTTTGCAGCTTGCCAATGGGTTTCTACCAGGGTTTTGGGTGAATTGAGCGAGAGTCGAGGTTGCAAATGCAATGTCAGGGCGCGAGCCGAGTGCAGCCCATGCTAAGGACCCAACGAGTTCTTGGTAAGGAACACTTTGCATCTCGTTGGCATGCTGTGCCGTTGTTGGTGACTGGTCAGTTGAGAGCATGATACCAGGTTCGAGAGGTGTGGAGACGGTGTTGGCATGTTGGAGTCCAAAACGATCAACGAGAGTGTCGATGTAAGCACGTTGGGATAATGATAATGTTCGCGCCGTTTTGTCATACTTGACTTCGAAACCGAGCAACCATTTGATCTCTCCAAGGTCAGAAATCTCGAACCTCTTCCTAAGCTCGTCTTTCAACCATTCTATTGCCTCGATAGAGTTTGCCGTGGCGGCCATGTCATCAGTAGACACGGAGACAACAGTGGATGACTTCTCGTCATGTTTGAAGAAGACCGCATGGTCAACAGCTGATCGCGTGAACCCAATCTCGCGGAAAAAATTCACATAGTGTCTCGTACCATTCAAAGCCAGCCTGCTTGAGTCCGTAAAGACTTTTCTTGAGTTTGCAGACCTTGCCTTCTTGACCGGGCTTGAGATATCCAGGAGGTGGTCTCATATAGACATCCTCGGTCAATTCAGCATTGAGGTACGCATTTTTCACGTCGATCTGGTGGATCTCCCATCCTTGGCTAGCGGCATTGGCGAGAACGGCTCTGACAGAAGGAAGTTTCGCGACGGCAGCAAAGGTTTCGTTGTAGTCAATGCCTTCTCGTTGACTGTTGCCGTTGGCGACGAGGCGTGCCTTGTACCGTGTGATGTCGCCATTTTCGTCTCGCTTGGCTTTGAGAATGAAATGAGAGTTGATTATGTTCGCGTCAGCAGGTGGATCAACGAGGGTCCCAGGTGTCGAGCTTCTCGATTGCGACAATTTCATCATCCATTGCTTTCTGCCACTTTTCTGCATCTGGACCACGAAGTGCTTCTCTGATGGTTGGTTCGTCGCCAGGGGAAGATGCTAGAGCATAGTGCGCGAGCATAGCAAATTCGTTGTGCGGGAATTCATCTTCCAAGTCTGGTGATTCTTCCATCCATGTTGCATTGATTCGTTCGGCTCGATCAAAAACATCTCGGCTATAGTAGCCTAGAGGGAATTGGACATGGCGAGTTGTGCGAGGTTCGACAGCTGGTTCGGGTTCGGGAAGTGACGTTGTAGGCGAAGCAGGAGGTTGATGATTGATGGTTGCTGGTGGAGTTGATTGGCTAGTTGTGACGGAAGATGGTGTTGGTGTCGCGGGAGTTTTCAGTGCTTCACTAGTGGGTTTCGAGGTGTTGTGAAGGACGATACTCTCATTCTCCCCTTCGAACTGCACATCACCTGTAGTAGCTTCGTCAGGAGCAAACCTCACATCTCGTTCAACTGATACTCGACAAGTGTCAGGCCAGAAGACTCGATACCCTTTACTCTCGTTATCATACCCTAAGAACTTCCCAGCCTTTGCACGTTCATCGAGCTTTCCCGCATCTAAGATCTTGACATAGATGGTGCAACCAAATCTCCGGATTCCCGAAAGATCAGGTTTTTCGCCATGAACGACTTCGAATGGTGTCTTGTTGGTGAGAGCTCGTGTGGGTGATCTATTTTTGAGGTAGACAGCGTGATTTACGGCCTCAGCCCAAAGAGCTTTAGGAAAATCTGCACCAATAAGAAGAGCTCGAGCATGCTCGACGACGGTTCGATTAACTCGCTCGGCAACACCATTTTGTTCAGGAGAGTCATGGACAGTGTATTCATGATGGATTCCGCGTTTCGATAGGTATTTCTTCATCTCGTCACTGGAATATTCACCACCACGATCAGATCTAATGAATTTGACCTTGGCATTGTGCTGGGTTACGAGGCGTGCAATGTGCTCAGTGAGTGCTCCAAAGACTCCGCTCTTCTTCCGAAGAAAAACAACAGTCGTCTCACGGGAATAGTCATCCGTGAACGTGACATAATAACGCTTCTTGCCAAGTGATTGAATTTTAGCGGGACCCCACACATCAGTGTGGATGCGTTCACCATACTGGCTGGCTCGTGAATTCGACTGGTCAGGGAATGGTTGCCGTGTTATTTTGGCTTTGACACACGTTTCGCAAAATGTGTTATCGGGAGATGAGGTAATCTCGATACCTTCAACCATGCCCTTGGTTACCATGGCCTTTGTGGCTGCGAACGACATGTGTCCCATGCACTGATGGAGTTGAGTCAATGACATCTTCGTTTTCGGTTTTGCGGGGGCTACTGCAGCTGCGTGCTCCAATCCTGCAATCCGATAGAGACCGTCGACCTCAGGAATCCTCGCAATGAGCTTCTTCGGCTTCTGCGACCAGATTTCGCACCATCCCAGCTCCATATGGATCGATAATCCCGCGCGAATGATTCGGCTTGTGGAAATGAGGGTAAAGGCTATGTTCGGCGTGTATAATACGTCCTTTAGTGTGACTCGGGAACGTGCCTGACCATTTGGTAGCTCTATTTCAACATCTCCTCGTCCAACAGCATGAAGAGTTCGTCCGTCAGCGACATTAATAGGCCTCGGATCAATGGTAGCAAAAGTCTTGAACTTCGCGCGGTCAGGACAAAAGTGGGAGGGTGGCGCCAGAATCAACAATGGCTCCTCGCTTTTCAGCAGGAACTCGAAGTACATTAGCTTCGTCAACGCAATCAGAGGTCAGAAATGCGTAATCTGTGTCTGATGATGCAGTTACGTTTGCTGATTCCGACTTTTTCTGGTTAGGACCTTGACCTTGCTTGCCACCACCTTTTCGCCAGCAGTCAGCTGACATATGACCAATTCGTCCGCAGTTATAGCACTTCTTGTCTGACTTTCCATTCGGCTTCTTCCCACGTCGACGGCCCTTGTTCGATGAAACATTGAGTGCCGAGTCATCTTTGTCTGACGAGTCATCTTTGTCTGACGACTTTCCGAGATTGCGATGGTCGGCTTCTTCGAAAGCAACAGCAATGATCTTGTCAGAGGTGACTAACTGGCTAGTAGCACGAATGGCAACTGTCGTGGATCACATAATGTTTCAGAAGGATTCGGGAAGGGAATTAATGATCATTGCGGTGAAGTCTCGGTCGTCGACAGGTGCTCCCATGCCCGCGAGTTCTTCACGTAGTACCATCATCGAAGTAAGGTGCACTTTGACATCATCATTCTCGTTGCACTTCATACTTTGCAGACGAGCACGAGTGTCTACTTGAACCATGTCACTCTTGCCTTCGTAGATGAGGCAAATGGCCCTCCAAATCGCAGAAAACGGAGCGTTTGTTCTGTACCTGAATCATCACAGTATTCGGAACAGTTGCATAGAGTTGCTGTATAGCAAGAGCTTCCTTCTGCGCGTGCGCGTCGAGAAGGGTTAGGTTCATTTCGATGTCGGTTTCGGTGGCCTCTGCTGATTTGTCGTGAAGCAGGATCTTTTTGCCATCAGGCGTTCTAGGAAGTGGCTGAGGGGCTTTGACGGTACCATCGAGGTGACGGTTCAAGCCGCGCGCTGTCAATGACATGACGGTTTTCATCTTGAATTCAACCCAGTTCTTCTCAGTGAGTTTCGGGACGGCATAGATGCCTGAAGTCGACATGGTTTGATTGGAAGGGACGACGGAGCTCATAACCTGATACGAGTAACGAGAGACGGAGACCTGCAAAGGCAAACGAGAGGCTCAGTCTTATGGGAATAGACTCTGTATTATTGCAAGTACCTGCAAAGGCAAACGAGAGGCTACGGTAAGTGTTAGTGAGTGTTAAGTACGACGACGAACGAAGGGATCTCACCTCAGTCTTATGGGAATAGACTGAGGTGGAACAACGCGGGTGCGAGGACTATATACGAGTCCGCGTTAGCGATGATGTAAGTAGTAAGCATGTTATAGTACGTGTGCGCAGCAAGATAAGAAAATGAACATTACTAACGAGACTTGCAGATTACGTCGAAATATCCAACAGGTGCATGTTACAGAGGCTGCAACGGCCGAACAAATGTGGACAAACCTGATGCGTATTCATCAAGTTCGAGGACAACAAAGCGTCGTCATCGCAAAGCGAAATTTATTCGCTATGCAGGCAACTGAAGGCGTCAATATTGTCGAACATATCAATGAGATGAAACGGCAACAAAATGACCTACATCTTATGGGCGAGATGATTACGGACAAGGAATACAAGTCCTTGCTCGTGATGTCCTTACTGGACTCTTGGGATGCCTTCACATCCTTGTACCTTGGTACACATGTGGATACGCAAGGAACAAAAGGCATAACCTCCCAGGAGATTACCTCATTGATTATAGATGAATATAATCGCAGGGAGACACACGGTACGCAGGAGAAAGGATATTATGCTAAGAGTACCGAACACGGGAAAAAGCGTAAGATTGAGAAGGAAAGACCCAAACAGAACTTACCGGAATGCTCGATTTGCGGTAGGCATAATCATGCCACCGCGAAATGTTATTGGAAAGGCAAGCCGAAGTGTACGTCCTGCGATAAATTCGGACATGAGACTTTGGTGTGCTGGGGGAAGAAGACTTCAGGAACGTCATCCAGACCTCAAAAGCCGAAACGTGCTTACCAAGTGCGCAGCAAGGGTGACGAGACTGATATGGAAGTCGAAGACGAACCTAACATTGCGTTTATGGTTCAGTCTGATTGTGCCCCAAAGAGGGACCAAGAGTCAATGATCTGGTACAAATGGTTCGCAGATTCAGGAACAACATCACATATAACCAGAGTTCGAACTGCACTCACAGATTATGCCCCAATGAAAAGTGAGGTGGTCAGGATAGGGAATGAACCCCTTGAAGTAAAAGGGCGAGGCACAGTTGAACTTGAAAGCTATATGGGCAATCAGAAGATCAAATTTTACTTAAAAAATGTACTATACGTACCGAACACATCAAACAATTTGTTATCCATACGCCAGTTGGATAAAGACGGCAGATGTGCTAAGTTCGGCGGTGGGAAAGTGTCCTTGTACGCTAGACGAGGTCATCACATCGCAGAAGGAAATATTGATCATGGCCTATATAAATTAAATGTGAGAGCAAAATTAAAGCCTATAGCAAGAGCACATACCGTACAACGAAGACCAGCAGCCGATTGGCTGACATGGCATAAACGATACGGACATGTAGCTATTACTGGCCTTAAGAAGCTATATAATGAAAAATTAGTAGAAGGCTTTAATGTCGATGGAAGTGAACCTTCATTTGAATGTGAAGCGTGCATATGCGCGAAACAAACTAGGGAATCTTTCCCAAAATCAGTAGATGAACGAGCAGAGAAACCATGCGAACTTACGCATAGTGATGTATGGGGTCCAGCTAGGACCCAATCCATAGGAGGAGCTCGTTATTATGTATCCTTTGTGGACGATTGTTCCAGAAGGTGTACCGTTGAATTTCTAAAGCACAAAAATGAGGCATCGACAAAGGTAAAGGAATATATTGCCTACCTTGAACGACATAGAAATGAAACACCCAAGCGATTAGGGTAGACAATGGTACTGAATATATCAATCATGAGCTGATAACATGGTGCAAAGAGAAGGGAATAGACTTACAAACCACGGCACCATATTCACCACAACAGAATGGTGTATCTGAGAGACAGAACCAAACACTAACAGAATTAGCAAGAGTGATGATATCCGATAGAAACCTACCAGAGTTCTTATGGGCTGAAGCAGTTGCACACGCCGCATATGTGAGAAATCGGGCACCGACCCGAGCATCAGATCATATAACCCTGAAGAAGTATGGAGTGGTAAAAAACCTGACGTGTCATACTTACAAGAATTCAGCGTACCTGTTTTATGTTCTCCAGGAGAACGCCAATCAGTCGAAAATGCAGCCTAGGTCCTTGAAACAAGTCTTTGTCGGTTATGTGGATGGACCGAAGGCAATAAGATACTATGACGCCCGAACACATCAGATACGAGTGAGCAGAAATTATAAATTTATAAGCTCACCAGAAAACTCTCCACAAAGCGCTAGTGATGTGCAGCGCGAGGGGGAGAATGATATGGAGAATTAGACGCGCAGACATCAGGGGGAGCTGACGCGCAATCACCTATACAAGAACACTCCAAAGATGAACGGCAATCAGATATACGAGAACACTTACCAGAAAACAACTCAGATAAGGATACATCTGCAAGTAATAAGCGGAAAGAACCGCCTGAGACACAAGAGATGCCCAGAAGAACTAAAAGACAGACGGTTAGAAAAGACTACCGCAAGATGAATGAACCAGACTTCGAGGATGACGAGAATAATAAAGCTAAGTCATATGAAGTCAAAAAACGGTGAACTGCCATTGCCAGAACTCACAGAGGAAGATATAGTCTTGATAGCGATGGTAGAAGGAGGACACATTGAACCCAATGAGCCAAAGAACCTAAGAGAAGCACAGGCGTCAATTGATTGGCCAAAATGGGAGGAAACGATACGAGCCGAACTTACCCAGCTAAACGAAATGGGTACTTGGGAATTGGTAGAACCACCCGAGAATAGGACACTCGTCAGAAACAAATGGGTCCTGGTTAAGAAAACAAATAAAGAAGGCGAAGTTATTAAATATAAAGCAAGGTTAGTAGCGAAAGGATACTCACAAATTCCCGGTATGGACTACACAGATACTTTCGCACCGGTAGTACGTCTTGAGTCGATTCGATCGACAATGTCTGTTGCAGCTGCCCTAGATTGGGAAGTTGAGCAGATGGACGTAAAAGGAGCGTATTTGAACGGCACCTTAACAGAGGAGGTGTACATGGTCCAACCGGAAGGGTATGAAGACGGTACAGGAAGAGTGTGCTGACTTCGAAAGACCTTGTATGGATTGAAACAATCTGGACGTGAGTGGAACATTGAATTAAATAGTCGTCTAACAAAGATAGGATTTAAACGTACTGAGTCGGATCCATGCGTCTATATAAGACAGACCGAGACAGGCACACAGATCATAACAGTATGGGTAGATGATCTACTCCTGTTTGCTAATAATCCTGATCTTATGAGTCAGTTAAAGACGCAGTTAAAAGAGATATTGGACGTTACCGATCTAGGAGAACCTAAGAAAATAGTAGGAATTGAGATAACAAGAAACCGTGACGAGAAAACAATTAAGTTGTCTCAAGCACGGTACATAGACTCAATCCTGCAAAAATACGGTCTCCAGAACTACAATGCAGTAGGTATGCCCATGGATCTGAAAGTCGTATTAGAAAAAGAAGATACCGACACAAAAGGCGAGCGTAGTAATAGTTACGCCTCATTAGTTGGATCTTTAATGTATCTTGCAGTGGCGACACGTCCTGACATCGCATATGCGATTCAGAGATTGAGCTCTTTTACCACAAATCCTGGACTAACACATTGGTCAGCGGCAAAACGGGTATTAAGATATCTAGCAGGGACTAAAGACCTCGGAATTAAGTATCGAGGAACCGATTCCACAAACGCCAAAGTCAAATTTGAGGGATGGACAGATGCAGACTATGCTAATGACATCCGCGATAGAGTCTCAGTATCAGGATACGTATTCAAGCTAAGTGAAGGAGCCATTACCTGGAGTTCCAAGAAACAAAATGCCGTCTCACTATCCTCAACAGAGGCAGAATATACCAGCAATGGCATATGGGGCAAAGGAAGCAGTATGGCTTCGATACTTGTTTGAAGATTTGAATTTGGCCCGAGAAGGACCAACAATCCTATATGGAGACAATATGGCAGCGTTAGCAATAGCTCGAGACCCTCAATATCATGCGAGATCAAAACACTTTGATGTAAAAAATCATTACATCAGGAATAAGATTCGCGAGAAAATAATACAAGAGACATACTGTCCTACAGAAAGGATGATAGCAGATGTACTCACAAAACCGCTAGCTAAAACCATCACATCAGAGACTCTCCAACATGATGGGCCATGTCTCCAGATTGAGGGGGGAGTGTTGTGACATAGCAATCAGCCGACATGGTTCGCGCACTTCCTAGCGGAGTTACGAGAGCATCTGAGTGGCGGAGTAGTTAGTTGATATAATAGATAAACGGAATCAGCCGAATATATTCTGCGCGCCACGAACTCCTATTATCGTCGCTGTTCCTACTAAGCCCGGAACCTAAATCTTAAGACATTGCATAGCAGAAAATAACACGTCTGTCACGAATCACGATCAGAAACGAAGTAGCGTCTTGTTGGCTCCATCACACACATCGAGAGAGATCCATGAGCTAGCGCTAATAGCCAGCTTTTGAGGCCAACGTTAGACAAACAGATTCAAGCTGCGTTGAATCCTGGTTGCACATACAGCGACCCTCACTTCATCATAGGCACAAACCAAGTCATTACAACAATCTTGAGATGTTCTGCAAGTTTGTGTCTCTGTCATGCACTGACAGACATATTTTTGATTAGATGCTGCTAAAACAACAACGGCGAGGAAGGGGAAACTCATTTCTGTGCGAGGCGACATGGAATCTTCTGAAGGGGGTCTCGAATGATATCCCCGAGGATGGGGGAACACTATTGGACGACGACCAGCTTTGATATCCTGCATATACTTATGGGCATGATTCTGATCGGTTGGCAGAATTGTTATTGCTGTCAGATGGCAGAAATTTCGGTAGAACCTGCAGGAGTGTGTTTCGATTGATTACAACCATTTCATACCTGTCGTTATAACCTGGAATCCTATTGTGTTAGGGGTGTAATTCACGATATGTGGAGTTCCCCCGCATGAAGTACTGATTTGACCTGTCTCTGAATCCACTCTCTTCGCAGCGCTCCATCTTTGCAATCGGAAACCCAAATTGCTCCACTTATGCTATTTGTGTGCCGCCAGTAAAGAACACTCGTTGCATTCTGTGATCTGATGTTCGCTTCCTCGGTGGCGTGATGAGGCTAGTACTTCCCTTCGGTGTGTGCCATCACAGTAATTGATTGATAC